CGTGATTCCGATTCCGGTCAAGAGATCTGTACTTTCGATTCATTCGAGAATTGCGATTCCAGCCTCTAAATCGATTCGATCACTATACAGATTCTGATATTAGAATCGATTTATTAGAATCGTTCATGATTCCGATTTCTGTCGCGGAATCAGTTCTTGCGATACGTTCGCGATCCCGATTCCGGCCTTGGCCTCGATTTTTTCGATTCGCACGCCTTTTCGACTCCGGCGAAGAAGTTGCTTCTTTCGATCTGTTCACGATCGGAATCGATTCCTTGGATTTTGTTGAATCATCAATTACGCGGGAAAATGTTTCGCCTTATCTTTAAATCGAAGTATACAGCGAAGAGCTAAGAGCATACTTATTATTCCCCAAGCAAAATTAGAGACACTCGACTACTGAGATCCAGGAAACGTATCGATTTCTTCTTGATTACTGAGTTCGTCCCTGTCAAATGGAACGGCAGCCAAGTCGAGCCGCACGGCATAAAGTCCGAAAGAGATGCACTCGCATGGCTGGGTCGCCGCTTGCGGAAAATGCACCTGAGACCGAGAGCCAGGTCAAAAACCGACTTGACGCTCAACGCTTGCCGCTTGACGCCACCGGTGCACGTGCATTTATGCGCGGCTGACTTATTGCCCAATTACAGTGGACGACTGCTTTTCAACACGGATTACACGCCAAGCAAGTTAGCTCGATTGTTGGTACTACTGTTACGGCAGTCACTACAGCCCCGTTTAGAATAGAAGCGACAACATCATTTTTATGTCCAGACAAAATTGTGAAGGTTTGCATTGGCTTGTCGAAGTAGTTTGACACCACAGACATAAGCATTGGACTGATAAGTCGTATGCACTGGTATTTCGAGTAGCTTTCTTAAGTTTCCTTAAATCATATTTGAAAGTCGAAGACGTACATCACAGAAGCATATGATATTTAACTAAGCGTCCCCCAAGGTTCAGTTTTGGGGCCACTTATATTTATATTATTTATCAATGATTTACCATCCTATATCACCTCAAATAGCTTAGTATTCTAAGCAGATTATACCACCATTGACGTAGATGCTGACTCTATAGAAGAACCGAATCACAAGGTGAACGTAATTGCTGCCGAATTTAAGTAATGGTGTTCGAACTTCTTGATTGTGAATGCCAGCGAGACAAAAGCGATGCAGTTTTGTGCTGGGTCAGGATCTAACAGGAGACATTACAGTGGTACTTCTGTTAAAGTAGATTCTGACCGTAAACACTACAAAGTTTCTGGGACTTCATATTCACATTGACAAGATCAAAAAGCTAAGCTGAAGAACACTTTTCGGTGTTTTGTGCTATTTCTTACACAAAAAAATGCTTTACAACTCTTCTCTAAATTTGATAGTTTTCGAAATATAAGCTGTTGATATTTCACGTACCGAAAACACCTAACTTTATTCTGCTAATCATACTAAACCCAAGTAATCCTCACCTCTACCAGCTACGTGGAAATTTTTCAAGATTCTATTAGCGATTAGGTATACGAAAGCAACAACGTTAAAATTAGAAAAGACCAACCAGAAAAGTTGAGTAACCTCGGTAAATGCCAGTAATAATTGTTTATAGCAACAAGAAATAAAAAGAGCAGTCAATACAAGCCCACGCTGTTTAATTCCTCTAACTAATAAAACGAACGCGGATCATGATCCAAAATTAACCTCTGCACAACACAGATGGTCCATTGTCGAGCTTATGTAACTGAATACACATTGTGTCTGGTTGTATCATGTAATACGCCCGTGTAATAATGTGTGGTTCGATGTAAATGCTGTACGTAAATGCAGAAATATGTGCATTTTCTCTGCAAGGTGGCATAGGGGCATTTTGGATCCTTGAATATCTTGAATAAAATAGCAATTCTACGACGCCGTATTGACTTTCCAACTCACTACCAAAATGTATGACTGAACTAGGGAGTGCTTTTAGAAAACAATTGAAACAAACTTTGAATACAATAGCTACCTATAGTATTTCAGAATTTGCGATAGATTGAAAAGCCATTGTGGATTTTAGACCAAAACCGTTGTGTTTTATTTTTGTATGTTTTGATTTTGTATCTTTACAGTGTTTGCTTTCAATATTTGTTATGTGAATCTCGTATTTTACCGCTTACCTATATTCTTATCGTGTATCACGTATATATGCTTCTACTTTAACGTTTTTGTTATTTACTGCTTAGCTGATGGTTTTACAATCAAACTTGAGGCAACGTTGCTCTTGAAGTGTTTTCAGCGAAGGCACTGTGATAATTCCTTCAGCATTTCCTACATTCTTTTCACTTATTTTCTCTGAATGTATCTGCATCTTCCCTATTTTTGTGCAATTTCAATTATAGCCACAAATTTGATGCGATCATTTTGCGTCAAATAAATTCTAATGGATAATCTGCAGAAACCACTATGTCTTTGTCGAGCACACCCACTACATCAATTACGGCGTGACAGTTGACCGTTATCTATGCGACAGATGAATTAATGTTGCTAGGTAGATACACCTCTACGACTGTCACATCCATTCAAAGATACATGTGGAGTGCAGCGGCAGCACTGCTATGACCTTAATCTCTGTGACTGCATCAACCGTGGACTTGGGTCATGTTTCATATACGACAATAGTAAAGTCGAAGAGTATACTTAGGTGTATCAAGAGAAATCACACAAGGCGAATACAATTAGAGAGTGATAAGAGACGTATCCGAAAACATGGCGTCCACATCACAGCTGATGGCGTCAAAACAAGTGCTGTTCTTATTTAGTAGTCGGAAACAAATGAAGTGTTGCCAAGTAGATAGTGCTTTATGGTTGTATTCTTGTCAAGTTTTTTTTACTGTAGGTTGGACATTTATTCATGGTGGGGAAAGTTATTCTTAAAAGCTGTAAGTTATCACATAACTATTTAACTTTTAGGACCTTTCCGGAACCTTAGAGGATTTAGTTTAGTAACAAGAGAGGAACGTCAGCTTGAAGTGCAAACGTTTGCTAACCTCAAACTGCTTATTTTTTGACATGGCTGCCAGTTGTCTAGACAGTCTGGTCTCAAGACGATGTTCTTACTTATATCGTATCACATTTTGACATGATCACCAAATACCGTGAAAAGAAATGGACTATATTCAGCTCAGTATAAATGTAGCGTCTCTTAAACATTTTATAGTGATCTGACAACACCGCCTTGGTACATGCAGCGCTAACTATGAGCATATCGCCGAACCAAGGGCATTCCGCTCATCGCCAGTGGTTTTTTTCGGCAGAAATGAAGATTTTACGAAATTAGTGTTGTGTACAGAAATTTATTTAGATTTTCTTCCACACAATCTGCCGCAATTACTAGAAGATCTTCCTCTAAATGTGAGACACAATATCTGGTTTCTACATGATGGGGTTCCATCACATTCTAGACGAGAATTTCATGAACATCTAAATAATGAGTTTCAGAATAGACGGATAGGGCGCGATGCACCCATTTCTTGGCCTGCTCGCTCCCCGGATTTAACGCCCTGCGACTTTTTTCTGTGGGGCTATTTGAAAGAGTTGGTGTATCATTATGGAGCAGTAAATACTCTGGAAGAACTTCGACGCTTGTGATTTAATTCGTGGACATCAGGATATGTATATATATATACTTCGAAGTTGAGTCATTTATTTTAACAGTGAGTAGATCTGATCAAAAGAAATGTTTTTTTCCTTTACCATTTTTCTGGTAAAATTAAAGTAACAAAGTTATAGCCCTTTGGAAGTTTGAGTACCGCCCTGTCTCAATAATAATATTATGTGCTCGTGTTTGGCAACAACGGATATAATCCGCCTTATCGGATCATCGCATCGGAAACAAAAAAGCGAAAGAATTTGGAACGATGTTTTTACAATTATTTTATTCAGTTGTATACAGTCAGTGTCAGTCGGTAACGCGTGAGTGAATAGTGGTGTCTGTTGCGTGGCTCAAACGAAATCAAAAATGGCACATGTTTACGAAAATGCTGAACTTGCGGACATGATTCTTATTTACGCGGCATCACGGATTTATGCGGATCGAATTTAAAATTCCCATTAATTAAAATATAGTTTATTCAACTGCCTCTGGTCGGTTTAACAATTTCTTACATAACATTCTGAAAATCACATCATCTGAAGTGATTTGGCAACGTTTTGGCACACGCCCACAATTCGTTCCATCTTTCAACACAGACATTGACAACCTTCGGCCTTCTGTCAAAGGTTCATCTCATTCATTATTCCATGACCACCATTTTGTGCAATCATCAAGTGGCTTCACGACGTAATGCTCTAATGTTTTCTAAATAATTTTTAATCTGTCTTTAACTTGTCTTGTCATATTTTATATAATTTTAACCATTGTACCATGAATCCAGCTCTCACCATGTTACTGGACGTTTCCCTCATCCTATACGAAAAAAACAATTAGCAACATCCTCACATACTACTGTAAGTTGATTCAATTTAAATTCATTTTACACTTTTGTTGATACTGTTATCATTGTAATTGCAGCTCCTGATGATGATGGCAAAGTCCATTGAAAGCTAGAGAGAATTAAAAAAAGTATAAAGAGTCCTCTTTGCTTAAATTTTGTCGAAGTACCCAACAAAAGGCGGAAGCCTTAATTTTTCACCTTACGAGTATATATATATATATATATACGAGTATATGTATATGTGTATATATATACGAGTATATGTATATATATAAATGCTTGTAATGAGTAATGGATTCGCCGAGCAATAATCGAACTAATGGGGACAATTTTGAACAGTTTTTGTTCTTTAGCATAGAGAGAGTAACACTGGACGCAAAATAGGTCCCTGAGGTACGCCTATGGTTTCACTACAGTGTGTGTTATTCTTTCACGTCCGAATGTTGCACATACTCCAAGACACAATCTTAAACAGCATCTCACCTCTGGTGGCATAGAAAATAGCGAATAAAACCTAACCCCACGACCTTCTTTCCAGAGATGCATCCCAGAATTCGAGAACGCGGCCTTCAACGTGCCCATGGAGGCCACGAACACTTGCGGGGACAGCGGCCCCATCGAATACTGCATCCAGACGGGGGCCGGTATCAGGAAGTCGTGCGAGACCTGTCATCCAGGCACTCATGATGCCAGGTACCTCACCGACCTCCACAACAACGACAATCCTACCTGGTGGCAATCGGAGACTATGTTTGAGGGCATCCAGTGGCCCAACCAGGTCAACCTCACGTTGAAGTTCAGTAAGTATCAACCAAAAAAACAGACAACATGTTAACTAGTTAGCTCCTAGTCTTCGAACAGCTCATTCCGCTGGGAGCGTCACCCATAGCGCCATCTATCGAGGAATTACTCAACGACATGCTGCAAGGGAGTTCGCCAGCATGCTTTGTCGGTTGCATAATGTTGAGATTGTAGAGTATGTGTCTGCCAAGCGGTGACAGAAAGAAAATTGATTGAGTAGCAGAGTAGCAAGGTCGCATCTGGATGATTGTGTGTTTCGGTTTTCATGTGTATAAAATTAGTGGTATTTGCTATTTGAGAAATGTGCTGCCCATGAAGTATTAGCTGTGCCTTACGGGTTATTTATGCGTTGTTTTGTCTGAAGAGAGGTTATGTTCAAAGTTATATCTATGGCTTTATTTTAAAAAATATATATATTCCCTTACCTTCAAAGCCACGCCTCAGAAAAATTGGGAATAACGCACCACACACAAGATATTTTCGCAGTGCGTCACAGCTAGGCGCTGATTTGTATTTTCTACTTGACATCACAAAAAATAATGTAAAATGCAACCTATTTTCTCAAGTGTTAGTTCTGCACCAACCAGGGATTTTCGTTTTCTATCTCTCTCATCTTTTAGATTCATCAAATTTGCATATTTAATCTCCGGGATGAATAAGAAAAAGTGGATGCGCAATTCATGTCTAGCATTGCATACTTGACCCAGTGGACAGTTACTGTATCCGGCACCACGCTTTGGAAATCAAGCTTTATAGCCTCTGCGCGCTCCTTTCGCTCTCCGGTACGAATTCTCCGAATGGGGAGGACTTGCTTAGATATAGGTGTTATGTCCAAGTGCCTCAATGGTTGCTTCAATGATAAAAATAGCATTTTGCATACTTAACTGATACCTATGTAGTGCTGCCACTAATTTTGGAGCTAACTATGAAACTTTTCCTCATTGGAGTTTGAGTGGTACCAAGCTGTGTGAAGATGAATTTTCTTGCACTAGATTGTTAAGGAAGCAACAGATTCAGCTCGCCGCTTTTTTTCTTCGGAGTTCCTGAGACGAGCCTTTTCTTCTTTCATGGTTCTTGTCCATCTCAGCTAAATGACCAGGACCAAATGAAATTACATGGTATGCGTTTGAAAAAAAGAACTTTCTTTTTTTTGTGACTGATGACTGCTACTGTGCAAAGAAATTTCTGCATAGATAATTATATTAATGACAGCTAATAAGAGCTGTCTAGTCCGTCTCAACTTTCGGCAACCCGTACAAATTTAGTCCCATTATAGTTAACGACAGGGTCGATTTTTTGCTACCGCTTATAGTGCTTTCGGATGTTGTATCAACCGTGTTTCAAGTTTTAAAGAAATCGTTGTTCGACTGCTTTGATTAGCCCGTCTTGCAGGTCCGCAAATCATGCATCAGTAATAATGACTTGTGGTCTAACAATGCCTTTTACTTTTTTACAGACAAAGCGTTCGACATTACGTACGTGAGGCTGATATTCTACTCTCCAAGACCTGAAAGTTTTTTCATCTCTAAGAAGACTGCTGCTGATGGACCATGGATACCATATCAGTACTACAGGTAGGACTTTTCTTAAACTAATTCCTACTTTTTTCTATCCACGTGCAGTTTATCTGCCCATTAATTTTTTAATTAGATAATAATTACGGTTCAGCTGATTTCTATACCTATACTGACTGGACTAATTGTTGACTCATAGTTTCTTTCAACGAGCTTTATCTGGGAAGCTGATCGAGAAACATGAAAAAATAGCACAGTCTCAAAAGTAGTTTATCTGACCACTCATTTATCCTTTTGCCTGCAAGATTAAGTTCTGCGACCTTCTTGGAATTTTTAAAGGCTGAACATGCTAATATGTGGGATGATGTTATGTCAGATTTAAGAAGATTGGCCTGGTCCCAGCTTGATGGTTGTCCAGCTCATTATTCGAGAATAGTTAGAAACTGGCTGGACGAAAATTATCCAGAAAGATGGATCGGCCGTGGAGGACCAGTCGCCTGGCCTCCACGATCCCCTGACCTAAATCCATTAGATTTCTTTGTGTGGGGATTTCTAAAAGCAAAAGTGTACCAGACTCCCGTAACCACAAGAGATATGCTAATAGACAGAATCAGGAATGCATGTGATGAAATAAGGCCTTATTTGAATAATGCTATACCACGTTCGATCATTCGTAGATGTGAATTGTGTATTGAACAATTGGGTTTACATTTCGAGCACCTACTTTAGATTTTGTATGTTTGTCCTAACTATCCAATAGCATTTTAGTTGTAAATAATTAATTTAATTTGTTAAAAATAATATTGGAAAATTAAACAAATTAATATTCTGTTTTTTGTGTTTATTTGGAGTTAGGAAGTATTGATGTGTTTAAAAACACAATCTAAACGATCATCTTAATTACTTGTAATGCTCAAATCGAAAATGTAAAAAAAATATTATTTTCCCATAAATAATTAAAAATGCATCGACCTTAAAAATCGAAATATCACAAAAACGGCTAACTATAACGAAAACTCACAAGAGAGCTTTTTTATGCAGAAAAGTGCGAAGAATCAGTTATTTTATTAAAAAAGCAACAAATTGTACTAAGAAAAATTTTTCGGTCATTTTAATACACTACAGGTACAGTAGAGAGCGCCCTCTAGCGGCTACAGTAAAACTATGCCCATGGTTCGTTTCGTCGTACCAAAAAACTCTTGTATACCAATTTTCACTGTTATACATCAAATATTTTCGAAATATTTTAAAATATTTTAGAAAGTAAATTTAAACACCCTGTATTTCGGAAGCCACGCATTTTTCGACCCATGTTTATGCATTAATTTTAAAAGTTCTATCGAATCTTAAGGTTATGCAACAATAAACCCCCTGTATATTAAATGTTTAAACGTTAGATAAAATGACAGTTTAGCTGACTGTCATACCTATATTGACTGGACTAATTTTTCTTTGAAAGCTTTTTCAACGATACTTCATCCAGTAACTTATCCTGTGAAGCCGATTTAGAAACGTGAAAGGTTAAGAAAAAAATAGTACAGTCTAAAAAGTAGCGATTTTATACAAATTGGAGATGAATCAAAACCATGCACACTTTATAATAAAGAAAGGAATATTTTTTCCAGAATGTGCGACAAGCAAAACAGGGCATACAACGTCAATTTACTTCTACTTGAATTTTTCAACATTAACATCTATAAAAATGGAATATGTCGCATTAATGATGTTGACTTCATAATATTGAAATTAATCTCCAAGTGGCATGTGAAATTGCAATCCACCAGGCTTATTGCCAATAAAGCGGGTTGTATTATGTACCTTAAAAGGAGCGAGGAAAAAAATTAGTGTTCATCAATGTGCTGGCCGCTCTTTAAAAAAACTTCAATAACTCAATTTATTCTGAATAGCAACATACGCCATTTTCTTCCAGTAATTACGTGCATGTTATAGGTCAGTATTCAGAGAAGGAATTCCATTTGAAAATTATTTTCAGATCAATTGTACGTCGCGCTTATTGCGAGCATGTTGATCGAGAACATTTTCAAATTCAAATATACTAAGTGACATATAAATCCGAACACCCAGTTTAAATGGTTTTATTTTAATAAAATTTTGTATAAGTACTTAATGAAGCATAATAAGTAAAGGATAAAAATTTCAAAATGATTGCACTGCTTTAAAGCCCTTTGACCTTTAATAATGTGTGGATGCACCCTGATGTGCTACGCATTCTCCAACGCGCCTAGGCATGCTTCTGATCAGGTGGTCAATGTCCTCCTGTGGTATCTCATGCCAGGCAACCACCAACTCCTCTCGAAGTGCTTCTAGAGTCTGAGGAGGACGTTGCAAATTGAGCAATCTCCTACCCATCATATCCCACACGTGCTCAATTGGGGATAAGTCGGGAGATCTTGGTGGCCATGGTAACAATGTGACATCATTATGTTGAAAGAAGTCTATTGTGACTCTTGCAACATGTGGTCGGGCATTATCTTGTTGGAAAGTTGGATCTGCCAGGGTGTCAAGATAGGGTAAAAGATGGGGTTCTAGAACTTCGTGGATATAACGCTGCGCGTTCATGTTTCCTCTGATGAAGATTAAAGGTGACCTGGAACCATAAGCTATAGCACCCCAAACCATAACTCCAACAGTGTGATGAACATGTCTTTCAACAAAAAACTGTGGATCCCTCCTTTCACCACGTCGCCTTCTAACCCTTACACCGACGTAATCGCCTTGAGTGGTGCAGACAACGGTCACTCTGGGATCAGGAATGGAACAGTATTGTCTTTAGTGACGAGTCTCGATTTTGTTTAGGCATGCACGATGGTCGTGCCAGGGTTAGAAGGCGACGTGGTGAAAGGAGGAATCCACAGTTTTTTGTTGAAAGACATGTTCATCACACTGTTGGAGTTATGGTTTGGGGTGCTATAGCTTATGGTTCCAGGTCACCTTTAATCTTCATCAGAGGTAACATGAACGCGCACCGTTATATCCACGAAGTTCTAGAACCCCATCTTTTACCCTATCTTGACACCCTGGCAGATCCAACTTTCCAACAAGATAATGTCCGACCACATGTTGCAAGAGTCACAATAGACTTCTTTCAACATAATGATGTCACATTGTTACCATGGCCACCAAGATCTCCCGACTTATCCCCAATTGAGCACGTGTGGGATATGATGGGTAGGAGATTGCTCAATTTGCAACGTCCTCCTCAGACTCTAGAAGCACTTCGAGAGGAGTTGGTGGTTGCCTGGAATGAGATACCACAGGAGGACATTGACCACCTGATCAGAAGCATGCCTAGGCGCGTTGGAGAATGCGTAGCACATCAGGGTGCATCCACACATTATTAAAGGTCGAAGGGCTTTAAAGCAGTGCAATCTTTTTGAAATTTTTATCATTTACTTATTATGCTTCATTAAGTACTTATACAAAATTTTATTAAAATAAAACCATTTAAACTGGGTGTTCGGATTTATATGTCACTTAGTATACTCGGTGACATCAGAAAAAAAATTCTTCAACTTGTTTTTTTTTGCGAAGTTAATGACTACAGGGTGTTTGGTACATGAACCAACAAAAATGTTTGGGCGATTGGGGACGCTATTTAATTATTTTTTATACAAACCGGAATGCTCTAAGGCTACGGTTACCAAGATGATGAGATGAGATGGTCGTTTTTCGTTTTTTTTTTTTTGCTGAATTATCCACAATTGCGTATAGATATTGTTTCTAGAGGTAATGACACAAAATAAACGTGAGACTGAAGCAATAAATCACTCAAGTTTTATAAGTAAAGCTAGGTGTCAGAAAAGGTATAGTTTTCTTATAAACGAATTTCGAATTTGAAATTATTTATACACTCCACGTGATTGTACGACTTTGGAAAGTCATAAGTCATTTGTTTCACAATATTTGTACGAACTGTTTATTTAATCTAATTGAATGTACATTACAGAACAGACTCACGTTTACTTTGTGTCATTGTCTCTAGAAACAAAAAAGTTATAACGATATGTATGCACAATTGCAGGTAAATCAGCAAAAAAAAACGAAAAACGGTCATATCTCGGTAACAGTAGCCTTTAAAGCATTGCGGTTTCCATCAAATAGCACCCCCAATCGCCCAAAAAACGTTCATCTACCAAACGCCCCATTTACACAATGCTAACGTTTTATCTCTGTTCTTGTTTACCTTCATTAAACCGTCATCTCTTAGTTTTTGTAAAGAAAGCCGTTTCAGAGAGCTGGGAGGTACACATATTATTAGTCAACGCCCTTTTATTTACTAGTGTCTTATTTACAAAGTGCCTCGAGTTTGAAGTCGTCCAAATCACCGAAATGTATCTCTTTGTGCTGGGCTATGAGCGGATAGCCTGTAAGCGTTCCATTCAGAATCGAGTGTCTGTCCGATGGTAAAATTTTATTAAAAGTGGGCGTCTATCCGTATAGATAGGCCATAATCAAATTCTGTAGGCGTTGCGGAGATTGAAAATGCCCAACGCAGATGAAGATATAACAGCATGGGCGCCCACAGATTGGCACCAAGGGGGAGGCGAGCGCGAAGACAAAACTAGTTGGATCTTAGAAGCGCCATCTATCACACCAGAAAGCGCATAGCTGCTACTCGTATTAGTCGGAACTGCCGGGGATCCCAGTAGCCGCTAGTTGGCTTACGATTCTTCATCACTTAACTACCAGTAGTCGGCTGTTCATAGGCGGGGTATGAATGTTTAACATGGGTGAACTGGATTTGTCACATGCTTAATAAAGAGTGGTTTGAAACATATTGTAAGTCAAAAATTTGGGAATTACCTTTATTCATCGTCGCTTCCACTTACATCTGACAGTAATAAACTGTCGCTATCGCTTTTCTCGTTGAAATTGACTATAACTGGCTCTATGATGGGGTCGATGTGGTGGTCAAACTGCCACATTTTTGTTTCTTCCTTCACAACATGACGGATAGCATTCTGACAAGCTTCGGGCGTTACTAGCTGTATGGAAGTCTCAAGTAAAACCTAAACGTCTGGTAATTTGAAGGTTGTGTTATGGCGCGCAATATAACCCTTCACTTGCGGCCAGATGAGCTCTATTGGGTTCAGTTCACAGTGGTAGGGCGGTAACCGCAGCACAGTGACACCACATTGACGGGCCATCTCATCAGTCACGTAACTAATGTTCGCAGGTTTGTGCTGTTTAATTTTTTCATACAATTCCGCTTTCACACATGAATCGTCAAACGGGATTCCTTTTTCGCGCAACCATTGCTGCATGTCACTTTTTCGAGATCCCATAGTCGGTACACGTTCGGCTCGACGACTATGGTAGGAAGCATTATCCATGACGATCACAGAGTTGGGCTCAACTCGCTGAAGCACCCCTTGAAACCAGCTGGCATTCATTTCGTCATGGTAATCACCTCCTTTCTTAGAGACGAAAATCAAGTCACACTCTTCTAAAAAGCCACTATCGCTACCAATATGAGTTACGATCAATCTTTGACCTTTCCCTGATGGTCCACGAAAACCTGTTGACAAACCTTCAATGCTTGCTTGTCGGTTACTCACTACGTGTTTGTCTATCCACTGTGTGACCTGCATTTACCCATGTCTCGTCCAAATAATAGATTTTTCTGCTTTGTCGCCTATATTCAATCATTTCGCGTAGGTATTTTCGACGCCAGGCGACTATTTCAGGTCTCTCTATCAATACTGACTTCCGATTACGCGTTTCGTAACGAAAATTAATTTCGTGCAGGGATTTCCTCATTACCTCGACGCTCATTTGGGGTATAATTTCATTTTCCTTGATCGCTGCATGTACAGCCTTGAGGGTTGGTATCTCATTCCTAAAGAAGAATGAATGTACGGTTCGCCTTAACGCCATTTTGCTATCGTCATCCAATTTAACGGCCTTTCGTCCCTTCAAATTAAACTTTGGATCAGTAGTGGCTCCAGTTTTCTTCTTTTCATGCACCACCCTGCGAATGGTCCACTCTGGAACGCCTGTCATACTTTCACAACGCGCTGAGTGCATCTCCCTGCGACATAGTTCTGTTCAGATAATTGAACACGTTGAGCACGATTTCTTTCGCGTCCCTCTTCAGTGCTTTACGAAGCCGTCTACTTGTTCCCTGGCTTTCAGTACTTCCACTCGTGTCATTTGTACTCTCCATGGTTAAGTATAACCAAAACAGTAACCACAGAAACCACAACAATAACAATCACACAACAATTCTTATAAAAACACACAATATGCGATCGCTCAACGAAACACGTTCCAATGCGTTGCCGACGCCTATGAGTCTGCCGGTCGAGGCGCGTCTTTGATTTCATTGGTTCTACCGGCGGAGAACAATCAACCATTATTTCCATCTCTGTCTGTGCTGTTGACCACCGCAAAGCCACAGAAACGACATATGTCGTACGCTATACGGCTGTACTGGAAGGAAGCCGGGATCGAGCTCTGATCACGTGTATGAGTCATTACAGTTTTAAATAGTTGTAGTATAGGAGAAACGTTTAAAAAACTGTTGAAACATACTTTGTCGGTCCTTAAGAGATGATTCAGGTACGGATGAACTTGGAATTTCAGTTTTTCTGATATCCTTTTCCTGATAAATGATATCGTTTTGACTAAACAATGCTACCCCAAAACATCTAGAATGCTACCTTAGTGCCGCCAAATTTTCGTCCTGTGTTCAACTTTGTCATAGGAAGTGTGCAGAGGTCCAAGAAAATCTGTAGAGGTACGACAATCTATGGACCTTTCCTGAAATTAATGTGCTAGGTTTAAATGTTTCTAAACATTCACCTAAAGGTGAACCGTAAATGCCCTGAAAGAATGAATATGTAGTTATGCTTATGTATATATGACATATAAATCCGAACACCCAGTTTAAATGGTTTTATTTTAATAAAATTTTGTATAAGTACTTAATGAAGCATAATAAGTAAATGATAAAAATTTCAAAATGATTGCACTGCTTTAAAGCCCTTTGACCTTTAATAATGTGTGGATGCACCCTGATATGCTACGCATTCTCCAACGCGCCTAGGCATGCTTCTGATCAGGTGGTCAATGTCCTCCTGTGGTACCACCAACTCCTCTCGAAGTGCTTCTAGAGTCTGAGGAGGACGTTGCAAATTGAAGCAATCTCCTACCCATCATATCCCACACGTGCTCAATTGGGGATAAGTTGGGAGATCTTGGTGGCCACGGTAACAATGTGACATCATTATGTTGAAAGAAGTCTATTGTGACTCTTGCAACATGTGGTCGGGCATTATCTTGTTGGAAAGTTGGATCTGCCAGGGTGCCAAGATAGGGTAAAAGATGGGGTTCTAGAACTTCGTGGATATAACGCTGCGCGTTCATGTTACCTCTGATGAAGATTAAAGGTGCCACTCCATAACTCCAACAGTGTGATGAACATGCCTTTCAACAAAAAACTGTGGATTCCTCCTTTCACCACGTCGCCTTCTAACCCTGGCACGACCATCGTGCATGCCTAAACAAAATCGAGACTCGTCACTAAAGACAATACTGTTCCATTCCTGATCCCAGAGTGACCGTTGTCTGCACCACTCAAGGCGATTACGTCGGTGTTCTCGAGTTAAAGGGAGGACCCAGTGTGGCCGGTATGAAAACAAGCCAAAACTTCTCATTCGTCGGTAAACACTCCGCATGCCAATAGGTCTTCCGTGTTCTGCAAACCATTCATTTGCAATGGACCTGGTAGTGGAGAAACGGTCCCTTAAGGCCAATAATCTTAGGCGGCGATCTTCACGGTCTGTTGTTCTACGGCGGCGTCCAGTGCCCCTTGCTCTTCGCGTACGGCCTTCTCGAAGCCATACCTAACACCTAACCACAGTGTCTACACTTCTTTGCACTCTAACTGCAATTGCCCGAAAAGAAAGTCCAGCTTCCCGAAGTCCCACTATACGGCCCCTATCAAACTCACTAAGTTGACGAAATCGTACAGGTCTCCGTACTCTAGGCATCGTAACCGATCGTAAAGGGTGTCAAGAACCAAAATCCGCCAACGTTGATTCTTTACTGCGGCTGAAATATTCATTTTTAGAGCGTTAGTGAATTAAAAAAAAGCAGTATAAAAACCGGAATGTCCAACTGATAAGGCTGAAAATTTTTTCACTTGTTATTTACAGTAAGGTAAATACATTCACCAACTTTTATTAAAATAAAACCATTTAAACTGGGTGTTCGGATTTATATGTCACTTAGTATATTATGATTATGAGTATTTCCAAATCTCTAATAGGGTCGTATACTCCATCGATGAAAACATGGTAACTAAAAATTAAAATGCTTTAAATGCAGTCCACATGACCTCTATTGCACACGTTTTGGGTCGCTGAAGCCGAAATAATCTCACATGTATCTGACTTCGTTTATCGTGTAGATCTAATTATTCAGCGAAAAATTGCAAAACTACGCGTTTTTGCGACTTTAAGGTGTTGAAAATCCATTTTTATTATCGGCGGCTACATGTGAGCGAAACTTTGCACGATAAAGTAATTTGTGGTTCTGAATATGAGTAACATAGTGAAAAAATCTAAGGTGTCAACGGACCGAATTTTGGACGTAAAATTGGTAAGAAACTTGTAACTCGCGGCTACCCATGAATCCTAGTACTAAACTGACATCAAATTCGGATTGTACGCACACAATTTACCTAGAAAACGAGCTTACATCTAGATCATAGACTGGCAACGGTTTTTAGGGATCTTTGATAAAGATTCTCGAAAACGAGCCATTTCCGGTGATGAGCTCCAAAGCATCCAATTCATCTTGGAAGCGATTTTTTTGTAAAAACCAGAAGCGCCTAACGACGTAATGCAAACTTTCTTTTGGGAAGTCAAAAGGTACTATAAGTTGGCAAGCAGTCCAAAAATCTCTGTCTACCTTCCACGTTGTTCGTTTGTTTACTTAATCCTTTTTGTTTCCAGTGCCACCTGTCGCGACACGTACGCCCTACCTGACCTGACGCACACCACAAGGGGCGAAGAAACGCGAGCCCTTTGTACCTCCGAATACTCGGATATTTCGCCGCTGAGAGATGGCAACGTCGCATTCGGCACGCTGGAGGGCCGACCTTCCGCGTACAACTTTGATAACAGCCCAGAATTACAGGTAAGGACGTTTGTTTTCAAAAAACAACAAACAATAGTTTAAATTAAATATTTTGAAATGGCTAACAACAGCAGATAAAATAGATTAGCTTTCCAGCAGTTAAAATTAACAGAAATACAATATAAAAATATATAAAAGGACAAACAATAAGTGGATAACAAACAATACAAAGAAAGGAACATCTAAATATCCACAAAGTCACTGATGGCGTAACAAGTCTTATTAATAAAATAGGTTCTTAACTCAACTTTAAAATTATTTAAGGAGCTAATTGTCTCAATATACTCAGGCAGCTTATTGAATATCTTTGGTCCTAAAATAGAGGGAGATCTACTACCCAACTTATATCCAGCAAAGGGTAGATGAATGTCGTCCTGCCTACGAGTCTTGAATGTATGTATATTACTATTAAAGGTGAAATTATCTCTGTTAATATACGTATATATTGCCATTTCATAAAGAAACAACGAGGGCAGTGTTAGAATTTTTAATTTCGGGACCAAGTCTCTGCAACTGTATATACTGTCACTATGCACCTTATTATTCTCTTTTGACTTCGAAATACCTTTGAAGCATTCACCGAGGAACCCCAGAAACACAATGCATACCGCATTCGCGACTCGATATAACATCAATAACTGGTCGCGTGTAAAAAATCTTCTCGGATTTTTAGAATAAGTACAATACGAGAAAGAATATTAGAAAAGGTTCGACTATCTGGCAGAGCACGATCGGGATGGCTCTGGTGATAAATCCGTCTGGCTTGCTCACCATTACCGTCGGCAAGGCCATAAACGTAATACATTTCCGCCATTTCTTCATTTGAATAATTCACCATGATTAACAAGATTGTAAGAACTAAATGATGAGAAAGATGTCACAGCGAACAGATTTGAAGTACAAATCATACAACATAGTTTATGTATGTCGAATTTAGTAAATTAAATAGCAATAGAGAGCTTACGTTTTATTATAAAATTGAGCATAAATGCACATACATATGTACCAAAATAATCAAGAATTATCAATCAAAATCATTAGTTCGTTGTAGGATGTACCATTCTCTTCAGCCCATTGTAAACCTAGCTCAATTGCGTCTTGTGCTGTGACTTGTGAAGCAGTTGCAATCACGTCGTCGTTATTTTCCTGATTGTTTGTTGTATAATTAGAAACCTCTTTTATAATCTCTTCGTCAGACATTTCATGAAAAGCATTTTCCTCTTTATCCATTCCACGGCACCAGATTTACAAATCTTCCGGACTTATCTGTGTTTCAGCAGCGACTTGTTCTATAACTTCCGAAGTTACGCTAATTTGTGGAACGTTGCTAGGAGTGGTGACTATATCTGGCCATAACTTTTTCCAAGACGATTTAACAGTTGATGACGGTAACGCATTCCGCGACTGACAAAGAGCAAAAACCAAGTCTTTCATATTAAATTCTTTTAAAGTTTTTTCTGTCGGTTGGTCTTTTGATACGGCTCTCAGAAGTAGGTATTTCTTATAGTCTTGCTTGACAAACTGAATGATATTCTGGTCCATTGGTGGAATCAGTGCAGTGCAATTTGGCGGAAGAAACATCGCAGTGATGCATTTATCCTCAGTTGTTAGTTCTTCTTCAGACGGATGACCGGGAGCGTTATCAAGAAGTATCAACGCTTTTTGAGGAAAATTATGATCTTTTAACCATTTTCTAACTTCAGGTACGAAGCATTCATCAAACCACTTGTTGAAAAGGTCTTTTGTCATCCATGCACTTTTTTGTCCGTAATAGTGTATGGTATATCTGAAGTCACTTGAAATAGCATAAAAACCTTTGGTCGGCGCGTCCTTTGTAATTTCATGACGTATCATAGGCGTGCGGTCATTTATTTAGAACGATAATAATAATGTTTTTATATCACAATAAATGGATTTTACTATCTTCTTATTTTTTGATTTGGGATAAAAGATACTTATATTGGGAGTTTAATTTATGTTGACTGAAAGTTAAGAAATGGAAAAATTACAAAATTCCAACGTTTGACATAGGCAAATATTTACATAGCAGGTAGGTATATAAAAAAGTATATAAAGACTTACATTATAGGTATTTATATATCATCCTCGCCTTCGGAGCTGTCGCTAGAGTCATCTTGTAGAGGAATTACAACGGGATTTACAGGAGGCAAAACACAATATTCATTTTCCTTTTCAATAATATGCCTAGAACACTGCTTCCATAGGTCTGTGGCAGCAATATGAGATACTGCATCTGTTATTGTGGCCAATAGCGATTCACTTAATTGAGGGGTCTGATTATGTTTTCTTACTTTTTTTTAAAAGCAGCCCAGACCAACTCAATCGGGTTAAAAATGCAGTAATAGGGAGGTAGACGTAATACTTCATGGCCATTCTGCTGAAGCAGATTGTCAACAACATACTCTTTTTCAAATTTTTGTCTTTTAATAAGATCCAATAATATGGCTTTGGTTGATTTTTGTGGTATTTCCATTCCCTTATCCTTCATAAAATCAATAATGTCTTGTTTTTTTGTGCCTGTATTCGGAATTTTGTTTTTCTGTCGGGAATGGTATGGCGCATTGTCCATAATAATCACTGAATTTGGGGAAATGTTTGGTATTAACTGCTGCTCTATCCACTTTTTAAATAAGTCGGAGGTCATGTCCTCATGATAGTCGGCACATGATTCTTTGATATTTTTGGCAGATAACAGCAAGGCATTAGGTATAAATCCATTTTTACTGCCAGCATGGAGAACAATGATTCGTTTTCCACGGTTGCATGGTGCATTTAAAATGCACTTGTTGCTGTCGTCAACCCAGCCGTACTGCACAACATCATGGGTTTCATACCACGTTTCATCCAGGTAAATCAGATTTCTTTTCTGCTCTCTATAGATTTTAACTTTGTGCAAAAATTCTTGGCGCAATTCAACGGTTCGAGGCGACTCCATAATCACCATTCTTTTATCTAATTTTTTGTATTGAAAACCACACAGTTTTACAATACAGTGCAGTGAGTCTAAGCATTTGTAATTATAAAAATCTTCAGGATAATCTTTTAATTTATCCCGTATCATTTCCAACGTGGGCACCAAATTTTCTTTATAAAATCCGTATATTATACGACGAATATCTTCCTGAAAACCCACGTCTATTCTTTTTAATTTTTGCCCTATGCGCTTTCTGTGGAAGGAATGTTTGACTACATCTCCCCTTTTTATAACCCGATAAATGGTAGACCGACTGATTTGTCAGGATACAAATTCTGTTTAAAATTTGATTTTGCGAGGAATCTGGATTTTCGTTTTTCAAACAATCATATATATTTAGGATTACTCTTTGGGTCTGTTCCTCTAAATCTTTATGAAAGAATTCTGCCTGCACAGGTTCATCAACCATCTCCTCGTGGCTTGGAGCATTTTCCCAAGGTCTCCAAAGAGCCATATTTAGGACACACAAGAACAATCAACAAAACAATTAAATCAACAAGTAAACTAAGTATTCAAAAGTCAAAAACACACAAACTAATAAAATCTATGAAAAAACACGGACAGACTAAAGAAAACACGTTTATTCACCGCTACGCGGCACTGGCTAAACTGTTTCAATTTTCAGTAGCCACCTGCACTTTTTCGGAGCTCTGAAATACACGCTTTCTCATTGGCTATGTCCACGCATAGGCGTGCTTTACTCCACGTGGACCGGTGAAACTGCCTTTGATCTTATACAGGGGATATTTGCTGCGAAATTTGGCGATTATTACAGCAACAGAGCGTGTTAAATATAGACATATAAAACGCACCCGGTATTTCACAGTATTTCAAAGTGACTTCAGATAAAGTATACAGGTAAATCAATGTTTTTGAATGCTCGTGGGTTATTAGATTTCCCACTGACCATCATCGTAAGCGCGTGTGTGCCCGCAGCGTTAGCACATGGTAGTATGGTTACACGCTCTTTACTCACTTTTCGTCCAGGTACGGATTTTTCGTTACAAGAAACGAAAGTTTTGTTAGGCATCACACGCGAAAAAATCCCTGATTCGTCTGCATTGGACACCTGTGACGGGTCAAGATTTAAATCGTTCACCTTTTGCAAAAATCTCAATTTAAAGGGCTCTATGTAGGTGGCATCGTTAGAAAGTTTCTCTCGTGTAATAGTCATGACGACTTTTAAAACGTTCTAGCCATCCTTTGCCGGCCACAAAATCATCTTTTTTTATTTCCTTATAAAAAAAATTAGCTTTCATGGCCAACATGGGTCCTGAAATGGGTGCATGCCCATTTCTTTCCTGAAGAAACCACATGTACATTACAAAGCTACTTCCACTTCTGGATGTTCAGCTTTCTTGAGTGTCTGTCTCTTGCCTGGCCGTATTCACTTGCTAAACTACTGAAAGTTTCATTGCGATTTAGGCGGTCTAAAATATCACATTTTTCTTTAATTGCCAATGTTTTGTGCTTTCGCTTCTGAGTTTGTGATGACATTACTAGGTACTATACTTAATATACAATGGATAAATAGTAAACAATGAACGCATGCTAAGCCGTACCGCTATCACAAGTACTCAAATTCAAACTAAGTAAAACAATGCTTAAGTTGTAACCTGTTCAAACCTGCGTGATCTACATTAGCGAAGATTGTCAAATACGTATGTATGTAATATTCAAAGACATGTCGGATTACAAGGGGCGCCGGATTAGACAGCGGCCGGACAATAGAACGGTTTTTATTTTTTTACTCAAAAATGGCACATCAAAGGAAAACAATTCAAGACAGATCATTTGTTATATATCATTAAGGAACATCCTGTATATTTCAACCTGAAAAACTAAAGTTAAATGTAAACATTTTTCACGTGCATTGTATTGTACTTAATATACTAAGTGACATATAAATCCGAACACCTAGTTTAAATGGTTTTGTTTTAATAAAATTTTGTATAAGTACTTAATGAAGCATAATAAGTAAATGATAAAAATTTCAAAATGATTGCACTACTTTAAAGCCCTTTGACCTTTAATAATGTGTGGATGCACCCTGATGTGCTACGCATTCTCCAACGCGCCTAGGCATGCTTCTGATCAGGTGGTCAATGTCCTCCTGTGATATCTCATTCCAGGCAACCACCAACTCCTCTCGAAGTGCTTCTAGAGTCTGAGGAGGACGTTGCAAATTGAGCAATCTCCTACCCATCATATCCCACACGTGCTCAATTGGGGATAATTGGGGAGATCTTGGTGGCCATGGTAACAATGTGACATCATTATGTTGAAAGAAGTCTATTGTGACTCTTGAAACATGTGGTCGGGCATTATCTTGTTGGAAAGTTGGATCTACCAGGGTGTCAAGATAGGGTAAAAGATGGGGTTCTAGAACCTCGTGGATATAACGCTGCGCGTTCATGTTACCTCTGATGAAGATTAAAGGTGACCTGGAACCATAAGCTATAGCACCCCAAACCATAACTCCAACAGTGTGATGAACATGTCTTTCAACAAAAAACTGTGGATTCCTCCTTTCACCACGTCGCCTTCTAACCCTGGCACGACCATCGTGCATGCCTAAACAAAATCGAGACTCCTCACTAAAGACAATCCTGTTCCATTCCTGATCCCAGAGTGACCGTTGTCTGCACCACTCAAGGCGATTACGTCGGTGTTCTCGAGTTAAAGGGAGGACCCAGTGTGGCCGGTATGAAAACAAGCCAAAACTTCTCATTCGTCGGTAAACACTTCGCATGCCAATAGGTCTTCCGTGTTCTGCAAACCATTCATTTGCAATGAACCTGGTAGTGGAGAAACGGTCCCTTAAGGCCAATAATCTTAGGCGGCGATTTTCACGGTCTGTTGTTCTACGGCGGCGTCCAGTGCCCCTTGCTCTTTGCGTACGGCCTTCTCGAAGCCATGCCTGACAACACCTAACCACAGTGTCTACACTTCTTTGCACTCTAACTGCAATTGCCCGAAAAGAAAGTCCAGCTTCCCGAAGTCCCACTATACGGCCACTATCAAACTCACTAAGTTGACGAAATCGTAACCGATCGTAAAGGATGTCAAGAACCAAAATCCGCCAACGTTGATTCTTTACTGCGGCTGAAATATTCATTTTTAGAGCGTTAGTGAATTAAAAAAAAAACAGTATAAAAACCGGAATTTCCAACTGATAAGGCTGAAAATTTTTTCACTTGTTATTTACAGTAAGATAAATACATTCACCAACTTTTGTTAAAATAAAACCATTTAAACTGGGTGTTCGGATTTATATGTCACTTAGTATATAAAATAGGCAACCTGGGCTTAGACACACTAAGCTGCTACTCCAGGCACACCATGAGGTAAGCAACTAGTTGCTCCACATATCGTATGCCCTAGGTAGACGTAGGGAACCGAGGATGACCGCATTCTGCATCCTTCCGGCGGAGGTGCTTGCCGATGCTCGGCATACTGGAATGGATTCAATTGCAGATAGCGTTGTATTCCTCACCCCACCCAAGGATCTAACGACCATGACATGCAGACTGGTCAGAACCTGCGAGGCTTTTTCAGGAGCTCCTGATATTTGATCCGTGTTCCTCCTCCTTCGAAAAATCAGTAGCACCGCCTTCCGTTGTCAAATTATCAAAATCCGAAACTAATGGGTGATTTTTTGCTAGTATCTTTTTGGCAACACTGTTTTTGACAGATGACGCGTGAATCGTGTCTTGTGTCATTGTCAAACTTGTTCAGTTTCGTCTATAATTTAACCATGAATCGACTTACGAACGAACAACGCTCGCAAATTATTGAATTTTACTATCAAAATTCATGCTCGGTTAAGAGAGTGCATCGAGCACTGCTTCCAATTTATGGGCAATTTGGTCGGCCTACTGAGGGAGCTATTCGGAAGCTTATGACTAAATTTCGAAGCCAGTTTACATTATTGGACATTAAACCACCAACACGGAGACGTAGAATGAGGACTGAAGAAAATATTGCGGCTGTATCCGCCAGTGTTAGTGATGACCTTGAAATGTCGATTCGCCGCCGTTCGCAGCAATTGGGCCTCTGTTACTCCACTACGTGGCAAATTTTGCGACAGGATTTGGGTGTAAAACCTTATAAGATACAGCTGGTGCAAGAATTGAAGCCACACAACGTTTCCCATTTGTTGAATGGGCGCTGGCAAACTTGGAGGAAGATCCACATTTTTATCGAAAAATTGTGTTCAGCGACGAAGCTCATTTCTGGTTAAATGGGTACGTTAACAAGCAAAATTTCCGCATCTGGAGTGAAGACCAGCCAGAAGCATTGCAAGAGCTACCAATGCATCCCGAAAAAATCACTGTTTGGTGTGGATTATGGGCCGGTGGCATCATCGGGCCGTACCTCTTAAAAAATCACCCGTTACATCATCAAAACACTGCAAGTACTCGAAGCTACATTTATTCTGACCTGTTACTGAACAATTTCGGATAACAACAAACCTCAAATAGCAAGTCCGAATACAGTCACCACACAATACATCGTCTTATTCTCCCATCTCACTGTGCATGTACCGTCAGTGGCGCTGTCCCAATAACAAGAACTTGCCGTGTGCAAACCGGCTCCAGTCTTCTGCATTATGGAACACGTCACGACATACTTAAACTGCTTCTTCATCTTGCTCAGAGCGCTGAGACATTGCTCAGAAACCGAAGCGCTCCATTGGTTAACTTTGTCTTGCTGGTAAACGGCCCCGCTCAAGATAGTCTCGATCGTGTCCCTGACGATGTTGCTGACATCGTCGACTACGAACTGGTTCTCCTCGTCGTCCATTTTTCTGGAACTGTGACAGGTGTCGGTCTGATTCGACGAGACGTGGCATGACAGGTAATTTTGACTTTCGAACATGGTCACTGGATGAACGAGCGCGTTCTGGCGCGCTGTCGTTCTAGGTCTCGGCGGGTGGCGTGTTGAGACGTGACTAAAGCTGAAGGGTGAAGCGCCGGTAATAGTTTTTGAGGGAACGCTGGTGCGATGCATATCACCGGGCAGTGGCGTAGGGGGTCGTTCTTATAATTTATTTCGGAGGAAATCTGAAAGAGTCCCTCATTTTTTATGGGATTGATCAGCCTGTAACGGGTAAAACAATAGTAACAAAAATGGATGAAAAAGATCGTTTATTTATAATGCACTTCTTGTGGTTGGATGGTTTCTTTTTTAAATTGGTATCAAAACTACACTCTTCAATAATATGTAACACCCGATACTTTATTCAAAAGAATACACCTTCCGATTACTTATTGTAACACTTCCTTTCCGCAAAAAGTCCAGAAAAGATGGAATGCAATGAAGATTCCAACTTTTCTGCACAATCACAGAAAGGGGGTTACAATTAGCTTCCGGTAGCTCAGTCGGTAGAGCATGAGACTCTTAATCTCAGGGTCGTGGGTTCGTGCCCCACGTTGGGCGCCAATTTATGTAACACTTCCTTTCCGCAAAAAGTCCAGAAAAGATGGAATGCAATGAAGATTCCAACTTTTCTGCACAATCACAGAAAGGGGGTTACAATTAGCTTCCGGTAGCTCAGTCGGTGGCATGAAGACATCTACAGGCGTGTAGCTGTGTGTCGACCATGGCATGGCTAGAGGATAGAAGAACAAACAGAACACAAAAATTTAACAGATTTTATTTAACAAAAAAAAGGCATTTTCATTACATTACAATTTTACAAAAATAACAACATAAGTTTTACATCTTTGGCGCTGCTATAACGCTATCGACTTATCTTTCGCTGGTCCATTTTTACTCGACTGAAGCCAGGATGGCCAGGAGTTTGAAGGGGAGGTCTCAGTTATGAGGGGTGACCTCCATATAGTGGCTTCACAACCAGTTGTAGGCGAAGTTAAAGGCGATGGATGGCGCTGCCAAGGTACATGCATGGGTGAAAATATTGGCCAAGGCTAGGCAAAGTGAAAGGGAAAGAGAAAGGGGGTGGCCCCAATCTGAAAAAGAACCGTGTGCATTAGCAACGTGCCCTAATGGCCAAGGCATTTCCAATCTCAGTCTGCCTCAAAAGAGAACCAACGATTTTCTAGATTAGAATTACATTATATAGTTTGATAAAATCAAACCGAAAGTTGGAAATGCCTTTCATAAAATAAAATCATGAAATAGCAAAAAAAAAGCGTAGAACAAGATGGTGGTCATCAAAAATTTCTCCACGTGCTTCTGATATAAAAACATAATCATCGAATATTCATAATCAACGTACTTATAATTTCACTGAACTATGAATATATATACGCGCACAGAGGTAAAATCGATGTGGATCGATTTCCACCTCGATTTGATTAAAGTTATGGCGAATGATCGAAGTAGTCGAAAATGACGTTCGATGGATATTTTAAAATCGTACAAGAAATAAATCACTTACATATCGATTATCTATAAACTACAGGCTGATCCAGAAATAAAACTGTATAGTATTATAAAACTCACCATTTTTGTCCTATACGGACACACATTCTAGAAATCTAGCACATGGTGCTATATAACCTTGTGCTACTGAGAAGAAATTTCTAGCCGTTGTTCGATCGGCGGCTCAGGTGAAAAGGAAGCGCGAGGAAGATCGCAGATCAGGAACTCCGCATCAAGCGCTCCAAGCGGAAAATTTTCCAAGCAAAAAAGCTAGAGATGGGATTAATGAAATGATAATCGAGAAGTGATTTAATAAATACGATCGGACGGTGAAACCGTTACATTATGAAAAACAATTTATGCCGCGAGTGGCCTGGCAGTAGTCCATCCTCTTAACCCAATTTTGAAGCACATTTTCGATAGTTTGTGCGTCTATTTCATCAATAGCTCGACGGACATTTTCCTTAAGAACATCAATTGTTCGAGGATCGTTAGTGTAACAGCGGTCCTTAACAGTATCCCATATGAAGTAATCTATGGGCGAAATTCGCGTGGAAGTCACCCAAGTTGAGGGAGCGATATTGGAGAGAGTCTACGCGAACTTCCAAGAACGCCTGCAGCACTGCATCAACGATTTCGGCCACCACATGCCTGATGTGATTTTCCACACTTGCCTATCTCAAATGCTATTTCCTTGTGAACCTGATTCCACCAATAAATTTGTTTTCGAGTAAAAATTAACTATTTTATGATTTTTTTCAAAACCGTCCATCCTCTCTGCCGCACCCTGTATCAGATATTTAGGACAGAACTACTATGAATGTTTTCGTGCCTTCATTTTCTTGACTTTTCCAAAAACTTCATCAAAATCTATTTCTCTTGAAAACTTCCTATCATTTGATAATATCGATAAATCAACCAACAGTTTTTGTAGAGCGAAGATTTGTATAGGCTTCAACTTAAATAAACTTTTTTCGCATGATGCTGCTGGAACGCAGAAATAGTCAAAAAGTATTTTAGTATGAGTCACGAAATCCCACGCGTACCCGTAGCCCAATAAAGTTTACGCACTAGTTTATCGCATGTTTAACCTTTCTGCAAACTAACATCCGTTTTCGTCAATTCCGCATTGACAGAATGAGCCAAAATATCCGGTTTCGGAAAAAGTTCCATCCCCTACATTGACGTCCGCCGCTGTCTAACAAGATACAACGCGCACGCAACAATCGACGATAAAATAAATAGCAGAACTAAAACTTTTGCGAATCAAAGTAAAGCGATAAATCACAAAGTGGTGAAAGGTGAGTAACATCCTTGCGTCGACAATCGATTTTTGCACGAAGCGCAACGAATAGAAGGTAAACTCTTCGATAAAAACTTTATGACAACGTTCTTGCAACCAATATGAAGACAGGTAGGGTAAACATACCAGCTATTCAGCTATTTCAGTTATTTCAACTGAAAATGCATTCAATCAGTCATATGTGTGATACTGAGGAAAGCGATGATGATGTTGTTTCAGAAATAGAAAGTGAAGAAGACGGCGAAATGTATAACGAAAAAGAACTTGATCGTAGAATGTGTAAAAAATTAATGAAATAGAAAGTGAAGAGGATATCGAAACAGATTACCAAAAAGAATCCAACGTCAAAATCTATGAGGAGCTAAAATAAATATACTAAGTGACATATAAATCCGAACACCCAGTTTAAATGGTTTTATTTTAATAAAATTTTGTAGAAGTACTTAATGAAGCATAATAAGTAACTGATAAAAATTTCAAAATGATTGCACCGCTTTAAAGCCCTTTGACCTTTAATAATGTGTGGATGCACCCTGATGTGCTACGCATTCTCCAACGCGCCTAGGCATGCTTCTGATCAGGTGATCAATGTCCTCCTGTGGTATCTCATTCCAGGCAACCACCAACTCCTCTCGAAGTGCTTCTAGAGTCTGAGGAGGACGTTGCAAATTGAGCAATCTCCTACCCATCATATCCCACACGTGCTCAATTGGGGATAAGTCGGGAGATCTTGGTGGCCATGGTAACAATGTGACATCATTATGTTGAAAGAAGTCTATTGTGACTCTTGCAACATGTGGTCGGGCATTATCTTGTTGGAAAGTTGGATCTGCCACGGTGTCAAGATAGGGTAAAAGATGGGGTTCTAGAACTTCGTGGATATAACGCTGCGCGTTCATGTTACCTCTGATCAAGACTAAGGTGACCTGGAACCATAAGCTATAGCACCCCAAACCATAACTCCAACAGTGTGATGAACATGTCTTTCAACAAAAAACTGTGGATTCCTCCTTTCACCACGTCACTTTCTAACCCTGGCACGACCATCGTGCATGCCTAAACAAATTCGAGACTCGTCACTAAAGACAATACTGTTCCATTCCTGATCCCAGAGTGACCGTTGTCTGCACCACTCAAGGCGATTACGTCGGTGTTCTCGAGTTAAAGGGAGGACCCAGTGTGGCCGGTATGAAAACAAGCCAAAACTTCTCATTCGTCGGTAAACACTTCGCATGCCAATAGGTCTTCCGTGTTCTGCAAACCATTCATTTGCAATGGACCTGGTAGTGGAGAAACGATCCCTTAAGGCCAATAATCTTAGGCGGCGATCTTCACGGTCTGTTGTTCTACGGCGGCGTCCAGTGCCCCTTGCTCTTTGCGTACGGCCTTCTCGAAGCCATGCCTGACAACACCTAACCACAGTGTCTACACTTCTTTGCACTATAACTGCAATTGCCCGAAAAGAAAGTCCAGCTTCCCGAAGTCCCACTATACGGCCCCTATCAAACTCACTAAGTTGACGAAATCGTACAGGTCTCCGTACTCTAGGCATCGTAACCGATCGTAAAGGATGTCAAGAACCAAAATCCGCCAACGTTAATTCTTTACTGCGGCTGAAATATTCATTTTTAGAGCGTTAGTGAATTAAAAAAAAGCAGTATAAAAACCGGAATGTCCAACTGATAAGGCTGAAACTTTTTTCACTTGTTATTTACAGTAAGATAAATACATTCACCAACTTTTATTAAAATAAAACCATTTTAACTGGGTGTTCGGATTTATATGTCACTTATATAAAGCAATGGAGATAACCCCGATCAAGTACCAAATGAAATTCGCAATACGAAAGATAATGAAATAAACGCACAGGAAAAAATGTCAACAATTTTTGCGACGAACCGAAATAAGTCGAAAGTAGAGAAGGTATTGAAGTAGATGAGCAAGATGAAACTAACAGTAAAGTTTATGAAAACCTGGAAGAGATAGAAAGTGAAGAAGATGTTGAAAACGACAACGACGTCGAAGAACTATTTAATATGTACCAAAAGAAAAAATATATAAGTAATTTATAGTTGAGATTTGATAAAAGCTTTTGAACACTGATCTCAACTTTTTGTTTGTACTAAAATCTGGCATAGGCAGAATAGCGTCCGTTGAAAAATACTCCAGTGGTAGCGACTTGAAGTTGAAAAAAGCTTAACTGTCCAATAACTAGTATAAATATACTAAGTGGCATATAAATCCGAACACCCAGTTTAAATGGTTTTATTTTAATAAAAGTTGGTGAATGTATTTATCTTACTGTAAATAACAAGTGAAAAAATTTTCAGCCTTATCAGTTGGACATTCCGGTTTTTATACTGCTTTTTTTAAATTCACTAACGCTCTAAAAATGAATATTTCAGCCGCAGTAAAGAATCAACGTTGGCGGATTTTGGTTCTTGACATCCTTTACGATCGGTTACGATGCCTAGAGTACGGAGACCTGTACGATTTCGTCAACTTAGTGAGTTTGATAGGGGCCGTATAGTGGGACTTCGGGAAGCTGGACTTTCTTTTCGGGCAATTGCAGTTAGAGTGCAAAGAAGTGTAGACACTGTGGTTAGGTGTTGTCAGGCATGGCTTCGAGAAGGCCGTACGCAAAGAGCAAGGGGCACTGGACGCCGCCGTAGAACAACATACCGTGAAGATCGCCGCCTAAGATTATTGGCCTTAAGGGACCGTTTCTCCACTACCAGGTCCATTGCAAATGAATGGTTTGCAGTACACGGAAGACCTATTGGCATGCGAAGTGTTTACCGACGAATGAGAAGTTTTGGCTTGTTTTCATACCGGCCACACTTGGTCCTCCCTTTAACTCGAGAACACCGACGTAATCGCCTTGAGTGGTGCAGACAACGGTCACTCTGGGATCAGGAATGGAACAGTATTGTCTTTAGTGACGAGTCTCGATTTTGTTTAGGCATGCACGGTGGTCGTGCCAGGGTTAGAAGGCGACGTGGTGAAAGGAGGAATCCACAGTTTTTTGTTGAAAGACATGTTCATGACACTGTTGTAGTTATGGCTTGGGGTGCTATAGCTTATGGTTCCAGGTCACCTTTAATCTTCATCAGAGGTAACTCGAACGCGTTCTAGAACCCCATCTTTTACCCTATCTTGACACCCTGGCAGATCCAACTTTCCAACAAGAAAATGCCCGACCACATGTTGCAAGAGTCACAATAGACTTCTTTCAACATAATGATGTCACATTGTTACCATGGCCACCAAGATCTCCTGACTTATCAACAATTGAGCACGTGTGGGATATGATGGGTAGGAGATTGCTCAAGTTGCAACGTCCTCCTCAGATTCTAGAAGCACTTCGAGAGGAGTTGGTGGTTGCCTGGAATGAGATACCACAGGAGGACATTGACCACCTGATCAGAAGCATGCCTAGGCGCGTTGGAGAATGCGTAGCTCATCAGGGTGCATCCACACATTATATGTCACTTAGTATAGAGGGACCACTAGGCGATCAAACATGAGTCGAAGTAAAATTAGTTTCCTTAACGCTTCTGCTGCGTTACAAATAGAGAACATGGAAATTAATACATTGAATCTGATTCCTTTTCTGTAAAAATAATATAATGTAATTACTATCATTGATTAGCGTATAGCGTACGATAGCGAACCACATACGGCATTTTGTGGTACAAAAAGGGATCTGAAGTACTCTATCGCCATCTGTGAGGCAGTAGCTGAACCAAGCGCTAGCTCTAGATTTCAAAAGTTCATTTTTATATTCTGTTACTGTTATAGTTTCTTTTTAGGTTCCATCGACCTTAAATACGAGAGCTGATCGTGACCTGGTGTTAATTCCGGTGCTCTCGTGTAGCAGTTCAGCGTCCACGACCTGCGTAGTGGAACAATTTCACACCCAGTGTTGAGATTTACCGGGTTGTGGATATTTTGATAGAAATCGGCCTGAATTGGTGTCGAGGTTTTACAAAATGATGTTGATAATTTAATCCAATATTCGTCGGATGATAATCTCGCTGTCAACCCTCAAAAGGCTTATTATTTTGTGTCCAAAAAAGGACGATGACTTAACGTTAGCTCCGCATGAGTAACCGAAAAAATTCTTGGTGCTGTTACATCGTTTGTGTCGCATGCAAAACTGTCATTCTTTTTGATCTACAAGGTATATATGTACGGATGTTCGATATTTCATTTTTATGCGTTCGATATGCCTGGCACTGCCAAGCGCTTTTTTCGTTTTGTAGGTCATCAAAGGGATGTTTTCAATTTATAGCGCGGTTTGTAGACCTTGAGTTGCCTGTTGCTGTGGCTACGAGGCACTGTGGGAAAGCTAGAATTAACAAACAATTACTTATTTTAATATGATTGTAAGGACATATGCCTTTTTTATGTTCCTGTTTTATTTTATTGACGAATACTTACCAAATCATCGTTGGTGCTGCCTCGGGAACTTTTTCTTGAGTGACATATCGTGATAAAGAATCTTTATTTACTGCTTATTCGTATAAGCTTGCAGATGTTTGCAGCTGGAAAATGTTTAATAATGATTCTGAGGAGCTGAAGATAAAAAACTACGGGGGGCGAGTGGGAGGAAGCGCTTTATGTTGTTTTCTTTCTTCAAAATCGCGCGAATGATCCACATATTCTTTGAAATATAATTCCTACAAATCGAAAGTAATCAGATGAAGTTTTAATATGCTATTTAACCCGTTATAGCAAGCCTTTTCACATCATATACAGGGTGTTGCATAACTTTAAGATTCGATAGAACTTTTAAAATTAATTCATAAGGTATATATAAACGTGGGTCGAAAAATGCATGGCTTCCGAAATACAGGGTGTTTAAATTTACTTTCTAAAATAGTTTTTTCAAATATTTCGAACAATATTTGATGTATAACAGTGAAAATTGGTATAGAAGGGTTTTTTGGTACGACAAAACAAGCCATGGGCATAGTTTTACTGTAGCCGCTAGAGGGCGCTCTCTACTGTACCTGTAGTGTATTAAAATGACCGAAAATTTTTTCTTAGTGCAATTTTTTGCTTTTTGAATAAAAAAACTGATTCTTCGCACTTTTCAACATAAAAAAGCTCTCTTGTGAATTATATAGACTTATGCATTAATTTTAAAAGTTCTATCGAATCTTAAAGTTATGCAACAATAAACTGAAGCACCCTGTATAAATGAGAGTAGAATAAATTTTTTTAAATAAACAATGAATCATTCTGAATTTAGCCGTATTACACTGATTAAGTTCTATAAATTGGTTTCCGAACCAATCCTCTATCAAAAAACTCTAAATAGACAAAAGCTTTTGATTAAGTCTAATAGCAAGGGTATATAGAAATCTTCAGAGTGCATTTTTCAACTTAGTTTGCATCTAAAAAATCTCTGCGAATCCAAATTAACTCCCCTTATTTCCACTCTGCGGGGGAAAGCTGTAGGGTCGATCAATGTAACTTTTCGGACCTTCTATCTAAGAGTAAAACTGATATCAGATTACTATCTACATACCTGATTTCCTGTTCGAGATTGTAGATATGCGAGAACTCTTGGCAGTACTTATTTTAGGTAAAAGATAATTTAAGCTTCCAAAACGAAGAGCTTTTGGAAATTCACTACGCCTCTACACCGAAACTATAAGCGTTATCCCGATAGTGATTGTTGCATTTCGGCATAATGAGTAGCTACGTTCACATCTACCATTTTAGAGGAGCATCCTGAAAAGCGAGAACATCTTACTTTATTATTTTTTTTTATTTTGATTTTCAGGAATGGGTAACAGCCACAGAGATCATGGTAACCTTGGACAGGCTGAACACATTCGGCGACGAAGTCTTCGGGGATCACCAAGTGTTGAAGTCTTACTTCTATGCCATAGCAGATGTAGCTGTGGGTGCGAGGTGTAAATGCAACGGACACGCTTCGAAATGCGTCGCTTCAACCGGTACAGATGGAGTTTCTAGAAGGGTAAGTTTCAATTTTCACAACCCTACGAATTGACGGTACCTAAGCCACATTTATCTTAATTGGAGAAATCCAAAGACTGTAAGTTATAGGAAACCTTGTTATTATCTTCCAATTTCAGTATTGACAAACTTTTCAAAAATATTCGAAACATTCTCAAAAAACTCTTTTCGGATTGTATTGCATAAAAGTCCTTAGGCGACGTTTGCTCCTGGGGCAGGTAGACAGCCTGGCCCTTTTCAACAGACATGTGTGGGCGCGAACTTGTGTAAATACTAAAAATATTGCATACAGGGCAAATCAAGAGGCATATAGGCAATGTTGCCGAACCGAAAAAGACGAAATCGGTAGATAACGACGTGCAAATTTGGTAAATTCAACGATAAGATCGGTAGGAGGAGAGAATCAGGGACGCCACAAGGGCAGCGATGGATCAAGGATCTTTGCATCAGGCAGCGCCCTCTATAAAAAAGTATATTTTTGTATCTTGTCTTTGTTCTTAATTCTCGTACAATGATCTCAGTCTCAAATAGGTGTTCGTTAAAAGGTTCTTGCGGTGACTGGTGAATCTAAGCTTCTATCATTTCCATCATTTCTATCATTTCTATCATTTCTATCATTTCGATCATTTCTATCGTTTCTATCGTTTCTATCGTTTCTATCGTTTCTATCGTTTCTATCGTTTCTATCGTTTCTATCGTTTCTATCGTTTCTATCGTTTCTATCGTTTCTATCGTTTCTATCGTTTCTATCGTTTCTATCGTTTCTATCGTTTCTATCGTTTCTATCGTTTCTATCGTTTCTATCGTTTCTATCGTTTCTACCGTTTCTATCGTTTCTATCGTTTCTATCGTTTCTATCGTTTCTATCGTTTCTATCGTTTCTAACGTTTATATCATTTCTATCATTTCTATCATTTCTATCATTTCTATCATTTCTATCATTTCTATCATTTCTATCATTTCTATCATTTCTATCATTTCTATCATTTCGATCATTTCTATCATTTCTATCATTTCTACCGGTACATATGGAGTTTCTAGAAGGGTAAGTTTCAATTTTCACAACTCTACGAATCGAAGGTACCTAAGCCACATTTATTTTAATTGGAGAAATCTAAAGTTGTGAGTTATAAGAAACCTTGTAGTTATCGTCCAATTTCAGTATTGACAAACTATTCAAAAATATTCGAAACATTCTCAAAGGACTCTTTTCGGATTGTATTGCATAAAAGTCCTTAGGCGACGTTTGCTCCTGGGACAGGTAGACAGCCTGGCCCTTTTCAACAGACATGTGTGGGCGCCAACTTGTGTAGATACTAAAAATATTGCATACAGGGCAAATCAAGAGGCTTATAGGCAATGTTGCCGAACCGAAAAAGTCGAAATCGGAGATAACGACGTGCAAATTTGGTAAATTCAACGATAAGATCGGTAGGAGGAGAGAATCAGGGACGCCACAAGGGCAGCGATGGATCAAGGATCTTTGCATCAGGCAGCGCCCTCTATAAAAAAGTATATTTTTGTATCTTGTCTTTGTTCTTAATTTTTTTCACATCTCCCATTGTGTATTTAACACACTTCTGTGCAATATTCTCGTACAATGATCTCAGTCTCAAATAGGGGTTCGTTAAAAGGTTCTTGCGGTGACTGGTGAATCTAAGTTTCTATCATTTCTATCATTTCTATCGTTTCTATCGTTTCTATCGTTCCTATCGTTTCTATCGTTTCTATCGTTTCTATCGTTTCTATCGTTTCTATCGTTTCTATCGTTTCTATCGTTTCTATCGTTTCTATCGTTTCTATCGTTTCTATCGTTTCTATCGTTTCTATCGTTTCTATCGTTTCTATCGTTTCTATCGTTTCTATCGTTTCTATCGTTTCTATCGTATCTATCGTTTCTATCGTTTCTATCGTTTCTATCGTTTCTATCGTTTCTATCGTTTCTATCATTTCTATCATTTCTATCATTCCTATCATTTCTATCATTTCTATCATTTCTATCATTTCTATCATTTCTATCATTTCTATCATTTCTATCATTTCTATCATTTCAACCGGTACAGATGGAGTTTCTAGAAGGGTAAGTTTCAATTTTCACAACTCTACGAATTGAAGGTACCTAAGCCACATTTATTTTAATTGGAGAAATCTAAAGTTATAAGTTAGATGAAACCTTGTAATTCTCGTCCAATTTCAGTATTGACAAACTTTTCAAAAATATTCGAAAATATTCTCAAAAAACTCTTTTCGGATTGTATTGCAAAATTCGACCTCATCAGCGAGCGAAGCCAACTCAAGGTGCACTTATTCAGTCAACAACTACTGAAATTGTTTATTACAAACTACCAAAATATATTTATTTCTTCTAGGTATGTCAGTGTGAACACAACACAGCTGGACCTGACTGCAATGAATGTCTTCCTTTCTACAACGACGCCCCTTGGCATCGAGCCACAGCCCAAAATGCACATGAATGTAAACGTAAGTGTAACTCTTTCTAAATTAACGTATCCAGTTTAAAAACCTAAACGCACCCTATTGAGGGAATATTACATAATTTTTACACTTTTACTTTGAGTAATTCGGGTACGTAGATCGAGAACTCGATGCCAGTTTCCAACTGAGATCGAATATGTTAATAATAATACTAGTAATATTATACTAAGTGACATATAAATCCAAACACCCAGTTTAAATGGTTTTATTTTAATAAAATTTAATGAAGCATAATAAGTAAATGATAAAAATTTCAAAATGATTGCACTGCTTTAAAGCCTTTAATAATGTGTGGGTGCACCCTGATGTGCTACGCATTCTCCAACGCGCCTAGGCATGCTTCTGATCAGGTGGTCAATGTCCTCCTGTGGTATCTCATTCTAGGCAACCACCAACTCCTCTCGAAGTGCTTCTAGAGTCTGAGGAGGACGTTGCAAATTGAGCAATCTCCTACCCATCATATCCCACACGTGCTCAATTGCGGATAAGTCGGAAGATCTTGGTGGCCATGGTAACAATGTGACATCATTATGTTGAAAGAAGTCTATTGTGATTATTGCAACATGTGGTCGGGCATTATCTTGTTGAAAAGTTGGATCTGCCAGGGTGTCAAGATAGGGTAAAAGATGGGGTTCTAGAACTTCGTGGATATAACGCTGCGCGTTCATGTTACCTCTGATGAAGATTAAAGGTGACCTGGAACCATAAGCTATAGCACCCTAAACCATAACTCCAACAGTGTGATGAACATGTCTTTCAACAAAAAACTGTGGATTCCTCCTTTCACTAAAGACAAATACTGTTCCATTCCTGATCCCAGAGTGACCGTTGTCTGCACCACTCAAGGCGATTACGTCGGTGTTCTCGAGTTAAAGGGAGGACCCAGTGTGGCCGCTATGAAAACAAGCCAAAACTTCTCATTCGTCGGTAAACACTTCGCATGTCAATAGGTCTTCCGTGTTCTACAAACCATTCATTTGCAATGGACCTGGTAGTGGAGAAACGGTCCCTTAAGGCCAATAATCTTAGGCGGCGATCTTCACGGTCTGTTGTTCTACGGCGGCGTCCAGTACCCCTTGCTCTTTGCGTACGGCCTTCTCGAAGCCATGCCTGACAACACCTAACCACAGTGTCTACACTTCTTTGCACTCTAACTGCAATTGCCCGAAAAGAAAGTCCAGCTTCCCGAAGTCCCACTGCACGGCCCCTATCAAACTCACTAAGTTGACGAAATCGTACAGGTCTCCGGACTCTAGGCATCGTAACCGATCGTAAATGATGTCAAGAACCAAAATCCGCCAACGTTGATTCTTTACTGCGGCTGAAATATTCATTGTTAAAGCGTTAGTGAATTAAAAAAAAGCAGTATAAAAACCGGAATGTCCAACTGATAAGGCTGAAAAATTTTTCACTTGTTGGCAACAGAATGATTGTAACATCTATCATATCAGGCACCCCACGCATCTTTTTCTTCTTGTTCCTCGACCGTCTGTTGCGAAAGACATTTTTATCATTCATCAGATTCGAAAAAATCCTCGCTTCCGATTACGAATATGTACGACATAAATCAGTACTTTTCGTCGTAGATACCCGGCATACCATTACCAAGAATGGTCCACGAGGTATATTAACGAACGAACAGAGGAACAGCGTGAGGCCCATTATCCGGTAAAGTGGAAGTTTTCCAAGATAGGTCGTACCATAAAATACAAATAGGGAGACGTTAAAAGGTACCGCCTCGAGGTACTACAGTATATAGGGCGATTCAAGAAGAAATTAATTCAGGAAATGTCTATTGGCACCTGTGGGATTCGAACCTGCAGTTGTTCCACAATCGTCTATTTTCGTCTGTAATTTAATCAATGTTTCCTTATTTTAAATGACAATGTGCAGTGTTGTTATTCGTTCCATACCACTAGAATTTGATTTTATTTTATGAATGATTTTAAAAACGGTGTCAATATTTGTTTCACAAAATGAAATTCAGATGTTGAGTTATTGCCGGATAATAATATGCAATTTTATTAGCACACATCAAATGACTCTTCTCAAAAACTGAAATAAATGCCGCATCTATCTGCGGATCTGAATTGTAGAATCTTTCTGAGATTGCACTTTGAAACTCTTCGGTGTTTTATAAACTCTTATTAAATTCTGATTTTGAACAGCTCGTAAATATGTTTTCCTTTCCGCACGAGTGATAATGCCCGATTTCTGAAATATGTATACAGTTAACAAGAGAGGAAGGAGCAGGAACTTTGTTTACAAGTTCTACCTTTTTTGGACAGTAAACATTAAATAAACTTAAACATTGCCTGTTAAAGCGTTATTAGTATTGCACCTTCATACATTTTGTCATTGAACATATATTTCTAGAATATTTAAATTGTTTGAAATTACAGGTTCATCCTTCATTATGCCCTTGTTTTTTTAATTACTCCTCCTTTTCTATTATTTGCTAGTAATACTGTAATAATAGTCCAACAGTTACCCATTTACAGGACAATTACATGAACAAAATAAGCTAATAGTCAATTTAGGTACCGGTAAGTCATATAAAAAAAGAAATAAATATACTGCAAGGACAACTAACTCTACTGAGGTCATTAATAAACAATATAAATAAGAGTGGTCCCAAGATAGGCCACTGGGGAACACCGGATGGAGCTGAGTAGGCTTCGGACTTGAACCTATTATATGCAACGTATTGTTTTTGACCCTGAGCATCTAAGGTGTGCTTATTTCGATCAGTCTTGCCGTAAGTAAAGTTGCATCACCCTGTATTCACCTATCGCTCTAATACATGCACATATATAATCTTGAGTCATCTGTACCTCAGCACTATTTGTCTTCAACATCTCCTCTGCATTCTGCTTTCTTCCGCCACCGCAGAGACTTCTTCACGTGCACCTATGTAATATTCCGTTTTTTTAACTTTTTTCTAACATGATATGGTGTATTGTATTGTGCTTTTTGTTAAAATTCTGCGGTTTGCAATGCATCAGCTGGGACGGCATCACCCCTTGGTATACCAGTTCACGTGAGTAACCATCCAAAGCAATCTCAGAATTTCTTATTTTTCCTCCAAGAACTTGTTGAGCATGTCAATTGAGCTTTAGATCTTCTTGTTACCTAGTAACATAAATATCGTTCGGCCGATCACAGACGGCTCTGGACAGTTGTTTCGTGCTATTTGAAAACTCGTCAGAACGGTGTAGGCTTGGTCTCCGTGGGCAACGAACGGAAATAAATATATGAATAAATGTTTACTTGCCATTACAATAATAATAATTCTACAATATTAACATTAGTACAGCTGTACCTTACTACTCATCTTATTTATATAATATCCAATCCCTAAATTATTTTAACCAATTTTTGATGAGACAAATTTCGGCAAATGTCAAAAAGTTTAAGGTTTTAGAATATTTTATTTTGTTTTATATATATATATACATATTCGTCTGTTTTTTGTTTTTTGATACAGTATGTAACTTGGGTGAATTTTCCGGGTTGTAAAAAATTTGGGTCTTGAAGTACCTAATGACACCCCTAATAACTCTAAAATTTCACCTTTAGGTTCTGAATCCTCTAACAGTCATAATGAAATAAAAATACCTTCTTAGAATAGTAAATATGCTTCGACCCACGCGCTCCATTGAAAAGCAGCCTATAGAAACATGATGAATAGGCAGTACCGAGAACGCCGTACCCGTAACCGCACCGTCCATTACAACACGAATGGGTGTAGAGGACTGCATAAAAGTCCTTAGGCGACGTTTGCTCCTGGGACAGGTAGACAGCCTGGCCCTTTTCAACAGACATGTGTGGGCGCGAACTTGTGTAAATACTAAAAATATTGCATACAGGGCAAATCAGGAGGCTTATAGGCAATGTTGCCGAACAGAAAAAGACGAAATCGGTAGATAACCATGCAAAGATCAGCGATGGATCAAGTTTTTTCACATCTTTCATTGTGTACTTAGCAAACTTTTGCACAACATTCTCGAACAATGATCTCAATCTCAAATAGGTTTTCGTTAAAAGGTTCTTGAGGTGAATCTAAGGTTCTATCATTTCTATCATGTCTATATCATTTCTATATCATTTCTATATCATTTCTATATCATTTCTATATCATTTCTATATCATTTATATATCATTTCTATATCATTTCTATATCATTTCTATATCATTTCTATATCATTTCTATATCATTTCTATATCATTTCTATATCATTTCTATATCATTTCTATATCATTTCTATATCATTTCTATATTATTTCTATTCCATTTCTATATCATTTCTATATCATTTCTATATCAGTTCTATATCATTCCTATCATTTCTATCATCTCAGTCTCAAATGGGTTTTCGTTAAAAGATTCTTGATATGACTGGTGAATCTAAGTTTGGAATCAATTGTTACGCCAAGAATTTTTAGCTCATCAACCGAGTACAGTCTTCCAAATTCAATTAAAACAACTATTTGATCTTTAGCTTCTCTTTTACGACCTGAACAAAAAAATGAAAGGCTAGATTTACTAGGGTTTCAAAAACAACAAGGAACCCAAAACTGACCACTGAAGTACTCCAGATGAAATTTCTAGAAAACTAGATTTATTATTATTAATTGAAACGCAATGAGATCAAATCTCCGCAAGATTCTAAATACATGTGTAACATTCTATACCTAACTCTAACTGTTTTTGAGAAATATCAATTTTTTTATAAAAAATCACAAATGCAGGTACCCGAATATAGAAAAGGATAAACATTTTCTTCGCTTTGCTTTTTGGTATTTTATTTCACGATTATGTCGTTTTTACTTCCAGAATGCAACTGCAACGGCTTCTCTCAAAGGTGTTTCTTCGACGAAAAATTATACGAACAAACTGGCCATGGTGGTCACTGCATGGACTGCTTGAACAATCGTGATGGACCTAATTGCGAAAGGTAACGACATAAGGATACCAATAATTATAAAATACGCTAAAGCGAACCCGGTCAAACTCAAATACAACGTCACGTTCAGGATCACCATCTTTTCAAGTTCATCATTGCTGATCTAAGATCTTAGTATTTCTGCCATCTAAATTTTTCATAATATATAATACGAGGAGGAATTAAAGTTTGTTCCAAGACAAGTTATCTGATGCTACGGCAACGGAGCCAATCAGAACCTCACTGTTTTATGAATCACTTTAATAAATCAAGCTATCATCCCTAGATGTCGCGAGAACTTCTACATGCGCGAAGACGGCCATTGCATCCCTTGCCAATGCGACCCTGTCGGTTCCCGAACACTCCAGTGCAACGCCGAAGGAAGATGCCAGTGCAAACCCGGAGTCACCGGAGAAAAATGCGACAGATGCGAAGTCAACCATTACGATTTCTCGACCCATGGATGCAAAGGCTGCGGGTGCAACATTGCCGGATCGTACAACAACGAAGCGCACTGCGATCCGTACTCCGGAGAGTGTCGGTGCAAGGAGAACGTTGAAGGTTCGTCGTTGTTGTTTTCCACCCAATTATCAATTCCTCTTCTCCTTCTCCATACATTCCTCCCTAACATTCCATTCCCATATGTTTCTCTATTCACCTGACTCCCTCTGGTCCTCTCGATTTCTCTATTTCTATCATTTCTATCATTTCTATCATTTCTATCATTTCTATCATTTCTATCATTTCTATCATTTCTATCATTTCTATCATTTCTATCATTTCTATCATTTCTATCATTTCTATCATTTCTATCATTTCTATCATTTCTATCATTTCTATCATTTCTATCATTTCTATCATTTCTATCATTTCTATCATTTCTATCATTTCTATCATTTCTATCATTTCTATCATTTCTATCATTTCTATCATTTCTATCATTTCTATCATTCTATCATTTCTATCATTTCTATCATTTCTATCATTTCTATCATTTCTATCATTTCTATCATTTCTATCATTTCTATCATTTCTATCATTTCTATCATTTCTATCATTCTATCATTTCTATCATTTCTATCATTTCTATCATTCTTATCATTTCTATCATTTCTATCATTTCTATCCATGTTTTCTTAACCATTCCAAATATGATATATATATATAATATTTAAGTGAATATTTTTATTAGGCAAGCAGTGTAATGATTGTAAGCCGGGCTTCTTCAACTTGGACATGGAGAACCACTTTGGTTGCACGCCGTGTTTCTGCTACGGTCATTCTTCTCAGTGTAGCTCAGCCCTGGGCTACTCTAAGGACGCTATTGAGTCCACTTTCTCTAAGAGTCCAGAGAAATGGAGATCGTTAGACGAGTACAGCAGATCCGTTGAGATTAAGTACGATGCTATCAGTCAGAGTATCGCTTTGCAGTCCTTAGGTGATGAGATGGTGTATTTCGCAGCTCCAGATCGTTTCTTGGGTAAGTCAAAGTCCGACCTGGCTAGATTCTGAGTCGAGACTAAGTCAAGAATGAAAATTTGCAGGTGATCGTCGAGCTTCCTATAACCAAGTCTTGGAGTTCATATTGAGAGTGGGAGATGATAGACCCGCACCAAGTGCTATCGACATTATACTAGAAGGGAATGGGAATGCTGTTACAAACACTATATTCGCTCAGAAGAACAAAATACCCGGAATTCAGGTTGGTAAACCTACTGTATACATTCATTCTTTTTTACATATTGAAAGACAGTATCTATGCCTTATATCTTAAAATGATTATGTCAAACTTCTTTAAACCTCTAGTGTCAACTTCTTCTTTGACTCTTTTTCGTCTCCAAAAGCGTAGGTTTGTTTACAGGTAATTTTTTTTTATATTTAATTCTTTTTCAGAATCAAGTATACAAATTCCGCCTTCACGAACATCCAGACTACGGATGGCAACCTAGACTGACATCGGTAGCGTTCATATCGATACTGACCAACCTCACAGCCATCAAAATCAGAGGCACATACTCTCCGCAAGGCGTTGGATTTTTGGACAACGTCAGATTGGAGACAGCTACTAGAGGCGTTGCTGGGAAACCGGCTTTGTGGGTCGAAGCTTGCGAATGTCCAGCAGGTACTAAAACATATTCATCTATAAATATTATCCAATTATGTTTACCCAAGTAATTAAACAAATTTAATAGGCATAGCTAAATTGTTTTACTGGGAGCAGATAGACTGATTTTAATAGTTCATTAATTTTAAATAAACCAGTGTACTCAATATAAGTAAACGGTTTATTAAATTCGATTAAACGATTTCACGTTTTTTCAGGTTACGTTGGCCAATTTTGCGAGTCTTGCGCGCCCAGTTTCAAACACATGCCGGCTCTAGGAGGGCCGTTCATGCCTTGTGTACCTTGCGACTGTAACAGTCACGCAAGTCTCTGTGACTCCGAGACTGGAAAATGTAAATGTGACCCTAGTCACCATACAGCCGGAGAAAATTGCGAACTTTGCGCTAGAGGATACTACGGGAACGCACATGAAGGTAAGCAAGCCGAAATATCTATAAAAACACACAACATGCGATCGCTCAACGAAACACGTTCCAATGCGTTGCCGACGCCTATGAGTCTGCCGGTCGAGGCGCGTCTTTGATTCCATTGGTTCTACCGGCGGAGAACAATCAGCCATTATTTCCATCTCTGTCTGTGCTGTTGACCACCGCAAAGCCACAGAAACGACATATTATGTCGTACGCTATACGGCTGTACTGGAAGGAAGCCGGGATCGAGCTCTGATCACGTGTTGATCACGCGTATGAGTCATTACAGTTTTAAATAGTTGTAGTATAGATCGCAACATTTATTCATGCTAACTCAAAAATTTGTTTAGAATAAATAATCAATTTTTCAAAAACCGTTTTGGATCAAAAATGACTAAAATCGCTTACTTTTAATTAAATTTTTATTTTAATTTCCTGGGGATGTAGGGGTTCTTAGCTAATTTTCTTCTGAGGTGAATCAACTGACACTTTACATGATCTTTCATGGATCATTTTCTTTTGTTTATCAGGAACCCCTAATGATTGCAAGCCTTGCGGTTGCCCCGATGGTGGGGCCTGCATACAAGTAAATGAGGATATTATCGCAACGTTGTCGAATGAACGGGGACTTTTATTCATGCTAACTCAAAAATTCGTTTACAATAAATAATCAATTTTTTAAAAACCATTTTGGATCAAAAAATGACTAAAATCCCTTACTTTCGATTAAATTTTTATTTTAATTTCCTGGGGAAGTAGGGGTTCTTAGCTAATTTTCTTCTGAGGGGAATCAACTGACACTTTACATGATCTTTCATGGATCATTTTCTTTTGTTTATCAGGAACCCCTAATGATTGCAAGCCTTGCGGTTGCCCCGATGGTGGGGCCTGCATACAAGTAGATGAGGATATTATCGCAACGTTGCCGAATGAACGGGGACTTTTATTCATGCTAACTCAAAAATTTGTTTACAGTAAATAATCAATTTTTTAAAAACCATTTTGGATAAAAAAATGACTAAAATCCCTTACTTTTAATTAAATTTTTATTTTAATTTCCTGGGGATGTAGGGGTTCTTAGCTAATTTTCTTCTGAGGGGAATCAACTGACACTTTACATGATCTTTCATGGATCATTTTCTTTTGTTCATCAGGAACCCCTAATGATTGCAAGCCTTGCGGTTGCCCCGATGGTGGGGCCTGCATACAAGTAGATGAGGATATTATCGCAACGTTGTCGAATGAACGGGGACTTTTTTTCATGCTAACTCAAAAATTTGTTTACAATAAAAAATCAATTTTTTAAAAACCATTTTGGATCAAAACATGACTAAAATCCCTTACTTTTCATTAAATTTTTATTTTAATTTCCTGGGGATGTAGGGGTTCTTAGTTAATTTTCTTCTGAGGGGAATCAACTGACACTTTACATGATCATTTTCTTTTGTTTATCAGGTACCCCTAATGATTGCAAGCCTTGCGGTTGCCCCGATGGTGGGGCCTGCATACAAGTAGATGAGGATATTATCATGTGTACAGAATGTCCAGCTGGTTATACTGGACATAGATGTGACATCTGCTCGGATGGGTAAGACATTTTAAATACTTCTAATAAACTTTCTTAGAAACTAGTTCAAGTATACAGGGAGACTTTGAAGTTGAGTCATTAATTTTCAGATAATGATTGTAGAAGGAAGATAAACCAAAATATGTGTGTTAAAATTGAAAAAAAATCAAAAAAAAAATGTTACCTTGTTTTATAAAGTATCCTCCCGATAAGTATTTCTGTGCGGACCAGGATTTGATCGTGCGGTCTTGTAGCATCGGCATGCCCTCCCCTGTGAGGTCTTAAGTCACCTGATTCACGAGCCCTTTGTACTACATTAACAAAGGCACGAGGGGTTGGTTGCACTGGATTGGGAAACCGATCCGCATAAATCCGTGATGCCGCGTAATGTCCACAAGTTTAGCATTTTCGTAAGCATGTGCCATTTTTGATTTCGTTTGAGCCACGCAACAGACACCTCTATTCACTCACGCGTTGCCGACTCACACTGACTGTATACAACTGAATAAAATAATTGTAAAAACATCGTTTCAAATTCTTTCGCTTTTTTGTTTCCGATGCGATGAACCGGTAAGGCGGATTATATCCGTTGTTGCCAAACACGAGCACATAATATTATTATTGAGACAGCGCGGTACTCAAACTTCTAAAGGGCTATAACTTTGTTACTTTAATTTTACCAGAAAAATGTTAAAGGAAAAAAACATTTCTTTTGATCAGATCTACTCACTGTTAAAATAAATGACTCAACTTCGAAGTCACCCTGTATACAGGGTGTTTTAAATATGAACCTCGCCATTGGAAAGGGTAAAAGATACGAATGTGCTTAAATGGACGCAAAGTTGTACATTTAGGTACAATTTTCCAAAATCGTTTTAATTTTTTCCTGGCCTTATTTGTAGTCGGATATTAAAATAAATTGCACATTACGCAGCCACTTTTCTCCTGTACAGAATGGCATAATTAGAATTTCAATAGAACTTTTCATCTCTTGTCCTGAATAGAGGTTATAATTCTGATTTGTAAAAAGTATAAAGAGAAAAAGAGAATTTCCTTGGTAGCCCTTTAAATTATCATAGTTATTTGTTTCTTATACGAGACCAGACCTCAAATTGAACATAGTTTCAGAGTTGTTTGAAGGCGGGATAAAGGAAAATAAATTGAACAGTGAACAAGGTACAGAGAAGGGTCAAGCTTTGTGTACAAAATAACGGACTGTCTTATTTCCATATCCTGGATAGAGGACTGCTGATCAGCTGCTGTTCTTTGCCCCACATGAGACCAAAGCTATATCACTAATTTACCTAATTTTTATTTCGATAACTTGACATTACAAGTTTGGGTTTAACGATGAATTTAACTGATAATTTGTTTCAGGTATTTTGGTGATCCGATGGGAATATTCGGCCCACCTATTCCATGTCAGATTTGTGAGTGTAGTGGGAACATTGATACAAACGCTATAGGAAATTGTAATACTACAAGCGGCGAGTGTATTAAATGTATCCACAACACTGGAGGATCTCAATGCGAAGTTTGCTTGCCAGGTAAGTGTTTTCCTTTGCTTTATAGATTTTCGTATGTCGTCGTGAAGATTCATCACTTTTCAGATAACCATATTTTGTTCAGAAAGCCAGACACGTCTCTGAGTTCATGACGACCCAATAAATTATTAACCTTTCACATTTTCTTTCAATGGTTGAAGTTTTGATCGATTCCTTACCTAACACTAAAAGACATGTAGACAAAAAAAATGTAATAAATTCTTTATTACTGAGTGTTTTTTTCTATGTCCCTCAATGATTTCTTTTAAAAAATCTATAACAATAAATTGATTCAAATTTTTTATTATTCTACCACTTATCTTAACTGTAACAGTATTTTTATTTATTTCCCGATTATCATACATTTTGTTTTAGAAGCATTCAATTTTATTTTATTTACATTTAACCAATTTATGATGTTTACACGTCAGAATTTAGTATATTTAAAGCAGTGTCTATATTTTTATCTGATATGTCTCTCAATGTATAATCTAAAATATTATGAATGTCGTAAATGTATAAAATAAATAGAGTGAACCCACGTTGCTACCTTGCGGTACACCATCAGAATTTTGAGTGTTTGGCCAATCAAGCAGTGGTACTGTTGCGTCTTGTAGAACTTGAATTTCTCCGTATTTTCACTTGAAACTTAAAGAGGGTAATCCGATAGATTATTTTAAATGAAAAAAGTGTGGATGAAGCACGCTTGTCTAGAACATTTGTTTCCCAAAACAGTGTATTATTAGCAGTTATTTTCACCATTATTTCCACCGCCATCTGCCATATGACGTTGACGGCTGTGCATATGTCATGTATGAGAGGCGCTTGCCTGCGGTGTTGCCGGATTGGGTTCCGCCCTAAGGGAAAAATATGAAAAGTGGAAAATTTATAATACATATATTAACTAATGAAACACAAAAACGAAAAACTGAAACAAACAACAGTAGCAAAATAAAAAGCGATTCTTAATAGGTATAAAACAAAAAATAACGATAGTGAGCTAAAAAAGAATAAATTGTCAATATAAAAAATAAAAACAGTAGTAAAACAAACAAAATTATTCCATGTAAATATAGCAAATAAATTATAAACAGTAAAATAAAAAGCAATTTATTTACTGTTTGTTGTTTTGGTTTTTTATAATTACATGGTATTGTTTTTTTGCTTTACCACTGTTTTTGATTTTTATAATTATTTACAATTATTATTGTGTTATACCTTACTACTATTTTTTTTTTGTTTTATACTTATTAAGAACCGCTTTTTATTTTGCTATTGTTGTTTGTTTCAGTTTTCTCTTTTTGTGTTTCATTGATTAATGTAGATGTGTATAGATTTTCCACTTTTCATTTTCCCTAAATGCGGAACCCAATCCGGCAACACCGCCTCTCATATATGACATATGCAGATACGTCAACGTCGTCATATGGCAGATGGCGCTGTATATAATAACTGTTTTGTAGACATTTAAATACAGATCCTTCAAATCCACAGCGATGCAATTTTTAAGTACCTTATCCCTGTCAGTAATTTCAAACGGGCTTTTTTCTCCAGGCTTCTACGGCAACGCTTTGCTTCTTCCGAAAGGCGACTGCAAGCCGTGCCAGTGTTTCCCGATCGGTACAATAGAGGACCAGGATTCTGGAGCTCCGGTATGCGACCAGATCACCGGCGGATGCAACTGCAAACCGCACGTCGTCGGCAGGAACTGCGACACTTGCGAAGACGGATATTACAATATTTTTAGCGGCGAAGGTTGCCACTCTTGCAACTGCGATCCTGTCGGCTCTGTCAATCAGACTTGCAACCTGCACACGGGACAGTGCTATTGTAGACCGGGAGTTACCGGGTAAGATTTTAATATACTGAAATCAACCGTCTATTTACACCTGTCACTAGGTCCTAAGTAAAATCGACTTCTAAATGATACTATTATGGAGAGCTCTGCACGCTCTCAAAACAGTGCCTCGTTTATGACGTCATATAAACGCATAGCGGGTGGTCTCTAGTACAAAATACTGTACGCAATTTTTAGGTGTCTTTCCTCATCGTGAACTTGAGTGCTAATACTTTACAATATTTCTAGGACACAAAGTAGAAAAAACGGTACTGTTGCGTCTTGTAGAACTTCGGATTTCACTGTTATTTTCACTCGAATTTTATAGAAGGTAGTCTGATAGATTATTTTAAATCATAAAAAGTGTCGATCGAGCACGCTTTTCATGTATTTTTTTCCCAAAACACTGTATTTTTTAGCAGTTATTTCCCTCCATTATTTCCACCGCCATCTACCATATGACGTTGACGTCTGTGGGTATGTCATATGAGAGCCGCTTGCCTGCGGTGTTGCCGGATTGGGCTCCAGTTTCAGGGAAAAATATGAAAAGTGGAAAATTTATATAACTGTATATTAATTAATGAAACACAAAAACAAAAAACTGAAACAAACAACAGTAGTAAAATTAAAAGTGATTCTTACTAAGTATAAAACAAAAAATAACAAACAGCAGTAAAATAAAAAGCAATTCTAAGTGATAATAAAAAAAAGAAATTAAAACAGTAGTAAAAGAAAAAACAATTCCATGTAATTATAAAAAACAAAAAATAACAAACAGTAAAATAAAAAGCAATTTGGATGGAAAGAAATTGTTTTTCGTTTTAATACTGTTTTTACTTTTTGTTTTGTGTTGTCACTTAGAATTGCTTGTTATTTAACTCTTTGTTATTTTTTGTTATTTATAATTATATGGGCTTTTTTCCTACTGTTATTATTTTTTGTTATCACTTAGAATTTCTTTTTATTTTACTGCTGTTTGTTATTTTTTGTTTTGCTACTGTTGTTTGTTTTGTAATCCATTAATTAATATGTATATGTATATAAATTTTCCACTTTTCGTATTCTTCCCTAAATACGGAGCCCAATCCGGCAACACCGCAGGCAAGCGCCTCTCATATATGACATATGCATAGACGTCTACGTCATACGGCAGATAGATGGCGGTGGAAATAGTGGTGGAAAGAACAGCTAAAGATACAGTTTTGGGAAAAAATTTTCATGAAAAGCGTGCTTCATCCACACTTTTTTGTTTCTAAATAATCTATCAGACTGCCCTCTGAAAGTTTTAAGAGAAAAAACAGTGAAATCGGAAGTTCCTCAAGACCGTACAGCACCGAAAAAACGTAACATGAACTTTGGTTCTAAAGTGCCCCTTACGGAGATACATAGTGATTACAGTTTCTAAATCAAAAATAAATTTTATTTTTATAATGTAAAGTTTTGTGCATCTGGTACATACAGGGTGACTTTGAAGTTGAGTCATTAATTTTCAGATAATCATTGTAGAAGGAAGATAAACCAAAATATGTGTGTAAAAATAAAAAAAAAATTAAAAAAAAAATTTTACCTTGTTTTATGAAGTATCCTCGCGACAAGTATTTCAGTGCGGATCTGTATTTGATCGTGAGGTCTTGGAGCACCGGCATGCCGTCACCTGATTCACGAGCCCGTTGTACTACATTAACAAAGGCACGAGGGGTTGGTTGCACTCGATTGGGAAACCGATCCGCATAAACATGTGCCATTTTTGATTTCGTTTGAGCCACGCAACAGACACCACTATTCACTCACGCGTTACCGACTGACACTGACTGTATACAACTGAATAAAATAATTGTAAAAACATCGTTCCAAATTCTTTCGCTTTTTTGTTTCCGATGCGATGAACCGATAAGGCGGATTATATCCGTTGTTGCCAAACACGAGCACATAATATTATTATTGAGACAGGGCGGTACTCAAACTTCTAAAGGGCTATAACTTTGTTACTTTAATTTTACCAGAAAAATGTTAAAGGAAAAAACATTTGTTTTGATCAGATCTACTCACTGTTAAAATAAATGACTCAACGTATATGATAGTCAACACATATCAGAATATTAACGTAGAAAATTCCAAATTTTGACACCCACAGAAGAAAAAAAATGTTTGACATCTGTTGCATTTTTGAATACTGGAGAATTTTGGAGAAATATTGGTTTGAATGTTTGTTGTAAAATCCATATCAAAAGCTCCAAATCGTTTTACTTTGAAAATACCCTGAAGGTTTGACGTTGGAAACGTATACAGGGTGTCCAAACAAAAAAGAAAAGCAGTTTTATAAAAAATTATTAAAAAGCTGTTTTCATCGCAACCTTGATATGTTACTAGTACATATTTTAAAATTATTTCAATACATACAGGCTATCCCAAAACGTCGTGCCATAACAAAAATGTATTTTTTTTCAAATAGAATACCCTATATTTTATTGTATATTTGAATAGAGCTTCCAAAACAAGAATTTTGATATTTTCATTGGAATACCCTGTATTTATAGATACCTTTCTTGATATTTTTTTGGTACGTTACTACTATAAAAATAATACCTAGTTTCTTAAACACCCAGTATATCCACCCAAAAAGACACGATGTAGCTGAGATTGCATATAAGGAGGATTTTTTCAACTTTTTTTACAATAAACGTTAAAGTTAACCGAGATGTTGATTTCAAATGTCATCATAAAAGAAATCCTAAACTGCAGATATTTTTGAAAATATTTCTCAAAACGTTTCCAGGTTGAGATGCGATCACTGCGAGTCCCGCAAATACGGCTTCTCGACCGAAGGTTGCAAAGAGTGCGAATGTGACCAGATCGGTTCCAAGGACCTCCAATGCGATGCCGATGGTCAATGTCCATGTTTGGAAAACGTGGAGGGCAGAAGATGCGACAGGTGCAAGGAGAACAAGTACGACAGGCAAAGGGGATGCGTGGACTGTCCTGACTGCTACAATTTGGTGCAAAATGCCCATAAGTAAGTAGAAAATGCGAGGTGTGTTAATTAAGTAATGATACTGGTTTATTCAATTTTTTATTTTTATTTACAATGGAGTAATACTTTTCATGAGATTTATATTTCACGAGGCGGAAATATAATGAAAAATCTCATCTCTCGTAATAATTGAATTCTTTTGAAATCCGCAGCGTTCACGTGGACAAGCTGAACAGATTGAACGAAATATTGGACGAAATAGAGAGAAGACCAACTGTCATAACAGATGAAGATTTCCCAAAAGAATTGGCTAACTTAGGAAGAGATATCGATGCTCTCCATGACCAAGTTAGAAACGCTACAGGTGATTTTTTATTCTTTTATACCTTTTTACACTATTCTAGGTTGAGACCGAATGTTGTCAGAGTACAAAAAGTTCATATATACAGTGTGATCCAAACGCTCTTCAACGGCAAGATATTTGGGAATACTCAAGGGATATGATAAAAGTAAAATAGAGCAGGTTCATTATTTTTCTCTGGCCATTCAGTGAGCTTCAATTTGTCATTGTGTTTGACCTTCAAGGTCGAGACGATTCTTTCGATTGAGATTTTAGACTATTGACACCTGAAATGAATGCAAGAGAAAAAAAATACGTTTATTTATGACCTTGGACAAACAATTATTTTGACCTTGAACGTGACTAGTCTCAAGGTCATGTCTAAAACAAAAATAGTGCAGGTGCATTATTTTTCTCTGGCCATTCAGTGAGCTTCAATTTATCATTGTGTTTGACCTTCAAGGTCGAGACGATTTTTTCGATTGAGATTTTAGACTATTGACACCTGAAATGAATGCAAGAGAAAAAAAATACGTTTATTTATGACCTTGGACAAACAATTATTTTGACCTTGAACGTGACTAGTCTCAAGGTCATGTCTAAAACAAAAATAATGCAGGTGCATTATTTTTCTCTGGCCATTCAGTGAGCTTCAATTTGTCATTGTGTTTGACCTTCAAGGTCGAGACGATTCTTTCGATTGAGATTTTAAACTATTGACACCTGAAATGAATGCAAGAGAAAAAAAATACGTTTATTTATGACCTTGGACAAACAATTATTTTGACCTTGAACGTGACTAGTCTCAAGGTCATGTCTAAAACAAAAATAGTGCAGGTGCATTATTTTTCTCTGGCCATTCAGTGAGCTTCAATTTATCATTGTGTTTGACCTTCAAGGTCGAGACGATTTTTTCGATTGAGATTTTAGACTATTGACACCTGAAATGAATGCAAGAGAAAATAAATACGTTTATTTATGACCTTGGACAAACAATTATTTTGACCTTGAACGTGACTAGTCTCAAGGTCATGTCTAAAACAAAAATAATGCAGGTGCATTATTTTTCTCTGGCCATTCAGTGAGCTTCAATTTTTCATTGTGTTTGACCTTCAAGGTCGAGACGATTTTTTCGATTGAGATTTTAGAATATTGACTCCTGAAATGGATGCAAGAGAAAAAAATACGTTTATTTATGACCTTGGGCAAACAATTATTTTGATCTTGAACGTCACTGGTCTCAAGGTCATGTCTAAAACAAAAAATTTACTCCCTATCCGTTTTATGGATCCACAAAAAAATTGTTTAGACCTTGATTTGACCATCAAGGCTAAATAAAATCCAGTTTCAAGGTCATCAGTGAATAGCTAGAGAAATTAAACGCCTTGCTGTTGTCTTTGAGTCCTTTTTAAAAATATATGAAAGTTTGTCAAACGATGCTGATAGTCCGGTTCTGACCTAGGGCGAAATTTATTTTGACCTTGAACTTCTTCAGGCCCTGATAAAACTAAAATTTGCCTTTCTACCTGTTTGCTGGATCAAGTATATAGGGCATCGTCCACAAAAAATTGTTTAGACCTTGATTTGACCATGAAGATCAAAATAATAGCCGGTTTCAAGGTCAACAAGGAATAGCTAGAGAAATTAAACACCTTGCTGTTGCGAGACGCTTTTGTTTTATTTTTAACAACCGCTGAAAGTTTGCCAAACGGTAGTTTTTTAAGGTGACCTTGACAAGGACCTTCAAAATCAAAATAAATTTCATCAAATGTCATAGCTGATGGGATCCCAAACTTTTGACTCCGGAAATGGATAGAACAGAAAAATTTTACATCTATTTCTGACCTTGGGTGAAATTTATTTTGAACGTCTCTGGTCAAGGCCATTTCTAAATCTAAAATTTGCCTCCCTATCCGGATCCTATATCAAACCTAAAGGGTACAATCATCAAAAATCTGTTTTAGATCAAGGTCTAAATAAAGGCCAGTTTCAAGGTCACCAGTGAATAGCTAGAGAAATAAAGGTCTTGCTGTTGTTATTGAGTTTGCGCTCTTGCTTTCCTTATTTTTAAAAACCCCCGAAAGTTGGCAAGCAATGGTTCTTTTAAGATGACCTTGACAAGGACCTTCAAGATCAAAATAAATTTCATTCAATGTCATAGATGATGGGATCCCAGATTTTTTACTCCGGAAATGGATGACCTTGGGCGGAAATTATTTTGACCTTGAGCATCCCTAGTCGATGTCATGTCTAAAAGTAAAATTTTCCTCCCTATAAGTTACCTGATTCAAACGTATCTGGTACCATCTCCAAAAAATTGTTTAGACCTTGACTTGACTATCAAGATCAAGATAAGATAAAGATCAGTTCCCGCTTTTTCTTCATTTTTAAAAACCGTTGAAAGTTTGTCAAACGATGGTTTTTTAAGGTGACCTTGACAGGAACGAGAACAAAATAAATTTCATCCAATATCACAGCTGATTGGATCCCAGACTTTTGACACCGGAAATGGATAGAACAGAAAAACTTTTGGCGAAAATTGCTTTGTCCTTGAACGTCCTTGTCAATGTCATGTCTAAACGTAAAATTTTCCTCCCTAACCGTTTCCCGTATCAAACGTCAGGGTTCCATCCACAAAAAAATGTTCAGACCTTGATTTGACCGTCAAGGTCGAGATCAAGGTCAGTTTCAAGGACTCCAGTGAGTATCCAGAGAAATTTAACGTTTTTCTGTCTAAGAGTCATTATATTTATGAACCGTCATGAAATGTTGTCAAACAAGCGTTTTGAAAGGTGACCTTGACAAGGACATTCAAGATTACAATAGTTTTTATCCAAGGTAATAGCTATATGTGAATTAATCATTCTATTTCGGGGGCGAACGGTCTCATCTTTAAAGAAAATCCTCTTGACATTGATTTGAACGTCAAGTTCATAGTAAAGCTCAGTTTCAAGGTCACCAGTGAATAGCCAGTAAAAATTAAAGACCTTGTTGTCTTTAAGTCCTTATCTTTACTTTACATTCAGAAACCACTCTGAAATTTTGTCAAACCATAGTTTTTTAAGTTGACCTTGACAAGAGCGTTCAAGATTAAAATAAATTTCATCCAAGGTCATGGCTAAATATAAAATTACTCATTCCATCTCTTTCCGGGCTGAAAAGCATGGAGTACCATTAAAGAAAATCGTCTTGACATTGATTTGACCGTCAAGGTTAAATTGAAGGTGAGTTTCAAGCTCACCAGCGAACAGCCAGAAAAGATAAGGGCAAAACGAAGCAATTCGAAGTACGTGTTTATACGAGTTTTTTTTTTTCATATTTCATCGTGGTGAATACGACTATATTCTATAACTTCACCTTAGACAACATTAAATTTGATTTATTTCAGAGGTTTTTAATGTTGTCAAATGATTTACAGGTGACGATAGCATATTTCAGCAAGTCCAAGACATCCAAGACAGAACCAAGGAACTCTCGAGAACGATGTCCCAAATCGAGGAAAATATCGACGTACTCAACAGAACGAATCAGGGTGTAGAAGTGAACGTCGATCACATTGACACTCTGTCCTACGATGCTGAAGTGAAACTCGCTGATATCAAGGAGACGTTCGAAGAACAAGGAAGACAAGCTTTGGAAAGCGCGTGGGAGAGTGCAAAAGTTGCAGGTTAGTGTCGCTATCATCTGCATATAATGAAATGTATTATTTTTTTAACAAATATTCCTATATCTGCAGGCTTAAATTTTTGTGGTTTGGTGCTGGTATGTTCGACGCTGTCCGTGTTTTTCTTATCGAAGAAAATCTATTTCAGTTGTTATTCTAAATTACAGGTCAGCATTCTGACAGGATGACCGAGATAGCCCAAGAAGCAAGAGAATTGGCTGACGAGCTGGACACCAAGGCCGACGATATCGTTAAGGAAGCCGAGGAAGCCAAGAAAAAGTCCGGTACCGCGTATGAAATCGCAAGAAACGCGAGCAACCAGCAATCGCACATCACTGAGGAGGCTAGAAGGTTGAAGCACGACGTGGGCAACTTGGAGAATAAGCTCAACAAGACCAAGGCGTTTGCTGTTGAGGTAATTGCAAAATTCCACAAGATATACATATTTCAAACAGTTATTTATCAACACACACTTTTGACAATAGCTCACTCTTATTACACACATTATTCTTCTGTCTATCAATATAAGCCTTGCTCTTGGAATACTCTATATGAAGGTCAATGGGTGTCAAATCTGGAGATCCTGGTGGGCAAAGCAACCCAGAAGGACGCTATAATATTGTAAAACCACATTCTAATAATATTTTTGCTTAAGGTGGCCAACAAGTCCTTGGAAGCCAAAAACGACGCTCTCAACCTTCTGAACGAAGTGAAAAACCTGGAGGTGCCCCAGATCAACATACCGAAATTGAAACAGCGCTCCAAAGATCTGCGCGAAGAAGCGTTTATCTTAGGCAACAAAACCGAACATCTGTTCGAAGAGAGCGAAAATTTGAGGAAGAAAGTGGACGTTGCGAACAAAGACGGCGAAGAACTGCTCGAACAGGCGTACGATCAACAGAGTAAACTGAACGAGCTGCTGAGCGATATCCATGCTACTAAAGAGAAAGCTGACGCTTCTATCGACGAGTGGAGCAAGATTTTGAACGAGACGGAGAGCATCTATAACGATCTTAAAGGTAAGCGCAATGTTTTGTATTCTAAATAAAAAATTGTATTCCAAAGTAATTATAAAATATCATGGATAGTTTTAAATGTTTTGATTTTTCCAGATTTCGACTCGGAAACGCAAAAAAGCAAGCAAGAAGCCGAGGAAGCGTTGAAGTCGATCCGCGACATTGAGAACATCATCATGGACACGCTGGGTCAGACCAACAAAGCGCAACAAACGTTGAAGGAAGCCGCGGACACCGCGCACATAGCGTTAGAAAAGGCGCTGGACGCTGTCCGATTGGCCAACAATACGTCTAACGAGACGCAAGCTCTGAAAAACGAGGCGGTCATGCTTGGCAGGAACTCGACGTTGCTCGGCGAAGACGCAGAGCTGATGAAGGATCGCGTCAAGGCCGCGGAATCTGAGATCGACAAGTTGATTATGTGGACGCAAGAGAATAATACCAAGAGCCAGGAAGCTTCAGAAAAGGTAGGGGCTCTTATACACGGCGTACAAAGTGCGGATTCGGCAAAAAATATCGAACACGCTTCTTAGAAAAACATGTTGTAAAACAGAGTTGTAAGGGTTGAGTAGGGACATCCAATGTTGACATTGCCTGTGATTTTGACAATGACCTTCAAGGACATTTGAAGGTTAACACATTTTTCTTAAACAGCAACCCCTATTTCTGACTATGGAAGTCTAAAGTGTGAAAACTTTTCGTTCAGACGTTTTCCGTTCATGACCTTGACCTTGACTGGTATTTGAGGGTCTCGAAAATGTGAGGATAGGGCAAAATCTCTCGAAGAACGTTTCATAAAGAAAAATGCAGTAGAGCGAGGTTTCAAGGTTTGGGAAAGGTGACCCTGAACGTGATCTTGTCTGCGACCTTCAAACTTATTTGAAGGACAAGGCAGTTTCCTCAAATAAAACCACTATTTTTAAAACCCGAAATGTAAATAATAGAAAACTTCATGTTCAAACATGTATCAAACGTATAGGGTACCATCCACAAAAAAATGTGCAGGCCTTGATTTGACCGTCAAGGTTGAGATCAAGGTCAGTTTCAAGGACTCCAGTGAGTATCCAGAGAAATTTAACGTTTTGCTGTCTAAGAGTCATTATATTTATGAACCGTCATGAAATGTTGTCAAACAAGCGTTTTGTAAGGTGACCTTGACAAGGACATTCAAGATTAGAATAGGTTTTATCCAAGGTCATAGCTAAATGTAAAATTAATCATTCTATTTCCGGAGCGTCGGTCTCATCTTTAAAGAATATCCTCTTGACATTGATTTGAACATCAAGGTCATAGTGAAGCTCAGTTTCAAGGTCACCAGTGAATAGCCAGGGAAAATTAAAGACCTTGTTGTCTTTAAGTTCTTATCTCTACTTTACATTCAGAAACCACTCTGAAATTTTGTCAAACCATAGTTTTTTAAGTTGACCTTAACAAGGGCGTTCAGGATTTAAATAAATTTCATCCAAGGTCATGGCTAAATATAGAATTACTCATTCTATCTATTTCCGAGCTGAAAAGCATGGAGTACCATTAAAGAAAATCGTCTTGACATTGATTTGACCGTCAAGATTAAATTGAAGGTGAGTTTCAAGGTCACCAGCGAACAGCCAGAAAAGATAAGGGCAAAACGAAGCAATTCGAAGTACGTGTTTAAACGAGTTTATTTTTATACTTCATGATGGTGAATCCGACTATATTGACCTTGACTGGTATTTGAGGGTCTCGAAAATGTGTGGATAGGGCAAAATCTCTCGAAGAACGTTTTATAAACAAAAATGCAGTAGAGCGAGGTTGCAAGGTTTAAAAGATGTGACCTTGAAAGTCACTGAAAGACAAGACAGTTTTCTTGAATGGAAACCCCTATTTTTGACATCAGCAGAGAAAAGTGTGGGCGTTCAGGTGTGTCTTGTCCATGACCTTGACCTTAACGAGTATTTGAGGGTGTTCAAAATGTGTTCAAAATTTCTCGAAAAATCCATTTCGTGAAGAAAAAAGCAGTAGAGCGAGGTTGCAAGGTTTGGAAAAGGTGACCCTGAACGTGGCCGTGTCTGCGACCTTCAAACTTATTTGAAGAACAAGACAGTCTCCTTAAATGAAACCAGTATTTTTAAAACCGGAAATGTAAAGATTAGAAAACTCTTTGTTCAAGCATGTCCATGACCTTGATTATATGACCATCAAGGTCATTTGAGAATCACATGGATTTTAAACGGGAAACATCTATTTTTAGTTCATGAAGTCCGAAATGCGGACAATTTTACTCTCAAGGATATCCTTCCCAATGAACGTGACCATTACCTTCAAGGTCATTTGAAGGTCAAACAAAAGTGAACTTCTCACTTTTTTGTTGGCGATATAAAAAAGCGAAACCTTATACGGTCAAAATTACTATCACTTACTTGACCGACACCTTGATTGTGACCTTCAAGGTCATTTGAGGGTCAAATGATTTCTGTAACAGGATACTCTATTCTTGATTCCAGAAAAGTAATTTCATGTGATGCTAAATCCTCAACCATCGTAAAACCTTTAACGTCGTGGTGAAGGTGACCTTCAAGGTCACCTTTATATGACTCTGTTCAAACCGTGCAAATTTGCTCTGTAACATTTTGCTCTAGGCATCACATTTTTTGAGATGACTTCTTCTCTCCGTAGAGTCTGGACGTCTTTAATTAACCTTGAAGGTGATAATCAAGGTTATGGATAAAGACTTATTTGAACGTAAATATTCTCGCTCTTTAGATTTTTGGTGTCGAAAATAGGAGTTTCTATTTATGACAGCTGATTTGACCTTTAAATTAACTTCAAGGTCATACCGGTGATTTTAAGTACCTTCATGATTCATATATTTTATCTATTTATAACCAGAGTTTTTTTTAAGGGTAGCAGAAATGAATATTCCCTATTCTCAGCCCATCAATTTCCTCCTAATTTCAATCTCATTTTAATTTCAGGTTGGCAACGCAGAAACAAAAACGAAAGAAACATCCCAGAAAGTCACCGAGCTGCTGTCAAACGTCAAGGACATTATCGCGGAGCTGGAAAATTCGCCCCATATAGACGACAGTGAAATCTACCGACTAGAGGAAGAAATTCGGAAAGCAGAAGAACAACTCAAAGACATGAAGCTCGAAGAAAAACTCGCGGAGCTCCAGAAAGAACACGCCGAACAATCCAGTCTGATCGAACAGTACAAATTCGATATCGGAAAACTTCACAAAGATGTTGAAAATATTGAACAAATTGTGAACTCGCTACCGAATGATTGTTTCAGGGATGTAGTGCTAGAGCCGTAACGTTAAGATGGTTTCTTACGATTTTTCTACTTTCATACCAAAGATGGACAATATTTATTTTGTATTTATGTACATATACTGCCGCTGTACTTCGTGTGAATTTTAGTTGCCAAATAAGTACTTATAACAGGTTCATTTTACATTCACAGTTTGTTTAAGGTTAAGTTGGTTTGAATATATATAGGTTTTACATAGCCGTTTTGTTTCATTTCCTCGCAGCGTGTTTCCTATATTTTATAATAACCTGAAACGCTCTAATAGTTCGATATAAGTGGTTTGAATGTAGCGAATCTAAAAAATCGCGCGGAGTGGGAGCTGGAAAGGGGGCGTGGTTGTACTGTATCGCCGCAGCGAGGTGCAGCACTCACACGCTTCAGTCTCTCGGCTACCGTCGGCGCAGCGGAATGTCGACGCGTTCACAGCTCCGTGCAGCTATTTTTTTTTTAGTAGTGATGTTCACTATGGGGTTCTCGATTGTCTCTCAGTGGTGGTTAGGTGTCAAGTGTCTCCAAAGTGGAAATTAGGTCTACTTCCAACTCTGCTGAGGGAAACAGGATACATGTGGAGCAAACTAGGTAAGTCTTGCATACTCTTCTTCTTGTGTGTTAGGGTTATGTTTTTTAAATAGATTGCGCACATTGCATACACTGAGAGATTAGTCATATGCTGAGGTATTTGGGAAAAAATAAAATTTGATGGTATTTTTAAATGTTCCCGAAGTGCGCAACATTTAAAAATGTACGACCCTGTATCTAATAGCATCGTTTTCTACGACTTCAACAATATATCACGTTACATTTGTTTTTTTAAGTGTCAAAGCCTCAAACAAAATTCTATTTTCAGTCCAAAGAATTTTCCAATTTTCATTTGCATTTTTTTAAGTGTTGTGCAACGATTTCGGCAAAAATTTCGCTACGGATAGTCTTCTAGCATCTAGTAAAATATATTTCAACAGTTTGTTGTCTTGAGTGGCCATGCTATCTTTACTGGAACCTCTTTACCATTTGAGGACATGTTGAATGCTTATAGGTACACGTTTCCTTATACAGGCTGACTTTGAAGTTGAGTCATTAATTTTCAGATAATGATTGTAGAAGGAAGATAAACCAAAATATGTGTGTAAAAATTAAAAAAAAAATTTACCTTGTTTTATAAAGTATCCTCCCGACAAGTATTTCAGTGCGGACCTGTATTTGATCGTGAGGTCTTGGAGCACCGGCATGCCGTCCCCATGTGAGGTCTTAAGTCACCTGATTCACGAGCCCGTTGTACTACATTAACAAAGGCACGACGGGTTGGTTGCACTCGATTGGGAAACCGATCCGCATAAACATGTGCCATTTTTTATTTCGTTTGAGCCACGCAACAGACACCACTATTCACTCACGCGTTGCCGACTGACACTGACTGTATACAACTGAATGAAATAATTGTAAAAACATCGTTCCAAATTCTTTCGCTTTTTTGTTTCCGATGCGATGAACCGATAAGGCGGATTATATCCGTTGTCGCCAAACACGAGCACATAATATTATTATTGAGACAGGGCGGTACTCAAATTTCCAAAGGGCTATAACTTTGTTACTTTAATTTTACCAGAAAAATGGTAAAGGAAAAAAACATTTCTTTTGATCAGATCTACTCACTGTTAAAATGAATGACTCAACTTCGAAGTGACCCTGTATACTTGGCGTTGGGAGCATTATTTTATAGACAACCCTCGTACTTGATTTCTCTTTTTGAAAAAGGCTCCTTGCATTTGGTAATTTCTGACATTTATCGACAACTGTTTGAAGTATGTCGATAGTAATACGTATAAAACATTAGAGGATTGATTAACCATACAGTTTGTTAGCAAAACAGTTAGAAGATGGCACTAGAACATTTTTACGTGGCGCCATCCTGTGGCGCGTATATGAAACTCGTAAATGAACTGCCAACTGAAAGAAAATGACTGCTGGTCATAATAATTGATTGATCACATTTTAGTTTTTTTTGATTTTGAATTTGATTACCTTGTTTTCAATTCACAATTACGAAAATGTTTCTTGATGTGATCATATGTTGTTAAATTTTCGCTGACAACAAATACGTTGTTTATCCATAAAAAGGTGCTACTTTGCCAGTACTCCGACAGGTGGTGCTACTAGTCGGCCGGCTAGTTTTGTGGGAAGCATTTGATTGACGACCTTCTAGACAGAACCGTATTTAAAAATTTGTGCTAGTAGAACAGAAATTTCAAATCACTAAGACTTTTTTTGTTTGTTTAACTCCAAGCGAGATGTTTGATAGTCTCTATGTTTAGACAGAGAAAAATAGATTGATAACAACCACGCCATTCCAGTAGTCGAGCTAATACTGTTACCAATAGGACAACTGTGGATGTGAAACTTCTGTAAACTGTTTCAAATTAGTTGATAACTGTGGTAGCGATTACCACGTTTCAATATAGTTATCGTTTGTTGCGTAACAAATCAGTTTTTAAAGAGAATCTGTAATCATCGGTTTTTATCGAAAAAATACGTTTTTTATTGATTATCGGAAGAGTTCAATAACTGGATGCCCTACTCTGAGGTTGATAAATCCGGGAATTACTAGGCGTGTTACGTGTGGTTCGTGCACCGGCAATTGGGGACAAATTTTATCTCCAATTATCGCGCTTAAAATGAGATGAAGAAAAAATAAGATTCACGACATATATATTTAGTGAAAGTAAAAATACAGATTTCATTCAGAACATCGGCAGTATTTGTTAGATGACTGTGTTGATGATATTAATAAGCTACAAGTAATTATGCGTATATGATCGTATCTAAAATCAGTTCTTATCACTAAAATAACATTTTGAAAAATCTTATAAGCATACATCAACTTGAAACAACTACACAACAACTATAGTAGGATTTCCACAGCACAGTATCTCAGCGACGTATTTTAGGCCCAACTTTTACAATCGCAAATCAAAGCCTACTCACAAAAAACAATTAGCAGTTTGTAGCTAAGCCTGTTTGACATTATCAGGACTGTCACCAATACAAAAGTATAGTGTCACAAAAGCAGTGTTGCCATATCAACAACTGTCTGTCACGCTAACTGCCAGTTAACTACAGGTTAAGACGTGAACTTCAATTTGCCGTTGAGAAAGTGGGCCGCAGTGTTCTAGCTAGACACGTATAAACTGGAAAGTTTGCTTGTGAAGCTACCGTTTTCGGACATAATGTACTTTAGCGTCGCTAGACTCTTCTGTAAGAAGAAATAACATTATTTTACAAGAGCTACTCCTGAAAAACTAATATCTACTCAGACAAACTCTCCCAAAAACTGCATCTAAGCGTAGCGCTTAGGAAAAGTATTACAAATTGACAAAATAAGTGATGGTTTGCGATTGGTCCCGTTTTACTTGGATTCCTTAGCTTTGACAGCTTTGACAGGTTCTCCCGTCTGAGTGATGGGGATTGATTTGTGTTCAGTCTTGTCATCGTCGATCCTCGGAGCTGTGATGCTGAGTACGCCGTCTGAAGACAGCTTGGATTCCACTTTGCCGATGTCAAAGTTCTTTGGAACGGTGTATTTCCTGACGAAGTGTCTGCAAGATGAATTTAAAAACGTGAGATTAAAGTGCATAGCCTCGTTGCATAAATTTTAATATTATACGAGGGTTGTTTCAAAAATAGGGTTACCAGTGCCCATTTCCCTTACAGCCGTAACATAGCTTTTCCGAAATTGAAGGAGCACCTAGGCGGTGGTAAATTCTTTGTTTCAAATAAAAAATTCCATGTGCCTGAAAAAAATGTGTAAAAAAATAGCAGACAGCAGCGAAGCACAGTAATGAGTTCAATCAATGATAATAATTTTGGACAACAATGCTTAGCAGCACAAAGTGTCCGTTACTAAAACGAACTTTCATCTATTTTTAAGCATTGAAATGACCTAAAAAACAATCAGCTTTTACCTGTAAATGTGTCCATGCTCATCGGGTTTTTCCTCATGCTTTCCCTCGATAGTAAGTACGTTGTCTCCTGTGACCTTGACCGTGATCTCTTCCGGTTTGAACTGCTGAACGTCCAAGTTGGCTTGGAACTTGTCCTTGCCATATGTCACCACAGAGCCAGAATCATCGTGGGAATTGTGGGACCGCCAAGGACGCAGATACCCCGCAGGACATCGAACCACGCTCCTAAGACGATATAATAGTCAGAAGTATGCCAAACGGTAATGAAAAGCACTAAACAGGATCCTATATTTGGCGTAAGTTACCTCTTAGAAAAACGTTAGCTTCATATAACAAAGGAGTCACGAAATGAAAGATGGGTAGTCATAAAACCATTGGATTCGACATTTATTCAGCTCTAAGAAAATTCGGCATCGCTTTTTATCGGTCTAGTAGCTCATGTTACGAATAATTACAAAAACAATGACAAACGAATTCAATGGTTATTTTTTAGAAGGAATAAGTTCACTGAGGACGAGCAGAAGCTTTACTTGTAAAAACAGCAAAAATAAAAACCAGAATAGCGCAAAGGTTACAGGCTATAAACAAAAAAATTTCAGAGCTTTTTTTATTCCAAATTTTCCGGGCTTCCGGTGTGAAAACATGTATCAGGGGCCATAGTTTAAAAAAGACGCACATTCAAGAGCAAGCCTGCTATGAAACGGAGTAGAATTAGCAATGATTTAAAAAAACAATGACCTATCGAGTATATCACACTATCGCGAAAATGGCGTGTAGAAAGAAACAATGAAGGATCGGCTGGAACGTTGACCTTGAATACTGACCTGGGGTAAGTCACCGGCTGCAGGAGATCCTCCGGGTCCAGGGCCAAGCCAAAGCGCTGATCCAGCAGCCTGGATGGATGAAAGAGGTGAGAATCATCGAACAAAAACGGAATCAGGGACATCTTGAAGGGTTTCTTTGTTGTAGGTCTCGATCTGACACAAGCCGACTCGATTTGCGGGGAAATAAACTGCTAGGGCGGCACCGGCCGGCTTTTATACCGGTGTTTTACGCGAGACACATTGGCGGAGACGGCGGCTATCGATTCGCCGGTTCTATAGCCCGGTTAGGAAACAGAAAATTCTCCCGAAACCTTGCAAAAATTCGGTAATGAATGCAAATTTGCATTAAGCTAACTGAGGTATAGTTATCGTTCCTTACGGAAAAGTTTCGGATCATTCGGTAGACAGGTACTGAAAAATTGTTGATTTTTTTATTTCTGATTTTCTGTTTGAAAGATGCCAGCTGAATTTTTTCAGCAGCAAAGTCTAATATCACTGGCCTGTTACAGTTTCGAATAGCTCAGGAATATTAGACATTTTCTGCTAAGAAATCTTAGCTATAATTTTTTTGTCCTGCAGAAAAAATCCTTGAGCTATTCCGATATTATATAGGTTCTTTTTGCTGAAAAAAACGCCATTGGAATATTTTCAACAGAGAATATTTTCAACAGAGAATATCTAATATTTCAGCATTTCAAATGTATGTAGCAGTCCTGAATCGGGTGCCTAGCTTGAAAACATGATTGATGCATTTTTTCAACAGACAAGTCTAATAATCCTGGCCTATTCCCACCTAGAATAGCCCAGGAATGCTAGACATGAAAAAGTCCAATATCGATGAGCTATTCCAATTTTGGTATAGATCAGAAATATTAAATTATTTTTGCATAAAAATGTAATTGGAATTTTTCTAACAGAGAAAGTCTAATGTTTTTTGCTTAGTCGGACTCCGGTTTTTTTTGTTCTGGTCCCGTAAATATTTTGTATGCAAAAAAAGTCGATAAACAAAATTTGCAGCTTGCCGAACAAGCTACAAAAGTTGTTTCTATGAATATTTTCATTTCTACAATGGCCTTAGAAATTGAAGCAACTTTCTTAGAGCTGTGCAGCTGTGCCCAAAAAAGCGTTATGCTTGTAACGAAAAGTTAGTCGGTTGATAACAAATACTGTTAAGATCAAGAAGAAGGTAATATGCCTTACCTATTCCGAATCCCAATTCAGACCGTATGTGTCCTAAATCAGACCCCTAACTTTCTGTTTGAAAGATACCATTTGAATTTAGCGGCAGAGTATAATAGCCCTAGCCCATTACAATTTCGGATAGCTCAGAGAATATGAGACACTTCTTGCTAAAAAATCCAGTCATTATTTTTTGTTCCGCAGAAAAAGTCTAATATTCCTGTTCTATTCCGATTGTGGTATAGGTTGTTTCTGCTGAAAAAAAAAACGCAATTGGAATATTTTCAACAGAAAAAATCTAGTATTTTTTTGCTTATTCCGACTCAGCATTCCAAATATACGTAGCAGTCCTGATCGGGTGCCCTGACTTTAGACGTACTTTTTCAACAGAATAGTCCAATATTCCTGACCTACTACTGCCTAGAATATCCCAGGAATACTAGAGATGTTTTGCCGAAAAGAAACAGTTAGACATTTTTTCTGCAGTTAAAGTCTAATATTACTGGACTAATTAGTACACCTAGACTTTTACGGCCGTTGTCATTGCTCTAGGCCTCTAAGCCCGAAAGAAGCAACATACAGGTAGAGCAATACTGAGCTATCCCAATTTAGATGCTATACCTATTGGAATATTTTCAATAAAAAAAGTCTATTACTTTTTACTTATTCATACCCGGAATCTCGAATTTCTGAGGCCGTCCTAGGTCGAAAGCCCAGGTTTCTGATGAAAAGGTGCAGGCTGCATTTTTTCAAAAATATGTGTCTAATATTCCTGGCCTATTACCATTTTGAATAGCCCAGGAATATTGGACATTTTCTGCAAAACAATCACAATTGGCAACTTTTGTCATTTAGAAAATCGCAAAATATGGATGAGAATTGATAAAAAACTTGAGAAGTATCTTGACGATCCAGAACCAGATTCTCAGCATAGCCACACGTACGATAATTATCGTAGTTATACGATAACTTGAAGCACTATTCAATGTACGATACTACGTGTACGATAATTGCTAAATGTACGATAATTATTATGCTAATGAGATTTCTTACTGCCAAATGTTAAAATGTGTTGAATCGACTCAAGAAATGTCTAACCCCCCGCACTCCAATTTCAACCGATGGTCTATTGTCTAAGGTCTAAGAGGTGTTTTACTTGCACTCATTCCTGAACATCACCTACGGCACTGTTCAGGACGATGAACGATTATTTCTCGCGACAAATCTGGCAACGCTGCGAGGTTCATCGACCTATCGGACGGGGGAAGGAGACAGCAGGCTGGCCCAGTGTACCCACCGTTGGAAATAGCTGTTGCTATGGATGCACGCCCAAGGTTTTTGCTGTTGCGAATGTTTGTCTGGTTAAGTACATCGATAGGAGAAATTTTGATAAGGTTAAAAAATATGAGATAGGTAGCAAGCAGTGTTGAATGCTATGTTTTATTAGAGGGGATGTACACCATAATTTTTCCATATCACAGGCAAATGCTGCTTTGGATATCTGAAATTTAAATAAACAAAGAATGAGTTTTGGTCATTGGATTTTACATTTATTTTGATTCGACTTAAGACCAAACAGGCAGATAGGAAAAATATGAAATAATGCGTCAGGACTCGGGACTTTGTGTCCACTGAAGCATGTGCAGTAAGTTTGCACGGAAATTGCTGATTTAGGTCATGGAATGTCTCCAGATTTACAAGTTTTTTTCTTTTTATATACTTCCCACGAGGCGAGGAAGTATTGTAATCGCGAAATTTTTTGAAAATTAAATATTGTTTCTTAGATGTTATACGAAAAACTATGTCACTCATTTCCGTCTGTCCGTCATTTTGTCTGTCTGTTTGTCCGATAATCCTTGGCCCGTATATAAATTGAAAAGTACCGCTTGATTTGGATGAAATCTTTACACAAGGTTACTACTATGCCAGTGGCGGAAAACGGCCCAAAACAATCAAATTTTGTTTTTCGACGTTTTTGAGAAAACATTTTTTACAGGGGTTACAAATTGCATATTGGGGGTTGCAGGGGTGAGGGAGAGAGGACTTGGTTCTTTGACGTTTCAGAAGCTCCTGGTCATTGTCCAAAAAAATTGTGTAGGGGTTAAACATTGTTGGTTAGGGTTAAGCATAAGAAGTCCGTACCCCCAGGTCACCCCCTCGCTTCGCCACTGTTTCTGGACGGCGGAGTGCAGTATATGGTTGGCTACTCGTATTTTCAGGTAGAAAACGTTGATCAATGCTTATACCTTCCTGTCATTGGTCCGATGAAGTATAGTAATAGCATCCTTGTTCTTACATTTTTCCTCTTAATATCAAAAAATTGAGTCCGCGTGAAAAAAGTGAAAGCAAATCTTCCACAGACGTTATTGATCCCGTCCGCAGAATTGAGGCTGTGGCATAGAGACCAGCGCCAGCAGCGAGAGAACGACATCTTACAAGCTCCTAGACTGAACGACCTTGAACCCAAACGAACAAGGTCACCTACGATTATTTGGAGCTATTTTTAACCAAGTCTCGCGAAAGTGATAATAAAAAATGTTATTGCCGAAATTTTAACGAGTGAATTGTTTACGAGCTATGTAAAATGTAATTGTCAATTCGTAACCAAAATACCTCGCTTTTATTAACCATATCTAGTTAGTGAAGCACTGCTGTGTCTGTCACTGTGTCAGGACCAGGCATAGGTATCTTGAATTTGAGAGAAAAGTTGCAAATGACCTGTTTTATAACGGAATTACGAGGGATGTTGGCATATCAAAACTACGTTTTTTATGCAATTTGTCATAGTAGCGGAAACGTATTAAAAACTAAAATGTATTTCTGATAACATACGATATTTTTATTTAATATTGGTTCGGGGACCATAATTTGTGTTCTTTGGCCCACGCTACTCCGTTTTTCTTCTGAATCTTTGTTAGTAAAGGCTTCTCTTTTGCCTAGAGATACTGAATAAAAAACGAATAATAAAAAAATAATTCAAGATTACTTTGTAAGTTTTATATCCCAGTTTTTGGGCAGCTCTGTAAGAAGCTGCTTTTGAAAACTTTTTTGTGAATGCCTGATTCCGTAATATTTTCAGTTCGTTATAATTAGCACGCCGATTTTCCTTGATAACCCGTTTTAAGGCTCTTAAGTTGGTATTGGAATAACGCGGGCGACTTCCAGTTCTGGATTTTTCAGCCACAGATTTCGTTGTTTCGTACAATTCAATAATATTTCGAACTCAATTTGTTAGCACTGTCAGCGATTCGGGAAGCATATTGGCCTTTTAAATACAAGTGAATGATCACTTTTCAAAAAAACGTAGTATAAGTGTATACCTAACTGGTAACTACAAATTAAATGCGGTTCAAATGACTTCTATCGTAAATATAGCAAAACTTTGGAACATTTTGCGATTTTACCGGAATTTATACATTTAGGTAATTTAATCTGAAAATTCAGGAAATTTCGAGGTTATTTTGTATAAAAAAGCAATTCTAATATTTTTAACACAGAAACTCTTCCACCGCGATCTTTTTGTTACGTCTCATAAATATTTTGTATAGAAAAAAGTTTCCCTGACCTATTACAATTTCGAATAGCTCAGGAATATTAGACATATTCTGCTAAAAAATCGCAGGTATTATTATTTGTTCTTCGATTTTTGATATAGTTTCTTTCTGTTGAAAAAAAAACTCAATATTCCGACTCAGCATTCCAAATGTATGAAGGAGACTGAAAATATTGAAAAATTTAAAGTATCATTGGGCCGGATGTGGGGTGAAAAATTTGTAAAAAACTAGTTCCTTGGGGCTACCCGTAAATCCTAGCACTGAATTGACATCAAATTTGAAATGTACGCGCTCGATTTACCTAGAAAACGTTTACATCTAGACCATTGACGCGCAACAGTTTTTGGAGATTTTTTAATAGTCGTTTTTTGCCAAAGCAGAATTCTTGCCAGTTTCTCGAAAACGAGGCAAAAAAACGTATTATAAGTATATAACTACAAATTAAAGTGCAGTTCAAATGACCTCTATCGTAAAAATGGCAAAACTTTGGGACATTTGCGACTTTACGAGGCTTTATACATTCAGATAATTTAATTTGAAAATTTAGGAAATTTCGAGCTTATTTTGCATAAAAAGGCAATTCTAATATTCTTAACACAGAAACCTTCGACTGCGATTTTGTATAGATAAAAGTTTCCCTGGCCTATTAAAGTTTGGAATAGCTCAGGAATATTAGACATATTTTGCTGAAAAATCGCAGTCATTATTACTTGTTCTATTTTTGATATAGTTTCTTTCTGTTGAAAATAACTCAATTGGAATATTTACAAAAGAAAAAATCTAGTACTTTTTGCTTATTCCGACTCAGCATTCCAAAGGTCTAGAAATATTGAAAAATCTGGTGAAAAACTGAAAATTTTTAAAATTCTCCAAGTTTCAGGCTATTTGGTTGGCTAAATTTGAGTACCAACGTGAAAAAAACCTTAAACGGACATGATGCCGGATTAGATTTTTTTAGACGTAAGTGATAAGAAAACACGACAAAGTACAAAATTATTCCTTTATTAAATCCTAAATAAATACAAAACTGATACTGATCAAATATTATACAAAATGTACTTATGATTACAACACAAAGGATGTTAGACAACAAAACATATTTTTTATTACGATAACGGAGTGTAAATAATCTGCAACATATTAATGTGGATAAAAATAAACTGGATTATAAAATATTTACATCGTACAGAAATCAGCGTCAATAATATTCAGACATTCAGACTACGTGGAAATTTTATCAGTCGATAATTTGTTATTGATAAAAATCGTACTGCCTAAAACATAAAGTTACTATCTCACTTTAAATTGTTTTAATATAAAACATATCACTGGGAGTCTTTGGCAGCATTTAACGACTTTACAAGTTCCATCCATTTTTCAACCTTAAGGTTCAAGCTCCACACTTGAAAAACACTCATCCGGCAATGCTTTCACAACTTCTTCAATACTATCGACTTCCGCTTGCAACAATGTTATCTGCGTCTTGTATTGTTCTTTCAGCTCAGTTTGGAGTTTGTGCTCTTTCTGAAGATTTTCTAGTCTCTCTTCGAGTCTGGCGTCTCTGATTCTTATTTCCATTTTCTCTATTTCTTGTTCTAACTTCTTCACGTCTACTTCGTTGATTTCGGGGGAGTTTTGAAGTTCTGACATGATTGCTTCGACGTCTGAGAGGAGTGATTTGACCTTTTTGGAGACGCTTTCGGTATCCTTTTCGGCTCTGCCAACCTAAAAAAATATAAATTGATACAAATTTTTCAAAAATTCTAATATTTGCAGAACAAAATTTTCTCACTCTTCATAATTTTCAGTTTTTCAAAATTCTTGACTTAAAATTCACGAAGTTCTCAAAAGTTTCCAAATTCCCGGAATTTTAAAAATTTTCGAAATTTTCAAAAGCTCAATTTTTCAGATTTTAAAATTTTCAGTCTTCATAGTTATCAATTTTTCGAAATTGTCGGTTCGAAATTTTCAAAATTCTCGAAATGTTCAACATTTTTAAAAATGTTCAAATTTGACAAATCTCCAATTTTTTTAATTTTCGAAATTGCAGTTTTCGAAGTTCTTGAACGTTTCAAAACTTTTACAGTATTTTCTGGGCTCAAAATTTTCAAGACACTAATTTTGCAGATTTACAAAATTTTCACATTTTTCCAAATTCTTGACTTAAAAAGTTTCAAAATCTTAAAAATTTCAAGATTTCTAAAATTCTTGGCGTTTCCGAAATTTTCAGTAAGCTCGATATTTTCGAAACTTTCAAGATTTTCAAGTTCTTCAAGTTTTCAAAATTTTCTAAAAGTTTTCAACAATTCAAAAAAATTTCATAATTTTCGCATTCATACTTTTCAGTTTTCAAGAATCTTGACTCAAAATTTTTTGATTTTCCTAAATTTCCAAGATTTATTATACTGTCAATTTTGCCAAATTTTTTAAATTGCATGAGTTTCATAATTTTCGAGATTTTTGAAGCATTCCAAGTTTTTCGAAATTTTCAGCCATCAAATTTTCAGTCTTACAGATTTTCAAAATTTTCGCCTTCATAGTTTTCCGTTTTTCAAAATTTCAGGCACAAAAATTTTCAAAATTCTCGAAATTTTCAATGTTTCAAGTTTCAATAATCGCAAGACATTCAAAATTTTTCTAAATTTCCAAGATACTATCAAAACTTTCAGGATTTTCAAAATGTTGATGATTTCCAAAATTTGCAAGATTTTCACAATTTTTGAAATGTTTAACATATTTAAAAATGAATGAATTTTTGAAATTTTCGAAATTGCAGTATTCGAAATATTCAAAATTTTCGAACGTTTCAAAAGTCTTACAAAATTTTCCGGACTCAAAATTTTCAAAACTAACTAATTTTGTAGATTTACAAAATCTTCACATTTTTTCAAAATTCCTGACTCAAAAATTTTCAAAATCTTAAAAATACGCTAAACTTTCAAGATTTCTAAAATTCTTGGCATTTTCGAAATTTCCAATAAGCTCGATATTTTCGAAACTTTCAAGATCTACAAAGTTTTGAAAATTTTCTAATAGTCGGAAATTTTCAAGGTTTTCATTAATTCAAAAACATTTCATAATTTTCATATTCATACTTTTCAGTTTTCAAGAATCTCGACTCAAAGTTTTTACATTTTCCTAAATTTAAAAGATTTAATATAGTGTCAATTTTCAAAATTTTCAAAATTTTTAAAATTGTATGAGTTTCATAGTTTTCGGGATTTTTGAAACATTCCAAGTTTTTCGAAATTTTCAAAGTTCAAGTTTTACAGATTTTCAAAATTTGCGCCTTATATAGTTTTCCATTTTTCAAAATTCCCGACTCAAAATTTTTAAAAATTCTCGAAATTTTCAATGTTTTTAAAAGTTTCAATAATCGCAAGACATTCAAAATTTTTCAAAATTTTCTTTACTCTTTTCAAAATTTCCAACTTAAATTTATAATCTTGAAACTTTCCGTTTTTAAAAATCTTGAAAGTTTTCAAAATTTACAAAGTATTCAAAATTTTCGAGATATTCAATTTTCAAATTTCTATAATTTTTGAATTCATCAAAATTTTTAAAATACTGATACTTTTGAAATTCCAGAAAATCTTCCAAATTTTGAAAAGTCAAGAATCTTGGAAGGTAAGTTTTGAAAAGTGTAAAGATACGAAACTTTTGAAAATTTTGGAGCAACTAAAACATTCTGCGGGTTTTAAGTACTTTGATGACAGAACAACAGAAAATTTTGAAAAATTTGTATAGTTCGCAAATTGCGAAATTTTTGGAACTATAAAATATGTTAAATATTGTTGCTTTAAAATATCAAAGCTGGATCAACCCTCAATCAGCACTCAACCCTCAAGGTCAACAAAAAATTGACATAAATATGGCTCTACAAAAATTTCGTTTTCCAAATACAGACAACATGCTACAAAGCCTTATAAACTTTTAAATCTCCCACACTTCCAAAAATATTTTCCAAAGAAACGCATGTATGATTTGGCGTCCAACCTACTTTTTCTTTAGCCTCTTCAACAAGACTTTCGTTGCTCCGCGTCTGCTCCAAGAGGTTCTTCAATTCTCCCTCAGTGTTCAGGACTCTATCGAACATTAAATCTGCCTCTTCACTCAACGAAGTCGTGTTAAGGAACAGTTGCTCCGCCTCCATCTTTATTTGCTCTGCTTTCTCTGATGTTTCTTTAGCCAGCTGGTCTGCCTGCAATAATTGTAAAATCTGATTAAGACGCAATTCTAAATTCACAGGCTTTTCTTTCACATTTTGAGCCGTAATACGATTCTACACTTTCTACATGAGATATTTCAAAAAGTTTAGATTTAATGTTAGTGTCCATAGTCTCAAAAAAGAACGGAAGATAAAAAACAATAGTTCAATTAAAAAGCTGTAAAATGACTGCTACATACCTGTATAGCTTTTTCCAAGGCAGAATCAGCATTGCTTCTGCCTTCATCTAAGTTAGCTTGGGCATATTCGGTATCTGCTTGGATCTTATTGATTATTTCTTCAATTTCACTGATACTTTTCAGTGCTGTCTCGGCTTCAAACTTGCTCTTCTGGGTTTGGGTGTCAAATTCTGAAACAAAATATAAGTATGCACAAAATATCAAAACTCCCATACAGTTTCCATCGACACACAGTGTTGCCAAACAGGATACAGTTATAAAAGTGTGCTCAGTTTTCCTTCCAGAAAATCGACCCTCACCCATCGTTGGTAACCCCACAGACTTCAATTGCAATAAACATCTCAATCTTAACATGAATAAAAGTTGAAAAATAGAGAAATCCAGTTTACCTGTAAGAAGTTTGTAGTTGGTCTCAGCCCCCTCCAAAATCTCATTCCACAAATTGATAGTCCCCTTAACCTGACTATCACAGAACACCAAATCGTTCCTTAGATCATTGATTTCATCCCTTTGATCCTTAGCACTTTGCAAGATCTCGCTTCCACCGGCACTGTTTCGATCCGCTTGCTTTCTCAACTTTTCACATTCCCCGAACATTTCCTCAGTTATATTGGAAAGTGTGTAAGCCTTCTCTTTGAGAGTATCTGACTTCCTCTTGACTTCAACAATATCTACTTCGGGTATCGCGAGGTTTTTCACTTCTGTTAGAAGTGCCAGGGCGTTCTTGTTGACTTCTTCGGCTTTCTCGTTAACTTCTTCCATCCAATCTTTGGATTTAATCAGATTCAGTTCTGTCTTTGCCAGGTTATTTTTCAGGCTTCGCAAGGCCTCTGACATAGTAACCTGCTTAGAGAATGCTTCTTTAACGTCGTCATAAGCGGTTATAGAAACATTCTTCGCCTCTTGTCCTTTACTAACTATATCATCAGCATTTCTATCCAATTCTTCTGCTATACTTCTAGCTTCTTGTGCAATATCAGTCATTTTTTGCGATTGTTGGCCAACGAATTTGGCTCTTTCTGTGGCTTCTTCAAGAGCGTCAAGACCTTCATTTTCATAGATCAAGGTGATATCAGATAATTTTTCGTTTGCTTCTTCTATGATTTCGTCTGCGTGTCCTATGTTGGTTTTAGCAACATCGTTTGTAATTTTTGAGCTGTAGATATTTTCATCTACGTCTGATAAAGCCTTCTGCAGTTCTTTAGCGCGATGATCGATGTCAGAAACCTGGTTTGGCAGGCTTTTCTCACCAGTTAGTTTTTTGGCTTGCAAATGTAGCTCGTTGATTTCCGTTTTGGTATTTTCCAAGCGGCCTGGAAAATCTTCGTCTGTGATAACAGTGGGTTGATTTTCGATTTCGTCCAGAATTTCGTCCAGGATGTCTAGTTTTTCCTAAAATGATAATTGTTGCTTAGATTATGGAATAAATAAAAAAGAAGTCTCGTGTTTTAGTATTTACTGCAGCTGCTACAGTTTAAACCTTAAAATTAATGACATCCAATGTTGAATACAAAGTGTCTTTTGGCTACTGTCAAAAATAGCTGAGATTTCCGACAAAAAAAATAGACAAAGTCGATCTTTCTCATGCATCTGCAACACAACAAAATGGTTAAAAAATAATGTTTTTTTAGCTGTTTTTATCTCTTATTCTGCTTTATATAAAACATTGATTGATTTTTTATAATTTTATCAATTATGATGCGATGTAAAATATATTTTTCCACCATTTAAAAGGATATTAATTCTCATACAAAATCGTAATCAGCAACCAGCAAACAACAGTATACAGGGCGTCCCATTTGTTGTTGTCCTCCTAAATAAGAATTGAAATTTGCAACTTAGAAAAAGGTTTTGGATACGAGAGTGCTAGGGGTTCGAGCGACCAAAGAAAAGTGTCCTTGACAGTGACCTTAATCATGACTTTCAAGGTCAAGCTAATATTTTTTTACATAGAAACTCCCTTTTCCATAGACATTTAATAGAGGATGAAATCTCACTCCGAATCTTGAACCTCGATGATGACCTTCAAGGTCAAATCAAGACATTAAAAACATTTTTCTCTAGAAAAACTATTTGACAGCACACGAGTTGTGAGGCTTACAGGATCAGCAAAAGCTGACCTTGGCCATGGTCCTCAAGGTCAAGTAATTTTTTTTAAATACTCCTCCATTTTTATTCTTGGAGGTGACATTTGGACGCAAAATTTACTAATTTTTGCAATACCAGTGCACAAATCAGTGGTTTCCTTTGGAAATGTTGGCTTGACTTTGAAGATCACGGTGAAAGTCACATGTAAAACAATTTTCTGTAACAAAGATGCTTGGAAACACAGCTGATGATTTTGGAGAACACTTAACGGTGAGCTTGACCTTGACCACAATCTCCGAGGTCAAGCAGAAATTTGCAAAGAAAACCACTGATTTGTATACTGGTACTGAAAAAATCAGTAAATTTTGACCTTGACCTTAACACTGATCTTCAAGTCAAGCCGGAATTATCGAAAAAATCCACTGATTTGTGTACTGGTATTGGAAAAAGCAGTAAATTTGGTTCCTGCCCTCAAATGAGGGCTTTCTTTAAAAAATTTACCCAATCTTGAAGGCCGTGGTCAAATATTCCTCCATTTTTGTTCTTGGAGGTGACATTTGGACGCAAAATTTACTAATTTTTGCAATACCAGTGCACAAATCAGTGGTTTTCTTTGGAAATGTTGGCTTGACGTTGAATATCACGGCGAAGGTCACATGTAAAATAATTTTCTGTAGCAAAGATGCTTGGAAACACAGCTGATGTTTTTGGAGAACACTTGACGGTGAGCTTGACCTTGATCACAATCTTCACGGTCAAGCCGAAATTTGCAAGGAAAACTGGTATTGGAAAAAGCAGTAAATTTTGTCCCTGCCCTCAAATGAGGGCTTTCTTTAAAAAATTGACCTGATCTTGAAGGCCGTGGTCAAGGTCACCTTTGAGTGATCACACAAATCTCACATTTCAACTGTGCGATCTAATAATTTTGCTAGAGCAAATCCTTTCGAATGTCTTAAGTTGACCTTGAAATGGACTCGTCGGTCATGTTCTTGATCATTGTTTAGGTCATTTACGGAAAAGTGTCCTTGACAGTGACCTTAATCACGACTTTCAAGGTCAAGCTAATATTTTTACATAGAAACTCCCTTTTGTACAGACATTTAATAGAGGATGAAATCTCACGTCCGAATCTAGCCTTGACCATAACCTCGATTATGACCTTCAAGGTCAAATCATGACATTAAAAACAATTTTCTCTAGCAAAAATATTTGACTACATTAGTTGAGTTGTGAGGGTTACAGGATCACCAAAAGGTGACCTTATCCATGGTCCTCAAAGTCAAGTCATTTTTTTTAATTCTCCTCCATTTTTATTCTTGGAGGTGACATTTGGACGCAAAATTTACTAATTTTTGTAATCCCAGTGCACAAATCAGTGGTTTCCTTTGGAAATGTTGGCTTGACCTTGAAGATCACGGCGAAGGTCACATGTAAAACAATTTTCTGTAGCAAAAATGCTTGGAAACACAGTTGATGATTTTGGAGAACACCTAACGGTGAGCTTGACCTTGACCACAATCTCCAAGGTCAAGCCGAAATTTGCAAAGGAAACCACTGATTGGTATACTGGTACTGAAAAAGCATTAAATTTTGTCCCTGCTCTCAAATAAGGGTTTTCTTTAAAAAATTGACCTGATGTTGAAGGCCGTGGTCAAGGTCACCTTTGAGTGATCTTACAAATCTCACAATTCAACTGTTCGTTCTAATAATTTCGCTAGAGCAAATCGTTTCCAATGTCTTAAGTTGACCTTGAAATGGACTCGTCGGTCATGTTCTTGATCATTGTTTAGGTTATTTACGGAAAAGTGTCCTTGACAGTGACCTTAATCACGACTTTCAAGGTCAAGCTAATATTTTTACATAGAAACTCCCTTTTCCATAGACATTTAATAGAGGATGAAATCTCACGTCCGAATCTAGCCTTGACCATAACCTCGATTATGACCTTCAAGGTCAAATCAAGACATTAAAAACAATTTTCACTAGCAAAAATATTTGCTTACATTAGTTGAGTTGTGAGGGTTACAGGATCACCAAAAGGTGACCTTAACCATAGTCCTCAAAGTCAAGTCATTTTTTTAAATACTCCTCCATTTTTATTCTTGGAGGTGACATTTGGACGCAAGATTTACTAATTTTTGAAATACCAGTGCACAAATCAGTGGATTCCTTTGGAAATGTTGGCTTCACTTTGAAGGTCACGGTGAAGGTCACATGTAAAACTATTTTCTGTAGCAAAGATGCTTGGAAACACAGCTGATGTTTTTAGAGAACACTTGACGGTGAGCTTGACCTTGACCACAATCTTCAAGGTCAAGCCGAAATTTGCAAAGAAAACTGGTATTGGAAAAAGCAGTAAATTTTGTCCCTGCCCTCAAATGAGGGCTTTCTTTGAAAAATCGACCTGATCTTGAAGGCCGTGGTCAAGGTCACCTTTGAGTGATCACACAAATCTAACAATTCAACTGTGCGATCTAATAATTTTGCTAGAGCAAATCGTTTCCAATGTCTTAAGTTGACCTTGAAATGGACTCGTCGGTCATGTTCTTGATCATTGTTTAGGTCATTTACGGAAAAGTATCCTTGACAGTGACCTTAATCACGACATTCAAGGTCAAGCTAATATTTTTACATAGAAACTTCCTTTTCCATAGACATTTAATAGAGGATGAAATCTCACGTCCGAATCTAGCCTTGACCATAACCTCGATTATGACCTTCAAGGTCAAATCAAGTCATTAAAAACAATTTTCACTAGCAAAAATATTTGCTTACATTAGTTGAGTTGTGAGGGTTACAGGATCACCAAAAGGTGACCTTAACCATGGTCCTCAAAGTCAAGTCATTTTTTTAAATACTCCTCCATTTTTATACTTGGAGGTGACATTTGGACGCAAGATTCACTAATTTTTGAAATACCAGTGCACAAATCAGTGGTTTCCTTTGGAAATGCTGTCTTGACCTTGAAGATCACGGCGAAGGTCACATGTAAAGCAATTTTCTGTAGCAAAAATGCATGGAAACACAGTTGATGATTTTGGAGAACACCTAACGGTGAGCTTGACCTTGACCACAATCTCCAAGGTCAAGCCGAAATTTGCAAAGGAAACCACTGATTTGTATACTGGTACTGAAAAAATCAGTAAATTTTGACCTTGACCTTAACAGTCTTAACACTGATCTTCAAGTAAAGCCGGAATTAGCGAAGAAATCCAACGATTTGTGTACTGGTATTGGAAAAAGCAGTAAATTTTGTCGCTGTCCTCAAATGAGGGCTTTCTTTAAAAAATTGACCCAATCTTGAAGACCGTGGTCAAATATTCCTCAATTTTTTTTCTTGGAGGTGACATTTGGACGCAAAATTTACTAATTTTTGCAATACCAGTGCACAAATCAGTGGTTTCCTTTGGAAATGTTGGCTTGATTTTAAAGATCACGGCGAAGGTCACATGTAAAACAATTTTCGGTAGCAAAGATGCTTGGAAACACAGCTGATGATTTTGGAGATCGCCTAACGGTGAGCTTGACCTTGACCACAATCTCCAAGGTCAAGCCGAAATTTGCAAAGGAAACCACTGATTTGTATCCTAGTACTGGAAAAAGCAGTAAATTTTGACCTTGACCTTAACACTGATCTTCAAGTCAAGCCGGAATTAGCGAAGAAATCCACTGACTTGTGTACTGGTATTGGAAAAAGCAGTAAATTTTGTCCCTGCCCTCAAATAAGGGCTTTCTTTAAAAAATTGACCTGATCTTGAAGGCCGTGGTCAAATACTCCTCCATTTTTGTTCTTGGAGGTGACATTTTTGCAATACCAGTGCACAAATCAGTGGTTTCCTTTGGAAATGTTGGCTTGATTTTGAAGATCATGGTGAAGGTCACATGTAAAACAATTTTCTGTAGCCATAATGTTTGGAAACACCGCTGACGATTTTGGAGAACACCTAACAGTCACCTTGACCTTGACCACAATCTCCAAGGTCAAGCCGAAATTTGCAAAGAAAACCACTGAATTGTATACTGGTACTGAAAAAAATCAGTAAATTTTGACCTTGACCTTAACACTGATCTTCAAGTAAAGCCGGAATTAGCGCAGAAATCCACTGATTTGTGTACTGGTATTGGAAAAAGCAGTAAATTTTGTCCCTGCCCTCAAATAAGGGCTTTCTTTAAAAAAATTGACCTGATCTTGAACGCCGTGGTCAAGGTCACCTTTGAGTGATCTTACAAATCTCACAATTCAACTGTTCGTTCTAACAATTTCGCTAGAGCAAATCGTTTCCAATGTCTTAAGTTGACCTTGAAATGGACTCGTCGGTCATGTTCTTGATAATTGTCAAGATCATTTACGGAAGTAAAGTTGCTTCATCATCTTTTCAATTCCGATGTAAAAATTGAAATAACTCACTTGACCTTGAAATGACTGATGTCGTCAAGATCACCATCATTTTCCCCTTCAAAATCAGATTATGTTTCAAAGTTTTTTCTAGGATCAGTAGTTTTTGAAATGCTGTTTGGGAGGTTAAAATAGGACACTCTGTATACGTTTGTTTGGAAAAAGGGAAACCTCTGATTTGTATACTGGTATTGGAAAAGCCTCAAAAAACTCAATTCCAATATAAAAATGATGATTTTACTGAAAAATGGTCATGGTCAAGGTCACCTTTGGGTGATCATACAACTTAACTGTGCGGTTAAATACTCGTAGTTTTGCTGATGCAAATTATTTTCAATCTTATAATTTGACCTTGAAATGATTTTGACGCTCATATTCTTGGTCATTGTCAAGGTCATATTCGGAAGTAAAATTGCTTCCTCTTTTCGATTCTGATGTAAATATTAAAAATATTAACTTGACCTTGAAATGACTCAATGTCGCCGTCAAGGTCACAATCATTTTCACTTTTTCAAAATAGTTCAACTTTTGTTTCTTTTTTCTAGGACGAGTAGTTTCTGAAATATTATATTTTGATACTGCAGCCAATCACCGAGATCAGGAATATTAGAGGTATTTTCCGTCAACAATCAAAAATACCTAAGCAGCAAATTTTTTTGAACGATTTTTTTTCAAACTAACCTCGTGATTTCTGACGGCGCTCTGCACCAAATTGTAACATTCCGGACAATCGACGCATCCCCTATGCCTGTCATATTTATTTTCCTTGCACCTGTCACATCGTATGCCTTCCACGTTTTCCAGGCAGGGACACTGACCAGTGGCGTCGCATTGGGGCTCTTTGGAGCCCATCGGGTCACAATCGCAGTCTTTGCAGCCTTCGGTCGAGAAGCCGTATTTGCGGGACTCGCAGTGGTCGCATCTCAGGCTATAATTGAGAAAAAAATGACAGAAGAACATTTTTACGTAATCAGAATTTCAATATAACGTTTCGTTTCGCTACTAGACAGACCGACAAACAGACGACGGAAATGTGAGACACCGCAAGACTTCCTCGCCAGTGGTGTAGGAAGTAGAAAATTTTCCCAAAACGTGTTGACTCTAAAAAAAATCCGGCTTCAAGTAACCCGATGGCATGATAATGCAATGAAACAACAATGAAACAAATATAAACAATACAGAAAAATCAGTGATTTTTTGGTAAATATCTTCATATTGTTCGGTACCTGATATGACACAAAAAGCCCTGACAAAAAAAATCGTATACTTCCATGAAAGCAAATATGTTTACACAACTTTTTATGAAAATTCAATAAACAATTCTGGGTGTTGCATTTTATATGTCACTGAGTATACAAAAATTATGATCCTACAAATCGGTCTGATGACCAACGACGACTTGACTATTTTTCATTGAAGTATCGTCAAACTTACCCCGTAACTCCGGGCCTGCAAAAGCACTGCCCCGAAAAAACGCTACAAGTGGAGTTGACAGCTCCAATCGGGTCGCAATTACAAGGTTGACAACCATCTTCGTTATGTAGATCATAGTAACCATCTTCGCATTGGTTGCAATTCTTTCCGACGACTCTGTGTTTACAGATGCAGACGCCTGTGATCTGATCACAAACCAACGAGCCTGACGGTGAATGGTCTGTTCCTGGCGGGTAGCACTGGCAGCGCTTGCAATCTCCTTTGGGCAGAGCCAGAGCGTTACCGTAGAAACCTTGGAAATTAGAAGTTAAAATTAATCGGTTGTATACAAAATCAGACAATTTTAATTAGTATTCGGCGACGTAAACATTATGTACAATTTTTGTTGAATCGTTACCGTGAGATTCATCATACTCCATTGTGCTCAAGAACTTTGATGTGTCAAAAAACTCTATTTAAATTTGATTCCTCGAATGAATGAAGTGTGCCGAATCGAAAGATAATGATTGCACACTTTTCCACCTAGGTATGTAATATACTACTAAGACTGATCTAAAATAATTCCTTGTGAGTAAATGTTACTATGCTGACTTTGAGTTTGTCATTCTACAAGCTTTTATTGAGCTGACTTTTGAATCAGTTAACCTCAACGAATTTAGCTGAAGTTTTGGCTCGCTGAATTAACGGCCGCCATTTTGAATCCAATATGGCGTTCGATACAAAATGGCGATTCCATCATTTCCATAGTAATCCCTGTAATATGGATATCAAATGAAAGGGCTTGACGAAAAGAACATAATAAGCATAGTGACGTTATTCTTAATTAAATATGGCGGGGACCGCAAAATGGCGATTTACATATTTCACCGTCACCCTTATGGCATGGATATCAAATGAAAGGGCATGATGAGAGAAACACAATACTCGAAGTGACGGACGTCATTCTAAATCCAATATGGCGGCGGCCGTAAAATGGCGATTCACTTATTGTATCGTCACCCCTACGACATGGATGTCAAATGAAACGGCTTGATATGATGAGAGAAACCCAATAAGCAAATTGACGTATTTCTGTATCCAATATGGCGACCGCCGCAAAATGTCGATTCACATGTTCCATCGTCACTCCTACGAGATGTGTGGCAAATGAAAGGGTTTGACGAAAGAAACATAACAAGCAAGGTGCCGTTATTCACATATATCATTGGCACCGCTACGAGATGGGTGTCAAATTAATGAAAGGGATTGAAGAAAGAAACATAATAAACAAAGTGACGTTATTCTGAATCTAATATGGCGGCGGCCGCAAAATGGCGATTCGCATATTTCATCGTCACCCCCAGCGAGGTGGATGTCAAATGAAAAGGCTTGACGAAAGAAACATAATAAGCAAAGTGACGTCATGATAGATTAAATATAGCAGACGCAGGAAAGTGGCGATTCACATATTTCATCGTCACCCCTGCGAGATGGATGTCAAATGAAAGGGATTGACGAACGAAACATAATAAACAAAGTGACGTCATTAGAGATTAAACATGGCGGACGCAGGAAAATGGCGATTTACATATTTCATCGTCACCCCTGCAAGATGGATGTCAAATGAAAGGGATTGACGAACGAAACATAATAAACAAAGTGACGTCATTAGAGATTAAACATGGCGGACGCAGGAAAATGGCGATTTACATATTTCATCGTCACCCCTGCAAGATGAATGTCAAATGAAAGGGCTTGACGAACGAAACATAATAAACAAAGTGACGTCATTAGAGATTAAACATGGCGGACGCAGGAAAATGGCGATTTACATATTTCATCGTCACCCCTGCAAGATGAATGTCAAATGAAAGGGCTTGACGAAAGAAACATAATAAGCAAAGTGACGTCATTAGAGATTAAACATGGCGGACGCAGGAAAATGCCGATTTACACATTTCATCGTCACCCCTGCGAGATGGATGTCAAATGAAAGGGCTTGACGAAAGAAACATAATAAGCAAAGTGACGTCATTAGAGATTAAACATGGCGGACGCAGGAAAATGCCGATTTACACATTTCATCGTCACCCCTGCGAGATGGATGTCAAATGAAAGGGCTTGACGAAAGAAACATAATAAGCAAAGTGGCGTCATTAAAGATTAAACATGGCGGACGCAGGAAAATGCCGATTTACACATTTCATCGTCACCCCTGCGAGATGGATGTCAAATGAAAGGGCTTGACGAAAGAAACATAATAAGCAAAGTGACGTCATTAGAGATTAAACATGGCGGACGCAGGAAAATGCCGATTTACACATTTCATCGTCACCCCTGCGAGATGGATGTCAAATGAAAGGGCTTGACGAAAGAAACATAATAAGCAAAGTGGCGTCATTAGAGATTAAATATGGCGGACGCAGGAAAATGCCGATTTACACATTTCATCGTCACCCCTGCGAGATGGATGTCAAATGAAAGGGCTTGACGAAAGAAACATAATAAGCAAAGTGGCGTCATTAAAGATTAAACATGGCGGACGCAGGAAAATGCCGATTTACACATTTCATCGTCACCCCTGCGAGATGAATGTCAAATGAAAGGGCTTGACGAAAGAAACATAATAAGCAAAGTGACATCATTAGAGATTAAACATGGCGGATGCAGGAAAATGCCGATTTACACATTTCATCGTCACCCCTGCGAGATGGATGTCAAATGAAAGGGCTTGATGTAAGAAACATAATAAGCACAGTGGCGTTATTATAGATTAAATATGGCGGACGCTGGAAAATGGCGATTTACATATTTCATGTCATCCCTTCGAGATGGATGTCAAATGAAAGGGCTTGACGAAAGAAACATAATAAGCAAAGTGACGTCATTAGAGATTAAACATGGCGGACGCAGGAAAATGCCGATTTACACATTTCATCGTCACCCCTGCGAGATGGATGTCAAATGAAAGGGCTTGATGTAAGAAACATAATAAGCACAGTGGCGTTATTATAGATTAAATATGGCGGACGCTGGAAAATGGCGATTTACATATTTCATGTCATCCCTTCGAGATGGGTGTCAAATGAAAGGGCTTAATGAGAGGAACACGAAAAGCAGATAATATTTTAAATTCCATATGGCGATCGCCGCAAAGATTATGTCAATAAAACATATGAAAGGTATATAGAAATTAGCAAACTTCATGAATACTAAAAAGTAATAAAAAATCTTAATTATTGAATTCATTTTATGAACCGCTAAATGGAAGCTTGCTTTTAAGAATGTATTTTTTATTTTATATATGTGTTTGTTTTGCCTCTCTCGCACATATATTTATTTTGTGTTGTTTTATTATTCGTAATTCTGACAAACCTTTTACATGTATTACACTCATCGTTACCTGGTAAACAAGTCTCACACTTCTTCCCTGCTGTGTTATGGATGCATTTCAGACATTCACCTGTGATAGTGTTACAATTCCCAATCGCATTTGGATCCACATTTTCGTTACAATTGCAAGGCTTGCAAGGGGATGGCGGACCTAATCTACCTAAAAGTCGTAATGATTGGAAAACCTGTCATATTATATAAAAAAAAATGAAAAACGATCTTGTCTTTACAAACAACCATTTTCGGTTGTGTTTCATGCTTATTGGGAATCATCAGTGCGGCAAATACGATTTTCTCGACAACCAAGCTCACAGTTACCAGTGGCAGAATACGATTTTTATTATAAATGATCTTGACCTTAATACGTTAACGAAAGGGAAACGCGTCCTAAATTCTTATAGTTTCTATTGGAAAGGTGAAAAAGTGTTAGTACCTGTAGGATCTCCATAGTACCCATCTGAGCAACTGTCACACTTATGCCCTGTATAACCAGCGGGACATTCGGTACACATGACAGTACTATCGTCAATTTGGACACAAGGACCCCCTTCTCTGCATCCACAAGGCAAGCAGTCATTTGGGGTGCCTGAAAACGCAAACCTTCAATTTTCTTTCTAGAAGGCTGAATAAATGTTTCGATAGTCTAGTACCCAGAATTTTTTTGAACTATCAAAATTTCGAAAAAAATCGAAGGATGACGTTTATTGCTGCTTTGCAAGTGAAATCAATTTCTTGAGCTTGTTCCACATTTTATTACAAAAAGCGTTAACAGCTTTGAAAAATACTTTTCCATAAATTATTAACGCGTTTTGTAGAAAGAAGAATATTTACGAAAAGCTCAAAAAAGTTTTCCTTCAGCAGCAATAAACATGATCCTTAATTCTCACGAAATTTCAATTATTCAAAACAAAAAAAAAAAGTCGGGTAGATCAAAGCCAAACTTTGCACAGTTATTTTGGATATATGGAACTATTAGCTTTCCAAAAAAAAAATTTTTTTTTCTTTGTCCCTAATTTTTTTTTTGTTCATACGAGTATGAATGAGCGAAATGATCGTTTCTCCATAAATAATCATTGATCCACTTAGAGAATGCATTCCAGCTTATTATCATACAACGAAAAATGTACAAAGAAAAGTTCACCGACATTTCGGCAATCAAAAGCAAGATGAGAATAATGAATTTCTTATGTTAACATCAATAAATAATATCTAACTATGCCTACCTGCGAGAGCATTTCCATAGAATCCTCTATCGCAAATTTCGCAGTTATCTCCGGTGGTGTTGTGATCACATTTGCATCTTCCCGTTTCGGAATCACAAAAACTGGAGTGGTTGTTGCAATCACAAGGCACGCAAGGCATAAAGGAGCCACCCAAAGCCGGAGAGTGTTTAAAGCCTGGGGCGCAGGATTCGCAAAACTGTCCAACGTAACCTGAAAATTAAAAAGAGGCGGTGAAGAGTCAGCAGACATTATGCAAAGCGTACAAGAATGGCGCGACTATTGTGTCTAATAACCGGCGCGTAATATTACCTGGATCACAAACTTCTTCACAACAAAATGTATTTAATCAATGCCAAGTAACCCCCTGACTCACACACATTTTCATACCTCCAAAAATTGTCCCAGGAAAAAACAGAATCAGAGTCTCTAAAACGTCGGAAATCACAGTGACAGCATTTACTTTCTTAGTTATGTGAAAATTTCAAGAGAAATGAGATCTAAAATCGCTTTAAAATAAACTATGTTTAAAAGGGGAAGGTTTGGGCCTTAATTTTGGACACCTTGTAACAGCTTATATTATATTCAAAAGGGATCAACTTTAGAGAAACGTTTTCTGTCCAGAATAATTAAAAAACCTGAAAAAATGCTTTGGAGCGAAAAAGAGCGACTTGGGAAATTTCTCAATTTCTCAATTTCGCTTGTCTATCACTTGAAATAATAAAATAATCTAGGAATAACTATGAAGACTAGCGAAGCAGTAAATCATCGCTGAAAGGAAGGCATTTCTGCCAACATTTTCTGGTTTTTAAAATCATTCTCAATAAAACAGCTTTTTAGGAAATTTTCTGTAAGATTGACGTTTTCGAATAACGAGCAATTTAATATTATGAAAAAGCCTAAAAATGGGCATTTTCAATGCTTCAAAACTTAGTTAAAAATTATCACTTTCGAGACTGCCAAATGCCCAAATGAAAGCCCAAACCTTCCCCTACAAAGCCCCGAAGAGTATTATATGTTAGGTACATATTATTTTAAAGAAATTCTTAAGCACGTTTGCCAGGTTAACGAAAGGCAAACCTTCGATTTTCGCGGGAATGCAACATCCAAACAAACCTTACCCGAAATGGCACAATAATTAAAAAACATTTCTACTAACCTGTTGGGCAGTCGCAAATTTCCATCCATAGAGCAGGCTCGCCGGACAGTCCTCTGATAGCAGTCTCAAGCTTGACTCTACTCAGAAACCCGGTACCCTCAGGGGTATAAGTCCCTTTGATTTTGATCGCTTTCAAATCGCTCAGCACCGATATAAACGAAATGGAAGACAGTTTAGGCTGCCAGCCGTAGTCTGGGTGTTCGTGAAGACGAAACGCGTATTTCTGATCCTGAAAAAGAAAACAAACCAGACATATTTTGTGCTTATTGAAAACAAGCAGCCTCTGAAAAGCCCTCAAGGTCAGTAGTACTCATGATCAGCTATGCTCAAGGTCACGTTTTGAGGCTATATGTGCCGTAATGAGAATGAAAAGGTCAGCTATGCTTAAGGTCACGTTCTGAATCTGTATACACCCAAAAGACAATGTCAAGATCAGTTATGAACAAGGTTAGATGTGCTATGATCATGTTTTGAGGCTATATGTGACGAAAAGAGTAGGTCAAGGTCAGCTGGGCTCAAGGTCGCGTTTAGAGGCTATTTGCGCCCCAAAAACAACGGCAAGGTTAATTGTGTTCAAGGTCAGGTGCACTCAAGGTCACGATTTGAGGCTATATGCGCCCAAAAGATAATGCCAAGCTCAGTTGTGTTCAGGGTCATCTATGCTTAAGGTCACGTTTCGAGGCTGTAGACTGTCAAAAGAGAATGTCAAGATCAGTTGTGTTCAAGGTTAGATATGCTTTGAGGCTATATGGACCCAAAAGAGAAGGGTAAGATCAGCTGTGCTCAAGGTCGCATTCAGAGGAGGTTATTTGCGCCCCTAAAACAATGTCAAGGTTAGTTGAGTACAAGGTCAGCAGTACTCAAGGTCACGATTTAAGGCTATATCCGCCCAAACTGTCAAGATCAGTTGTGTTCAAGGTAAGATGTGCTTTGAGGCTATATGGACCCAAAAGAGAAGGGTAAGATCAACTGTGCTCAAGTTCGCATTTAGAGGAGGTTATTTGCGCCCCTAAAACAATGTCAAGGTTAGTTGAGTACAAGGTCAGCAGTACTCAAGGTCACGATTTGAGGCTATATCCGCCCAAACTGTCAAGATCAGTTGTGTTCAAGGTAAGATGTGCTTTGAGGCTATATGGACCCAAAAGAGAAGGGTAAGATCAGCTGTGGTCAAGGTCGCGTTTCGAGGTTATTTCTGTCGAGAAAAACAATATCCAGGTTAGTTGTGTTCAAGGTCAGCTGCACTCAAGGTCACGTTTTGAGGCTAAATGCGCCCAAAAGAGAAGGTCAACGTCAGGTGAGCTCAACGTAGCGTTTCAAGTCTGTTTGCGCCCAAAGAACAAAGGTCCAGGTTAGTAGCCTCAAACTATATGGACCCAAAAGAGAAGGGTAAGATCAGCTGTGCTCAAGGTCGCATTCAGAGGCGGTTATTTGCGCCCCTAAAACAATGTCAAGGTTAGTTGAGTACAAGGTCAGCAGTACTCAAGGTCACGATTTGAGGCTATACCCGCCCAAACTGTCAAGATCAGTTGTGTTCAAGGTAAGATGTGCTTTGAAGCTATATGGACCCAAAAGAGAAGGGTAAGATCAGCTGTGCTCAAGGTCGCATTCAGAGGCGGTTATTTGCGCCCCTAAAACAATGTCAAGGTTAGTTGAGTACAAGGTCAGCAGTACTCAAGGTCACGATTTGAGGCTATATCCGCTCAAACTGTCAAGATCAGTTGTGTTCAAGGTAAGATGTGCTTTGAGGCTATATGGACCCAAAAGAGAAGGGTAAGATCAGCTGTACTCAAGGTCGCATTCAGAGGATGTTATTTGCGCCCCTAAAACAATGTCAAGGTTAGTTGAGTACAAGGTCAGCAGTACTCAAGGTCACGATTTGGGGCTATATCCGCCCAAACTGTCAAGATCAGTTGTGTTCAAGGTAAGATGTGCTTTGAGGCTATATGGACCCAAAATAGAAGGGAAAGGTCAGCTGTGCCCAAGGTCACATTCAGAGGAGTTTATTTGCGCCCATAAAACAATGTCTATGTGAGTTGAGTACAAGGTCAGCAGTACTCAAGGTCACGATTTAAGGCTATATCCGCCCAAACTGTCAAGATCAGTTGTGTTCAAGGTAAGATGTGCTTTGAGGCTATATGGACCCAAAAGAGAAGGGTAAGATCAGCTGTGCTCGAGGTCGCATTTAGAGGAGGTTATTTGCGCCCCTAAAACAATGTCAAGGTTAGATGAGTACAAGGCAGCTGTACTCAAGGTCACGATTTGAGGCTATATCCGCCCAAACTGTCAAGATCAGTTGTGTTTAAGCTGAGATGTGCTTTGAGGCTATATGGACCCAAAAGAGAAGGGTAAGATCAGCTGTGCTCAAGGTCGCATTTAGAGGAGGTTATTTGCGCCCCTAAAACAATGTCAAGGTTAGTTGAGTACAAGGTCAGCAGTACTCAAGGTCGCGATTTGAGGCTATATCCGCCCAAACTGTCAAGATCAGTTGTGTTCAAGGTAAGATGTGCTTTGAGGCTATATGGACCCAAAAGAGAAGGGTAAGATCAGCTGTGCTCAAGGTCGCATTTAGAGGAGGTTATTTGCGCCCCTAAAACAATGTCAAGGTTAGTTGAGTACAAGGTCAGCAGTACTCAAGGTCACGATTTGAGGCTATATCCGCCCAAACTGTCAAGATCAGTTGTGTTCAAGGTAAGATGTGCTTTGAGGCTATATGGACCCAAAAGGGAAGGGTAAGATCAGCTGTGCTCAAAGTCGCATTTAGAGGAGGTTATTTGCGCCCCTAAAACAATGTCAAGGTTAGTTGAGTACAAGGTCAGCAGTACTCAAGGTCACGATTTGTGGCTATATCCGCCCAAACTGTCAAGATCAGTTGTGTTCAAGGTAAGATGTGCTTTGAGGCTATATGGACCCAAAAGAGAAGGGTAAGATCAGCTGTGCTCAAGGTCGCATTCAGAGGAGGTTATTTGCGCCCCTAAAACAATGTCAAGGTTAGTTGAGTACAAGGTCAGCAGTACTCAAGGTCACGATTTGAGGCTATATCCGCCCAAACTGTCAAGATCAGTTGTGTTCAAGGTAAGATGTGCTTTGAGGCTATATGGACCCAAAAGAGAAGGGTAAGATCAGCTGTGCTCAAGGTCGCATTCAGAGGAGGTTATTTGCGCCCCTAAAACAATGTCAAGGTTAGTTGAGTATAAGGTCAGCTGTACTCAAGGTCACGATTTGAGGCTATATCCGCCCAAACTGTCAAGATCAGTTGTGTTCAAGGTAAGATGTGCTTTGAGGCTATATGGACCCAAAAGAGAAGGGTAAGATCAGCTGTGCTCAAGGTCGCATTTAGAGGCGGTGATTTGCGCCCCTAAAACAATGTCAAGGTTAGTTGAGTACAAGGTCAGCTGTACTCAAGGTCACGATTTGAGGCTATATCCGCCCAAACTGTCAAGATCAGTTGTGTTCAAGGTAAGATGTGCTTTGAGGCTATATGGACCCAAAAGAGAAGGGTAAGATCAGCTGTGCTTAAGGTCGCATTTAGAGCAGGTTATTTGCACCCTTAAAACAATGTCAAGGTTAGTTGAGTACAAGGGCAGCTGTACTCAAGGTCACGATTTGAGGCTATATCCGCCCAAACTGTCAAGATCAGTTGTGTTCAAGGTAAGATGTGCTTTGAGGCTATATGGACCCAAAAGAGAAGGGTAAGATCAGCTGTGCTCAAGGTCGCATTCAGAGGAGGTTATTTTCGCCCCTAAAACAATGTCAAGGTTAGTTGAGTACAAGGTCAACTGTACTCAAGGTCACGATTTGAGGCTATATCCGCCCAAACTGTCAAGATCAGTTGTGTTCAAGGTAAGATGTGCTTTGAGGCTATATGGACCCAAACGAGAAGGGTAAGATCAGCTGTGCTCAAGGTCGCGTTTAGAGGTTATTTCTGTCGAGAAAAACAATATCCAGGTTAGTTGTGTTCAAGGTCAGCTGCACTCAAGGTCACGTTTTGAGGCTAAATGCGCCCAAAAGAGAAGGTCAACGTCAGGTGAGCTCAACGTAGCGTTTCGAGTCTGTTTGCGCCCAAAGAACAAAGGTCAAGGTTGGTTGTGTTCAAAGTCAGCTATGCTCAAAATAGCGTTTTGAAGCTTTATGCGCCTAAAATAGAATGTCAAGCTCAGTTGTGCTCAATGTCACGTTTTTAGGCAATAGGAAGGTTCAAAGTCAGCCTTTCTCAAGGTCACGTTCTTTGACTACATGCACCCAAAAGATAATGTCAAGGTCAGTTGTGTTCAATGTCAGCTATGCTCAAAGTCACGGTTTTAAGTTATGTGCGCCCAAAATAGAATATCCAGGTCAGTTGTGTTCAAGGTCAAGCTATGTGCACCCCAAAAAGAATGTTAAGATCAGTTGTGCCCGAGTTTAGATGTGCTCAAGGTCACGTTTTGAGGCTATAGGCGCCCAAAAGAGAAGGTCGAGGTCAACTATTTGTACCCAAAGTACAATGTCAAGGTTGGTTGTGTTCAAGACCAGTTGTGTTCACGGACAGGTCACGTTTTTAAGCTACGTGCGCTCAAAATAGAATTTCAAGGTTAGTAGGATTCAAGGTAAGATCTCAAGGTCAAAATTAGCGATATGTCGAATCGCGTTTTGAGTAATATTTACCTGAGTAGATGGTAGTCGATTTTGTTGCGCAAAAATTGTATTTGATATCACCCTGCCACTTCCTTCTAATATGATATCCATGGCACTTGGAATAGGTCGGTCGTCAGCAGTTCTCAGGGTGAACTCCAATAACTGATTGTATGACGCTCTTTGATTACCTGTATAAAGTAAGGATATAAAAGTACTTGACATGGTAGTATTCTTTTGTTGTAGGTACATACGCATGGTATTATTTCTACTTTTCATTCGGAAGATGAGATAAATGCGAATGCAAATAGTTTATTGGTGCCATTGTATATCGATGGTACTTACACAAGTCAATAATTGAAAGCCATATAGAAAATAATATTTAAAATACAGATAGAAATGAAATATAGTGAGAAAAATCAAAGCTCGTTTTACGAATTAAAAAATAATGATCTGATACTTGGCAAATATCTAGGATAACTATCATGATTGTAGTATTGAACAAAAGCAACGACGCGATAGATAGATACCTAAGCAACTATTTACACTTGGGTCCGCTTTAGGGCACATTCCTCTATTTTTCTATCTTCTCTACAGAGCGTTCCTTACCTAAATACCTTTGTGGCGCCACAAAATAGGCGATTTCGTCCGTGTAAGCCTTGACGCTGATACTGTGCGTCGCTGATTCGTAAGCCACAGTGACGTTTCGTCCAAATTGATCTTCAGCCGTCCACCCTTCGCCGCTTTTCGAAAAAAGCGACTCGACCATGAATCTGGCGTATCCAGGGGCGGACTTGCATTGCGACGAATGACCGTAGCAGAAACAGGGAGTGCATCCGAATCGGTTCGATTTGTCTAGGTCGAAGTAGCCTGGTTTGCACTCTTTGCATCTCTTTCCTGGAAGGAAGATACCTTTTCAAATAGAAGAATGATTGATTTTCAACGTACAGCGTTTTTCAAATTCGATCCTCTGCGTTGGGATAGGGATGCGAAGTCGCTTGATTGGGGGGCAAAGTTGGGTCCACTAAGGCGTTGGAAGTAAAAAGCTTGTTGAGTAGCATGTCTAGAGATAGTATGTTTAAACTATGAAGGTTTGATCTATAGTGTATTTACACCCAAGATAGAATGGATGCGTGATTGAAAAAAGCAAGGACCTCCGAATGATGGACTACCACCAACGTGTTGTAAAACAAAGATGACAGTATTTGACAGAAACAGAAACTTAACAAATTACTCAAACACACTTAACAACAATAACAGCAACAACCAAGCAAGGTGAATATGAAAACACGTGCCCGTAGTGATACACGCGACGGACGGTGGCCTGAATGCAACTCTGCCTGCCCTGCCCCTGCCCCGCGCATTATTCCGCCAGGCGACCGCTTGAAATTTAATGGCGAATTGACCAATAAGAGGCGTTGTCCCCACCTTTTACCGAGAGATCGCGCGCTAACTGTTATTATTTACATCTCATCTTGAATTTGGATTCAGTTTAGAATGTACATATTGATCATGATATATTTCTAGCTTTCCTGAACAAAAACAATCCGATGATTAGTTTCTGAGAAATAGGGCGATGAAGTTTAACGATTTGCAAAAATGGTGAATGTGCTTCATTTGGAGCGCTCTTCATTGCACTTATTATCGATAAGTCTTTGTAGCATGCAATGGCAGAGCGTTGGCCACCATACCAGAGATGCATAGGTTATCATGGGTCTTACCACAATTATTTACGTCCAGTGCATCATGGGAAGGCTCAGTCCCCAAGATGTGCAATTAAAGTCTCTGGTCAACATTAAACTCCAAATACCAGAAAAAAGGTTCTTACCTTCTACTAAGGAAAGAAGAAAGGAAGAAAGACTAACCTTCAACATTTTCTTTGCAAAAGCACTCCCCCGTGATGGTATCACAGCTGGGTTCGTCCCCTACAGAACCTTCTTCTGAGCATCCGCACTGTTTGCAGCCATTGCTAGAGAAATCGTAGTGATCGGGGGCGCATCTGTCACATTTCGCACCGGCCACCCCTGGTTTGCACTGACAGGCGCCCTCTTGGTTACATTGGAGACTACGAGAGCCTGTCGGGTCACAGTCGCAGGATATGCAGTAGCCATCTGAAAGAATAGTGCAAATAAAAACTCTGTGAAAAAAAAAAGATTTTTTGTCCCACTTTTTCGTTAGGTTTGTCCAACTTCTTCTCGTTAGGTTAGTGCCACTTTTATTCGTTAGGTTTGTCCTCCTATTTCTTCTTTAGGTTTATGACGACGATAGGAAGTGGGACAAACCTTACGGAAAAAGTTTGATAAACCTTACGGAAAAAAGTGGGAAAAGCCTGACGATAAAAAGTGGGACAAACCTAATTAAAAAAGTGGGACAAATATAACCAAAAAAGTTGGACAAGCCTAACGAAAAAGTGGGACAAACCTAAAGAAAAAAGTGGGACAAACCTACCCACTTTTTTTGGTCAGGTTTGTCCCACTTGAAAGAAGTTTGTGGTTGTTGCATGTTGATCAAGTCGAACTACCAATCTATGAAATTTTGTGAAAAAAAAAAGATTTCTTGTCCCACTTTTTTGTTAGGTTTGTCCAACTTCTTCTCGTTAGGTTATTGCCACTTTTATTCGTTAGGTTTGTCCTCCTATTTTTTCGTTAGGTTTATGATGACGGCAGGAAGTGGGACAAACCTTACGGAAAAGGTTTGATAAACCTTACGGAAAAAATTGTTAAAAGCCTGACGATAAAAAGTGGGACAAACCTAACTAAAAAAGTGGGACAAATATAACCAAAAAAGTTGGACAAGCCTAACGAAAAAGTGGGACAAAGCTAAAAAAAAAAGTAGGACAAACCTACCCACTTTTTTCATCAGGTTTGTCCCACTTGAAAGAAGTTTGTGGTTGTTGCATGTTGATCAAGTCGATCTACCAATCTAAGAAATTTTGTGTAAAAAAATTAAAAAAAAAAAAGATTTCTTGTCCCACTTTTTCGTTAGGTTAGTGCCACTTTTATTCGTTAGGTTTGTCCTCCTATTTTTTCGTTAGGCTTGTGACGACGACAGGAAGTGGGACAAACCTTACGGAAAAAGTTTGATAAACCTTACGGAAAAAAGTGGGAAAAGTCTGACGATAAAAAGTGGGACAAACCAAACTAAAAAGGTTGGACAAATATAACCAAGAAAGTTGGACAAGCCTAACGAAAAAGTGGCACAAACCTAAGAAAAAAGTGGGACAAACCTACCCACTTTTTTTCGTCAGGTTTGTCCCACTTGAAAGAAGTTTGAGGCTGTGAATGTTGATCAAGTCGATCTACCAATCTATCGATCTATCGATCTACCGATCTACTTTCGGACTATCAACCTATTGTTAGGAAGCAAAAAAATCGCGTCAAGTAGATAAACTCTAAGCTCCTACGCCTTCGTTAGAGGTCTCAAAGAAAAGACATGAGTCAAATCTTTTCAAAAAGTGAAATCGAATCGTGATTAGATCACCCAAAAAAAATTATTATCTCGATTTCAAAAGTAGCAAGTGAAAATTTTTAGAAGAAGAAGAAACTGAGAAACTGCAATTTCGAATCTTTTTCTCTACTTTTCTCACAAAATTATGCTGTTTTTGATACCCCCAGTCGGTCTAATGTCAACGTACTGCACAGGTGAAATTTCTCAACGCAGCAAATGTCCTTTTCATGTTCTTAGCGATAAAATTAAACGGCCTTATCAATAACAAAAACGGATCGCTGTCATTTATTTCGTTTACCTACTTTCCTATTGCGGTTAATTGACGTTTATATTGCATTTATTTACGATATTGTTCGATGAAATATATTTCATAATACAGACCGACATCTTGGCATATTTGGTTCAACGTTATTATCAGCAATAATATAATCTGTATATTATTTTAACGAGTTTAATATAGAATTAGAAATAAGACAGTGCAAAGTGCTGGCGACAGATGGCGCTTTGGGCTGTCTTATTTCGATAGACCGTACCTCAGGTATAGAGGATAGTTGCGAATAATTAACAGCCAGGCTGGATACTGCGAGATGCTTGACACTTTGGCTCCGGTATTTGGGTTAAGCGCATAGTTGAATAGATTTTTCCACCGTACGAGCGCGATCCCAGAAGTACCCGGCCTGACCTACAGATGGCGATAGTTGTTTGAAGTTTTTGCGAGCACACGAGGACAGCACCCGCTCCGAGACTACGGCAGTTCCTAGACACCTAAATGGTCCAGCACCACACCATATTAGGCACCTGATCAGGGAGAACAGAAGACTCAAGCGAGAACATCTCCAGCTGTTAACAGAGGAGTCGAGAGTTGCGCGAAACAGAGCATCGCTAGCTCTGAAGAACGCATTCGCGGAACTCCTGTGCAGAACTAGAGACCCAGGATGGTACGGCCTGGACTATGCAGCGAAAATTCCGTCGTCAGCGCACCACGATCCCCACTCTTCACGGCCAACGCGGCTTGGCCTACTCCAGTGAAGAAAAAGCCGAAGCATTCGCCGATTCGCTAGAATCCGAATGCAGACTCAATTACCATTAAGACGAGGACGACAACCACGAGGAGGCCGTGGAAGTCGCAGCCGAAATCATGAGGAGTCGACCACCTGGCCAGGAGATGGATCACCCCTCCAGTCCAGAGGAAATCCGTCTGATCATCCGCAGGTTGAAGGTCAGAAAGGCGCCGGGAAGGGACGGCATCAACAATAGGATGCTGAAGAACCTTCCCACCAAAGGCATTGCTGCGCTCACCAACATCGCCAATGTCACTCTGAGACTTAACCACTTCCCGCGGCGGTGGCGGGAAGCCCAGGTTATAATGCTCACCAAGCCAGGCAAGGACCGGAAGTTGCCCCAGAACTACCGGCCCATCAGCCTGGTTTCCTCGATGGGCAAAGTAGTCGAAAAGGCTATCGCCGTTCGACTAGAGAAGCAGGCAGAAGAACTGCAACTTCTCCCCCCAGAGCAATTCGGCTTCAGATCCTCCCACAACACGGAACTCCAAGCGCTACGACTGACGGAAAACATCACCAGCGGCTTCAATCTCCAGGAGGCAACCGGTCTCGTCCTGCTGGACGTGGAACGAGCCTTCGATCAAGTTTGGCACGATGGACTCATCGCCAAAATGGAAGCCGCCGGAATCGATGCGAACATGTGCCAACTGATCCAGAGCTATCTAACACAAAGATGGTTCACGGTGAAGTTTGGTACATGCCATTCAACAAGACGACAGCTGGAAGCAGGCGTGCCCCAGGGGTCAGCCTTAACCCCCCTGCTCTACAACATCTATACTCACGATGTGCCGAAGACAGCTGACACAATGCTGGCCCTATATGCAGACGACACTGCTATAGCCGCCAAGCATAGACGACCCGAGATCATCCGTAGGAGACTACAGGATGAACTGGACCACATCCAGGACTGGTGCGTGAAATGGAAAATTCGCATCAACGTCCAGAAGACGCAGGCAATCTTCATTCAACGAAGAAGGATTGCAAGACCTCTAGAAGCATCCATCTTCGACGAAGATATCCAGTGGGGCGACAAAGTCAAATATCTGGGGATCGTATTTGACAAGTCCCTCACCTGGAAAGCCCACATAGAAGCTGTCATCGCAAAGACCAGAGCAGCCATGGCTCAACTCTACCCATTACTGGGTAGACACAGCCGGATGCCGCTAGCGACCAAGCTACGGCTGATCAAGGCCATCGCCAGACCTCAGCTCGCTTACGCCTCCGCGGTCTGGGGGTACGCTGCCCCCAGCTACCGCAAGCGACTTGCTGCTCTAGAGATGAAGCTACTCCGGATCGCCACCAGTGCACCATCCTACGTAAGAAACTCAACCTTGCGTAGAGACCTGCATTGGGACACCATCCACGAGTACATGAGGAAAAAAGCGGAGAAGACCTTCGAGAAAGCTCAGGACCACCCGAACGAGCAGCTACGATTCCTCATGGACTACGATCCGGACGAGAGGCCTCGCAACCGCAGAACCAGGTACCCTAGACCAAGGTCCCAGTTGGCACCCGCTAACTGGAACCTCGGGACAAGGACCCACCGGGACCAGGACCAACCAGGACCAGGACCCGCCACGACCAGGACCCACCAGGACCAGGATCCTTCAGGACCAGGACCAGGAACAACATATTGGTAAGAGGACTTGAAATTCTTGATTTTTCGAAAACAAGAGTTTCAAGAGAACCTAGCAGCCCCTCTATCGATGATCGCTTAACGACATCGATAGAATGTGCGAGGTAAAGGGAACCAACCCGGCGTTCCCAGAGACTGAAACACATGAAAAGACGTTGTAGCAGACCGCAGGTCACGCACAACACATGGCCTACCGAGACGCTGATGAGTCGGGCCACGCGGAGGTTTAGGGTTTAGTGGGTATTAGGTGGACAACCTGGAGTCCCACACACGCCGTAGCTCGGGCTATGGTATGGTGCGTAAACGCATTCCCCCCTCACCAAAAAAAAAAATACTCAGGGTGAGTCTGCTCCTTCGTTTACAACAGTAAAATATTGGGTAGCAGAGTTTAAACGATGCCGTATGAGCTGCCAATTCACCAGATTTAACCCCCTGGGATTATTTTCTGCTTCCACACTTGAAAAAATGGCTCAGTGGTCGAAGATTTTCCAACGATGAAGAAGTGATGTCGGCAGCTAATTGCTATTTTGAGGAACAAAACAGTTCTTATTATAGAAAGGGTATCGAACTTATTGAACATCGCTGGGAAAAGTGTATAGACCTCAAACGAGATTATGTTGAAAAATAAATACATTTTTTACAAAAATTTTGTGTTTTCTTCGTTGGGTCGGGTACTTCTGGGACCACCCTCGTATTTCTATATTATCGGGTTCATTTTTTTAAACAATCTCAGAGTTTTTTTCACATAGCGACAGGATATCATTATTTACATGTCATGAGCTGTCTAGGACGTGAAGTTAAGTAGAAAAGTTATCAGATAATATCGTCTGAAAAAACAATGTGTCTCAAAAACAATGGACTCAAGACATTAACATACTTTAACTTAATGTGGACGCAAAATTTTAACTCGGGCGCATTGATATTTTTTGAGAAAATATGGAAAAAATTCACAGACCATCACAACAGTGACCAACCGCCTTAAATCATGAATCTTGATCATTTTGGGCCTTCATGCATCAGAAAAATAATGCTTCTAGGCTTCCTGGACAAATGTCTGACGTATCCGAACCGTTCAAAGATCCTTAAAGTATCAGTAAAGCTTTAGCTAAGTTTTTTGAGAGCGTTTACTCAGAACCTGATATTACAACTCAGTTTTGACTTTCAAGGAAGCGATCTGTTGGATATTACCTTCATACCGAAATTCTAAAAGTTGGACGTGAATTAAAAAATAAGTTCAAATCAAATTCCAGCTTTTTTTCTTAAAGACTGCATAGGCGTGTTAGCGCGGTAACTTTAAGTATTGTTTAATTTAAACCGTTTTTCCTGTCAAGTTTAAAATTGCTAAAATAGTTAAGCTTCCAATATTATTACTAGCTACAGGAGAATATCAATTTTGAACAATTTTGTCAACTATTAGCAACTTATATTTAGCCAGTTTCTTTGTGAAACAGTGGACAGAAGGGGTCAAGCTTATGTAATGTATGCCCATTTTTCCAAGACAAGATCAGTCGCGAGATTCTCCTCACGAAACTTTGCTATCTAGGTTTACAGAATAATTATTTCTTACTATTAAAATCGTATTTATCTGATAGACAATATTATGTACAGGTACGGGTGAATAATGTGAGACTGGAAGTATTCACCGCGCCAGGCGGTGTGCCTCAAGGATCCAACTTGGGACCTCTTCTATTCTCACTTAATAATTTGTAAAAGCGAAGATATCATTATCATTATTGTCGCAGAGACGAGAGACACCAAGCTTAGACCATGCTGATGAGTATCCCAGAAGCACTAAACAGCTATCCATATTTTTGTTAGGAACATCCATACGTAGCACAGTCGTTTGCAAATACCGTTTCCTGGACGAGTTTTAAATGTGCAACTTACCTTCTTTCATGTAATAGTTGTCTCTACACCTTTCGCAGTTAGGTCCATCCCTGTTGGCTGTACAGTCCAAGCAATGACCCCCATGACCTGTTTGGTCGTACAGAGCTTGATCGAAGTAACATCGGTTGGAATAGCCATTGCAGTTACATTCTGAAACAACGAAAATAGTTTTTCTTTTAGATCTCCTGGCGCTCTAAATGTCCGCGTGTATTGTTATCAGAGTCTGAGCTTATTAAAGCCTGTTTCGAGACATGAAAAAAAGTGCAGGCCGCTACAGGATGTTAAAATATGGAAAAAAGTTCATTTCCATAATAAGTTTCTCATTTGAAGTTATTTCGTTCAGATGTACCATTTTCAATAAAATTTCGTGAGATTGTTATAGTTTCATTCTTGATGTAGAACTAACTCATCAGGGAATTTCTGGAGACGCGTTTACATAAGTTTTTTCCATATTTTGAATATGTAGCTCGATCTTCCTGAGAACTTTCTGTAGCCCCCTGTATCAGCGTATGAACGTTTTCCCAGAACAAATAAACCGCAAAAGATCGTTAACTAGACTTAATATAATAATAATTGCGCACCCATTTGACTCAAATGAGCCGCTGTTCGCGAGGAAATAACATATTAAAATCCACATCATTACTCAAAGAGATAATTCGCGACCATGATAATTTCTTCCTCATCTCGACTTGAGCACAGAAATTGTTTACTCATCAAAATTCTACCGGGTGGCGAGATTGGTTTTACTTTCAAACATCGCATATCTTGTGCAAACATTTCATAGATGTGATCAGCTTGAAATTTGATAATAGACAATTATTCCCTGGCTGTCTTGGACCATAAGGGCAAGAGAATTACCGTCGGTCTTTTTGGGCGCGGCAGGAGACAGTAATCGACGATTTATGTTCATTGTTTTATCGGTTAGTTATAAGTAACGAATAATTAGGCTGTAAACACAATGGCAGTTAATACGCTCACTGCACTTGGGTGTGGCTTAATGAACATCCATCAAAACTTTATCGGAGAAAAAGCTGCAGACGTTGAAGACTCAACTAAATAATTCTGGTCTGCTTTTTCAAACAAGGTACTAAGGATTCGATAGCAGTGACGTTGATTAACGTTCACTGTATTCCAACGTTCAAAAAGGGATGTGACAGATCCAGGACGCAAAATTGAATTTAGAAACCTACTTTGACAAGAGGTAGTTCTGCTACTTTCTCATAGATGGCCATAGGATCTTTCAGATCCCTTTTTGGACGCCGGAATACAGTATATGGTTGTTTATCTTTTTTATACCGAAGCAGCAGGCTAAATACCAGGCACCGCGGCAGATATGAATAACTTAAAGAAACTTTCTTAATCATAATTTTGAAGTGCCTATGGTTAGTAGAACAGTTAAAAGCCTCCTCAGGTAGATTGTTGCACAATCTTGATATCCTAGGAATGAAGGAGCGGTCATATCGGCCAGTCCTGGATGTATGAAAGCGGTAGAGAGAACAATGCATATGTTCAGACATTCTTTTAATTGAAAGTGTTTTTCCAAAAAAGTTTACTTTTACCTTGCAATGTATCTTGTAGGATTTGTTTTGAAATCTCTGTATGGTATTAAGATTACCCGTTATTCTCATACTAGGCTGTAAACCAGTAATTTGTTGCATGTTGTAGGCTGATATTTTTCTACTAAGCAGTCACATGGTTTTTTATCTTTCATATAAGGCTTCTTCATTTACAAGTTGTTCTACAATGTTCTTGACCTTATATACATTACGTTCTAATGAATTATATGTGGTACGTAAGGTATTTAAAATGGCTGAAATCATTTATTATATTCAAAGGGAAGAACAAAACCATCGTGATTTATATCCAACATTTTTGTTGTTTGAATAAGTTGTATACTATTTTGACGTAAAAGTGATTAACATGTAAATTGATATGGGCATAGATGGATTATGTATCAGATTAGATCCTGCGACTAATTGCTGCTTGATGAGCAACAACAGTGGCGCATCTTAGGCCCGTATCGTCAGTCGTCCCTGCAATTGTAGGGCGCGTTTATGGCCTCCTCGATTGTCATAGTTTTCAGCGCTCTATTTTGAGGTTATGTCACAAACATCTATTTGCATCAAATTGTGCTTGCTTTTGAGTTTTATCATGTTTTTTAAGCCTGAAATTTCCTACAATTTAAAAGGAAAACATATCTTAACAATAGGATAGCACTGACGCTGACACGGGACAAGTGTAATCTAGAAATTTTTGAAGGAGAGAAAAGAGTATGACAATCAAGGAGGCCATAAACGCGCCCTACAATTGTAGGGACGACTGACGATACGGGCCTTAGATATTGCATTGAAATTGTGATATTTACAAGTTCTTAAATGACAGCTATTTATATATACAATTTGGTTACACTCAGTACTGAGGTCAATCAAAATAATAAAAGTTGTGACTTATGATCACTCGTTAAATTTCGTCATTGAAAAAAATTCGATCTGCGGTTTGTGCTAAAACTCTTAGGACATAACGCGTTATCACTAACGACGCTTTAATAGTGAAACGCCCGTGAGCTATTAAACTAGGCCATTCGGGTTTCTGTCCTATCGAACGACTTTTTTGCCATTTTCCAGTTTTTCGTTTAGCAATAATTATTGGCTCGCCGGTTCCCTGCTTCTCAGTACGCCCACACGAGTCTTGATGATATAATAGGACCGCCGATAATTATATCGGATTCTAATTGATGGCTAACAATCGGCTTTTTTCGCTCTAGAGGCTTTCAACTTCGACACTGATCGTACGGTGTTTCTCCGCCTGCCAGATCCGTATTTGGAGAAACTATAGTGAAAAATGCAGTCTCTATACTTCCTACGCCTTCGATGGGTGTTTCCAAGAAAATGGATGAGTCAAATCGTTCATCATCAAAATATAGGGTGCTTCAGTTTATTGTTGCATAACTTTAAGATTCGATAGAACTTTTAAAATTAATGCATAAAGTCTATATAAACATGGGTCGAAAAATGCGTGGCTTCCGATATACAGGGTGTTTAAATTTACTTTCTAAAATAGTTTTTTTCAAATATTTTGAACAATATTTGATGTATAACAGTGAAAATTGGTATACAAAGGTTTTTTGGTACGGCAAAACGAACCATGGGCATAGTTTTACTGTATCCGCTAGAGGGCGCTCTCTACTGTACCTGTAGTGTATTAAAATGACCGAAAATTTTTTCTTAGTGCAATTTTTTGCTTTTTGAATAAAAAAACTGATTCTTCGCACTTTTCAACATAAAAAAAGCTCTCTTGTGAATCTTCGTTATAGTTAGCCGTTTTTGAGATATTTCGATTTTTAGGGTTCGATGCTTTTTTAATTATTTATGATAAAATAACGTTAAAAAGTTAGTATCTCGATAATTGTAATAGATTTTGTATGTTTGTCCTAAATATCCAATAGCATTTTAGTTGTGAATAATTAATTTAACTTGTTAAAAATAATATTGGAAAATTAAACAAATTAATATTATGTTTTTTTGTGTTTATTTGGAGTTAGGAATTAAGGCTGTGTTTAAAAACACAATCTAAACGATCATCTTAATTACTTGTAATGCCCAAATCGAAAATGTAAAAAAAATATTATTTTCCCATGAACAATTAAAAATGCATTGAACCTTAAAAATCGAAATATCTCAAAAACGGCTAACTATAACGAAAATTCACAAGAGACCTTTTTTATGCAGAAAAGTGCGAAAAATCAGTTTTTTTTATTCAAAAAGCAAAAAATTGCACTAAGAAATTTTTTTCGGTCATTTTAATACACTACAGGTACAGTAGAGAGCGCCCTCTAGCGGCTACAGTAAAACTATGCCCATGGTTCCTTTTGCCATACCATAAAACCCTTGTATACCAATTTTCACTGTTATAAATCAAATATTGTTCGAAATATTAAAAAAAAACTATTTTAGAAAGTAAATTTAAACACCCTGTATTTCGGAAGCCACGCATTTTTCGACCCATGTTTATATAGACTTTATGCATTAATTTTAAAAGTTCTATCGAATCTTAAAGTTATGCAACAATAAACTGAAACACCCTGTATGTGTACAAGGGCAACCCCCAACCCCAAAGTTTCAACACCTACCAAAATTTTTTCCGAAAAGGCATCGGTATATTTCAAATCCTTCTTTGTTTTGTACTGAGAAGATAAGCATAGGATTTCGAACTGACCTGCAAAAATATTAATTGAATGTTGCAATACTGGAATTCTAACGTTCTTTAAATAAACTAATATCACTGCTGAAAAATTGTCTAACAAACTGAGCGCAGTTATTGCTTGATAATCAGCTGGGATAGCGAACGAAAGCTTAATCTCTAAGAGAAGCTGCTGTCATATGTCTCCAACTTCCAACAATAATAACGTGAGCTGGATGTTACTACTCTTGTTTGCGCGAGAAAAACGTACGGAGATACACGCATTACGGTACTGAGGAGCAAACTCGGTACCTGGGAACACGGCTTATTAAGAGCACAAGCGCTAACGTTTTAAGCGCCATACCAAACGCGGCATGAAAAATGTGAACGGTGCACCCACCATTGTTCGTAAAGGGAGGCGAAGCGATAGGCGGACGGTGTTATATTGTTAGGCATCGTGGACTAAAGGAAGAAAAGTTGGCTCTCACGCAACGCCGTCGTTAGTTGCGTACACGTTGGGGAAACATTTTCCCAGGAGCCCAAATACTCGAATCCTAGGAACATTTCCCAACAGGTGCGTTTGACGTTGAAATATTTCACTATGGAACGAGGAAACTTTTGGACCGTAGTTTGTAAAGCAAACTAAGATTAATTTTTAATGTAGATTCAAACCCTTAAATATTCGCATATCATTAAGGAACACCCTGTATGCGAGGGTTCTCTCAAAAATATGATTCCCACATTTTTTTCAGGAACAAGGAACTTTTTATTTGAAAAAATGAATTCACCATTGAAAACGTTGGTCTTTTAGCTATTATTCTTCATAGTCGCCTTTTTTTATTCGCATTTTTTTTTTTTGGACGTGAAATCCACCTCAAGAAGGTCCCCCGCCAGCCCGTTTAGAAACCTGGTAACTGCTGTATGCAACTCTTCGTCCTTCCGCCTAGGTACTCCTTCAATTTCAGAAATGC